TCAGGCAGATGTTAAAAATTTAAAAGAAAGGGGTCTGTAGTACTGACTATTAAGTATGCAAAAGAATATTCTTTTATTTATTGATTTTATTGTTTGAATTATTAAAGGTCCAGTAGACCATTATCAGTAGCTGTACTAAAAAAAATCATACTTTTTATTATTTAATTTTCATTGACATTACATTCATAGGGTGTAGACCTTGGTTCCCTCAATGAGCCTTCTCCAAAGGGCTTGCTCAAGTGCAAACAAGTACAGTTTGAAGAGTCCCATTCTATTCCCATGTGTTCATTTCACTGGATTGTAATATATTTAAACAAATATAACAAAAATATATCAAAATATTCATAAGAAACATTTTTACCAGAATATCTTTGTCATCTCTAATGATAACCCTCAATTACAAAGTTTTGTTTGTAGGGCAGCTAAACAGAACATCTTGTGCACAAATGAAAATTTTTTAAGGGAAGGATGAAAAAAGGTATTCTTAATTTTGAATCCATTTTTGTATTCAAAGATAACTTATTAGCAAGAATAATATTGTCGCCCAAAGTGAAACCGCATCGGTCTAAAACTTTTTGATTTATGATTCTTTTACTATTTTAATTTGCCTAAATTGCCCATGAATGAAATAGTTAGTTCTTTTCAAACTTTTGCTAACAATTTAACCATAACGCAAATCAAGGTACATAAGTATATACATATTTTATTAATAAAAATAATTTTCTGAGCAATGTACATGATTTTAGGTCTAATGTATTAAAATAATTATAAACAGTAAAAAAATTATAAACAGTATATATAAATAATTTATAATATTTATAAATTATTAATTAATTCAGTTAATTATAAACAGTATATAAAATAAAACAATAATTTAGGTAACATATTCAGTTAATTTTACATAAATCTAAAGATAATAAGTTATATAAAACAATAAATCAAAATATAATATATTTGTCTTTATAAAAAATAATTTATCACTTAGAATGTTAAATTATTTCACCATAGCGGCAGATTGACTTTCTTTTTCCAGCTTTTCAAAATGTCTTCGGGCATTTCTAATGTTGATAAGTGTAGCGGCCGATGCTGTTAAAAAATACTTATATATCACTAAACAATAAATAAATATTTATAAAGGTAAAATAACATATCCAGCAAAAAAACTTTTGTGCCACCCTTAAACCAATTTTTTTTTTCTTTGCTTAGTCAAATAATTAGATATGTTTACACAAAATAAATCACAGAAACACCAATCAACAAATCTTGAAATGTAAGTTATAAAAACTATTATAAATTAAAATGGTAATTTTAATTAACAAATATAAGGTAAGGTAAACTTACGAATTTTAGGATCAGATGTAATAACCATTACATAAGTATTTGATGTAAATACATCAATAAAAGCAGCAAACTGAGAATTACGAACTTCCATGCTTTGAAACTGAGCAGCTACTTTACTGAAAAATTATGGAAATAATAGATTGATTAATAATTTAAAAAAAAAAAATACCTTCATGAAAGAAATAAATAGACATTACCTGCAACTTAATTTAAATTGTTTGATAATATTTGAGACCTTTTCAAACCTATGCATATCCCTATGAGGCCTGTGTTCATAGTGTGAAATAACAAGAAAAGTCGCACGTTCAAAAAGTAGAACTTCATCAGCATCTATTATATTTGCAAACTGTGTTAAAGATATCTCAAGTTCTTTAACATTAGGAATAAGCATGTAAACAATAGATGACCAAGCCTGAAGCACAAATATTTAGAATATTCATTAATCATTTCATTAAATCATTGATCGATTATCTAATCTTATTATAACACTTCATACCTTATAAAGTGTCTCATCCCAAATGGAAGTTCTAAAACAAGTGCACTTAATTGGTTTCGATCTTGCTTTCAAAACATCCTCTCTTGCCTTAAATATCTAAAACAACAAAACAAAATATCTGCACATGATAATGAACTTCGTTATACATATTTGTATACAGTCTTATACAGGGGTCTACAGACTATGGCAAACATCTCCAATCTGGCCCACGAAATTTCTTTAATTTCATGGAAAAACTAATTAAAAAATACGAAAGTTAGTACACCACATGAGGTTACTGCAACATTTATTGCATAATCAGTTTCTCTTAGAAACCTGATTTCACAACTAAGTCATTTAAAGAGTAAGTATTTAATTTTCATAACTAGCCATGGCCCGCTGTACTTAGTGGAGGCCTCATTTCGGCCTATGGAATTTAGTGAAGGACTTAGTTTAAGACTATGCTATTCTATAAGTCAATCGGACAGAGCTAATAAAAATAAACTAAGATTCCGCAAACAAACTTTACAGCTAAATGCATGATAATTTGAATATTATTGACATTGATAAAACAGAATATTCTCCTTCTTCTTCCAACTCCAAGTTGCCATGTGAAAAATGAGGTTAGTCTCGGTCCATTTGTTTTTTTCCTTTTTCATGATGATCTTATCAGTCATAGAAAGGCCTATTATCGACTGCTAATGTAGTAACATGGTGTCCAGTGCTATAGCATGAAAAAACCTGAGACTTGGAACTTTAAAATTCAAAGTGTTTTTTGCCTATTTATTGAATTAAATTTTACTTTATTAAAGAGAACTGAGCATTGATCTGCCTGTCTAGACTAAATCCGGCTTGTTTTACTTCAAATATTTCTTTGAATGCCCTATTTACACCATATTGCTATGTCGGTTTGTCCAATTTGTTTTATCTTACTCACACTGTAGCTATCTGCCAAATATAATATTATAGAATTTTTTTCAAAAACCACAAAACATCACCAAAAATCTCTAAATGAGCAATGATACATCTAAATTATTCAATTACACTAATGTGTCTACAAACCATTTTGAACTTAAAAAAAAATAGAAGCATGATTAAAAATTAAATAAAATTATTTCATTCTTTTTAAACCAAAATAATTAAAACGTGGTGAGATAAACATAAATGAGTAATAAAAATACATAAATATTAATGGTTAAAAAGATAATATGAATACTTTTTATGAACTAAAATATTAATTATATAACGTGAGTAATATAATAACCTATAAATCAGAGCAAAGCAAAGGCAAAAAACTAATATTTTAAATTATATAAATTTTTTTTTTCTCGGTTTTGAAGGCCCATTGGAACGAAGGGCAGTGCAAATGTCTAATATTTTTGATGCAGTATCACAAAAAACACATCTGGTTGAAATTAATGATTCATTCATTGTTAGCTCCTAGATCCTCTGATGTAACTACAAGCTCACATCAACGTGTACTCCATAGTTTCAACAGAATTTCTAAAGTAGACAAAAAGTAAAATATAGTTGTATCACCAGTGCAAGATACAACAATGTCAAACTACACAAAATATTTTAAACAATTTTTTTGGTAAAATTAAACCAAGAATTTATATAAAAAATGTTTCACCCTCATTAAATAGAAGATATGTTACATAATCAAACCATCGGTCATTTAAAAAAATTTCCAGGTCAGGAGTTAGGATTCAGGATAATTAATAATTTAATCAAAAGCAGAAAGTAATAACACCACAATGTAATGATTTTACTAAGACAGGGGCAATAAAATACATAGTTTCATGTCGAAATGGAACTTACAGCAGGAAATAGTCAATATATTATTTTATTATAACATAAAATAATGTAATAAGATAATTATTCACTAGTAAGCATTTCATTTTAACTTCGGTAATTATTTACAAGTAATTACCAGACAACTGACAGTCACATCTCATTCAAACTATTATCAAAATAATTAAACTCACAATATCACGTTGATCTTCTTGAACAAGATCCATCTTATGAATAAGACAAAAAACTTTTGCATCTGGAGAATTTTGAAGAATGGCATCTAAGCAACTTTGATAGTAATGTAAATCTTTCTCAAGTTCCCGACTTTCAACATCAAAAACATAAATCAGCACCTCAACATTTCGAAAAATATTATCCCTCTGACTGGCAAAATAGTTTTCCATAAAAGCTTCTTGTCTAAAAAATTAACAAAATAATATACAAACATTTTTTTAAAATCCAAATAAAACTTAATTTCCTAAGAAAAATGATTATATTAAATTATGTACTCTAAAATTTAATCAGAATAGTAACATAGTAACCAAGCAATCAGTTTACCCTCCACAATCCCATAAATTTAAAACAAGATTTCCAAGAAACTTTACATGAGAATGTTCAACATCAACTGAAAAGAAACAATGTAAATTAATGGTTATGATAAATTAAAGGCTAATGATTAAGGTAATAAATAAAAGAGAATTCTAAGTTACTTGTGGCTCCTAATCTTCTGGTATCTCGAGCTATATAATTAGCAAATATAATAGATCTCATACTGGTTTTACCAGAACCACTTTTACCCATCAAAAGCACCTAAAGACAATAACATTTTAAAACAATAGCATTAAAAGTATTCATTATATTCACAAAAAAATATTAGAAGTGGTTACATACCTTCTTTTTCATTGTGTAGAGTTATTAAAACTAGGAGGAATGTAACAAAATTGGCAGAACTTAAATCCTAGTGTTCTTCTAAAAATAAGGTATACCTTATCATTTATCAAATAAAGCCCAGGGATAAAGAGTGCATGCTGAGCTCTCACAAAACCTATTACTATTATATATTTTTGTGAAGTATTAACAAAACATTAGATTGTCCTAAAATTTGAAGAGGAAGATATTGCAAAACAATTCAGTTCAGTTTACTTCTCTTAGTTCTCAAACGAAATAAACCATATAAAATAATGAATTAAATCCATCATATAGAGCAAGCAAAATTTCAGTGAAGATATATGTAATTGATAAACATAGATAAGTGTCAATAACAGAACAAGATAAGTTTATTGTGAGTATAACAATGCTTGAATATCCATATAATCTGCGAGAATGTTATGAAATGAAAATATGTTATTATTTATCTTAACGTGAGATAAGTACTGCATTGGTTTTTCTATAATAAATTAAGTTATTAAAATTTTTTTATTCAGTAGATTAATCACATTTGGATGTACATCGATGATCAAAAAAGCATATATAACACAGGCGTTGTCCACCTGATCTCACTCTTCAACTGGGTTAAACTGTCAGCTGTTAGGTCCCCGTACTCTATCAGAAATGGCTATATCTTCGAGTCAAGCTGTTAAAGAACATGTTTTGGCTGTTTCAAGAGATTTTGTCTCTCAGCCAAGATTAAGTAAGCATATCATTAATTTACTATCAGTCTATGTCCATGGATTTTCAATATTTCGTATTTTTTTACGTTTGTACTTGGCATGCCAAAAAGTGGGCGTAGCCCCTTAAGCATAATGCAACAATTTCACCACGAAATCACTATATTAATAATTTCTAAGTTTTATACGATATGCTTCTCTTTCTTCCCAAAAATAAATTATTGGAATTGTTATGACAAAATAATCTTCTCTTTATGTTATTTATTATTATTTTTTTTCAGCCTACAAAACTGTGTCTGGTGTAAATGGACCTTTAGTCATTTTAGATGAAGTTAAATTTCCAAAGTATAATGAAATTGTTCAGCTAAGACTTGCTGATGGAACATTAAGATCTGGCCAAGTTTTGGAAGTCAGTGGTTCCAAAGCTGTTGTTCAGGTAGTGATCATTTCATTTATTCATTAAGTTATTATATTTATAATAATAAAGATACCAATTGGTACTAGAATGTTTTTTTTTTTCGCCATACACTAAATTATGCCGATTTTAGGTTTTTGAAGGTACTTCCGGTATAGATGCTAAAAACACAATATGTGAATTCACTGGAGATATTCTTCGGACTCCAGTGTCTGAAGATATGCTTGGACGAGTCTTCAATGGGAGTGGAAAACCCATTGACAAGGGACCTCCAATCCTTGCAGAAGATTATTTGGATATTCAAGGTCATTTATCATTTCTTTAATAATGTGTTACACTTGATTCATTATTTTATTGTACACTTTTTTTATATACATTAATAGGACAGCCCATAAATCCTTGGTCTCGTATTTATCCTGAGGAAATGATTCAGACTGGTATCTCTGCAATTGATGTTATGAATTCAATTGCCAGAGGACAAAAGATCCCTATCTTCTCAGCTGCTGGTTTACCCCACAATGAAGTAATTAATTTTTGTTTTATTTATTGTCTATTATTAGTACTACCTACATCTATATTTATCAATAGAGGTGAAGAAGACTGCTCAAGGCAGTTTATAGATATTTACTTATTTATATGTACAGTTTTATTAAATTATGAATAATCTATCAATGCAAACTAATCAATAAACACAGATAATTCTTCAAATGTGCCTGTGCTAAAGAAACAGGAGATAGTAAGAAACTATCTTCTGTCTAAGAAATACATATACATTATTTAATCATTTTGTTTTTTCTTAATCAACGTATGATTTTCTTTTGGCTCATAAATGTTTCAAAACCTTTGAGTTGGTTTGATCTCTCAAATTTTATTTCTCATTTTCATGTTAATGGAATTTTTATTTACTTAGAACTGTGTAATTTTTATATTTTATTTATTCTCCATTAAGGGAATAAATCATGCTTCAACATTTGCCTTATAAGAAGTTCAGGTATTTTTAAATATCTATTTCAGGAAACAACGGAATTTTATGTTTTCAAAATTAGTTTTTTTCTCGTTTATTATATTAAAAAACTTTAATTGTTTTTACTATATTTAATTCTATGTCATAAATTATAAAATGTCGTTTAAAAAAATATATATACATACTTTTGTCTTTTTTATTTATTTTTTGATGTTGATAATTAGTTATCATACCCTGATTGTTTGTTATTTGCATTAAATGTTCACATATTTTTTATTTTATACCATAGAATTATTATTATTCTAATAATCTTGTAAAAAGGTTGAACATTTATAGTAACTAATTAATATTAAATGCATAGGTATATTATTTTATCTACCAGTAGTTTATTTTAATAATAAATTAAGTCTTCCTACTATATGTTAGGATTAATAACTAATAAAAATATTGTGTGTTTTTTTAATAATGCTTGTTAAGATGAACATTTTTTGTCTTACAAGTCGCTTAGAATTTCTTTCTATTGTATAGAATTCTATTATATTGTAAAGTAATCTTGGAGTAATAGAAATAGAAAAATAACTTTATTCTGGGGCAATTTTCCTTGATAATATTAGCAGTTACAGACAAATAAAATGTAATTCTGGCCAGAAGACTAAAAGATAATGGAAAAATGAAAAGAAAAAATATATTAGGTTAAGAAAATATTTACATCAATGATAAAGAAAAATATATATAATAGGTTGGCAAAATATGTTTAAAAAAAAAAATACAATAGGTTGGCAAAATATCTTACAAAAAAAAAATAATAATAATGAAAAGTGAAAATTACTTCTGTGATCTAAAAATACTGTAGTATTTTATTTTCAAATGATAATATTTCAGCAAATATTTTTCTTTGAATGTTTTTTAATGTCTTACATACCCCAATTTTCGCTTACTTGGGTATATGCCTTTTGATTTTACTTATTTCAGATTTCAGTAAATTTATATGCTTGTCATATTTTCCTTCTAATAAAGTTCTGTTGCCAATTCTTGTTTTTTGGAAAAATCAAAATTAAAAGAAATTTTAATAATTGAAATTTCTAAAGTGGGTTTTTATTCTTTATTTACAGATTGCTGCTCAGATTTGTCGACAGGCTGGTTTAGTAAAATCACCTGGAAAGTCTGTTCTTGATGACCATGAAGATAATTTTGCTATAGTATTTGCAGCTATGGGTGTTAACATGGAAACTGCTCGATTTTTCAAGCAAGATTTTGAGGTAATAGTCAGTGGTAAAATACATGCTTTCTTAGTAATATTTTTCAGTTATAAGTATATTAACTGTAGTCCAGAATATCAATTATCCCAATTAATAGGAGATTAGTCAGGTTCATTTGTGAAAATTGAATAATTGGATCCTAGTAAAATTTTAAGCCTATTGTGTGATAACAGGAATCAAGACTTGAGGACTATTATAAAGATAATCCTTAATGGGAAAGAATTTTATATAAATTTAAAGTTAGTATGTGAAGCTATTTTATTAAAGCTAAGTATGTGATTATATGCCTATATAAATATTTAAATTATATAATAAAATATGAAAAACATTCAAGAAAAAAATAAAAAACTTTTAAAAGTTAAAAATATCATTATTTAAGGTTCCAAAATTATATTAAAAATTAAATTTCAAATAAATAAATATGTTTATATTTATTTTTGTTAAGTTAATTAAAAGAGCTTGGTGAAAATCTTTATCATAAGAGATGAGATATCTGCTTTCTTAAGATGACAAGAAATAAAGCTCTGCTTCAGATTCTTTTTAACTGACTATGGTGAAGTCAAATGGAGAGTTATATGTTTGGGTTGACCGCTAAAAGATATATAATGTGTTTTTGAGCGCATGATCTGGGTCGTGTTTAAAGTTTGATAGCTCAAATTATTATTTGAGATCCAGTGAGTTTTTTAAAATCATTGGGCTCAAAACTTCAATAAATTATTATATAAAAAATTTTTTAATCAATTTGCTAAGAGGTATGTGCCAATCTTATGAGGGAACGCCAAATATGGAAAAAATTCTCTTGTTCATTAAGGTCACATAAGTGCAATTTTCTTTCAGCTTTAGTTATCCATAATGTCAAATTTCAATTAATTTAATATAGTTAAGACTGGATAATCCGATTTGAACCTAATGTTATGGGGATCAGGGCAATCAGAGTGCAATATGGCTGGTATATATATATTATGTATATGTACTACACACACATATGTATACATATATACACACACACATATATACATATATGTCTATATATATATATATATATATATATATATATATATATATATATATATATATATATATATATATATATATATATATATATATATATATATATATATATATGACATATATGTATATATGTGTGTGTGTGTATCTTATATATATATATATATATATATATATATATATATATATATATGACATATATGTATATATGTGTGTGTGTGTATCTTATATATATATATATATATATATATATATATATATATATATATATATATATAAAGCAGATATTTTAGGCTGTATTTAATAGGATCTATTAGCTTTTGTTTACTAATATTCATTTTTATAATTTAATATTAATATCTATATTTTTTGTTTTCTCAATTAATTGGAGTCCTTTGGTAGTTTACTTTATTAATCTAAATAATACGATTATATTATAAATATTTCACATCTTTCCCATTATAGGAAAATGGTTCCATGGAGAATGTGTGCTTGTTTTTGAACTTGGCAAATGACCCAACTATTGAACGTATTATCACGCCTCGTCTTGCTCTCACTGCTGCAGAGTTTCTTGCCTACCAATGTGAGAAGCATGTTTTGGTTATATTGACAGACATGTCTTCTTATGCAGAGGCCCTGCGAGAGGTATCTGCTGCCAGGGAAGAGGTAAACATTATTTATTGCTTATCAGTATAAATTTTTTATTTTAATTGAAATTAAAAAATTATGTTTGTTCTATTTTATACTGCAGAAATAAGTTTCCGGTTACCTCATGAGCTTCTTATTAATTGTTCTGTTTATTTCAAGACATAGATTTTCTAAAATCTTGTTTTGTTATTTATGTATGCCCTTACCTCAATAGTATATTAACTTTAGGTGCCCGGTAGAAGAGGATTCCCAGGTTATATGTACACCGATTTAGCAACCATTTATGAGAGAGCTGGACGTGTTGAAGGCAGAAATGGCAGTATAACTCAAATTCCAATTCTTACTATGCCTAATGATGGTAAATATCATCATTTTTTTCTATTGTCATATAATTATTTTATGTCATTAATTATGTAATTAATTAACATTTTATAGATATTACTCACCCAATTCCTGATTTGACGGGATATATTACTGAGGGCCAAATCTATGTTGACCGTCAATTACATAACAGACAAATTTACCCACCAATTAATGTACTGCCATCATTGTCCCGTTTAATGAAATCTGCCATTGGAGAGGGAATGACCCGAAAGGATCATTCAGATGTCTCAAATCAATTGGTATAGTTTAATATTTCATAAGCCTGTATTTATATCTACTGAGTTGATTAATAATCGATAGAGAATCCTCATAGTATAACTGAATTATGTTTGGTTTGCCTAGTACGCCTGCTATGCTATTGGTAAAGATGTGCAAGCCATGAAGGCTGTTGTGGGAGAAGAGGCACTTACACCCGACGATCTTCTCTACTTAGAGTTCTTGACAAAATTTGAAAAGAACTTCATTTCACAAGGTAATTATGGTTTAGTAATATTAAATTAGCTTATATATATTTATTTACCTAGATAATGTTTCTTTCATAAAATTGAAATTATTTATTCCAGGTACCTACGAGAACAGAACAGTTTTTGAATCATTAGACATTGGTTGGCAATTACTGCGTATATTCCCCAAGGAAATGTTAAAGAGGATCCCAGCATCTACCCTGGCAGAGTTCTACCCCAGGGACTCAAGGCATACAACCACAAAATAAATATAGGTACTTTCATTTACTTATTACCATCCAATAGTAATTCTGATAGTTATTTTTATAATATTGCACTCCTCTGTCTGTTTTTAAAGTGAAAACTTCTTCAGGCGTGTTATGTTCTTTTTTGTGGCGAGTGAATTAGATTGATCTGTCAGATTTCCGAAGTGTTAACGCTGGGTTAAAGTCTGCTTGAGGCGACTAATTGAAATGTTATTACATATGGATTAAAATATCTCAAAAACTAAAAATCTGGCCTGCATGCTGTTAGTGAGGAAATTGTTCAGCATTTCATCCTCTCTGTAATAGGCTATAATTCGAAATTGTATCTTAACGTTGTTAGGGAGGCAAGAAGGAAAAAATAGTGTCGAAAACCAAATGATAACGAGTTTAGTTGAACATATGGATTAAAATACTTCAGATACTAACAATTGGACCTGTATACTGTAAGCGAGGGAAATGTTCAGTATTTCATTTTTGTAAAGAACTATTATTGAAAATTGTATCTTAACCCTAGTGACCAAAACCAAATGATACAAGTTTTATAAAATATATGGATTAAAATATCTCAGAAACTGAAAATCGAACATGCATTCTGTAAGCAAAGGAAAATGTTGAGCATTTCATCCTCTTTATAATGAGCTATTATTTATAATTTATATTTCATATTATTAATCTCGCTTTGTTGATGTTTTCACTTTATATATATATTTATAATAAAAACTGACCCTATTATATCACTTAAAACTCAATAGCTCAGAGGTTTTGATTTGGCTCTAGTTTGTGGATCATTTTCAAGGCTAGTGAATTCTAACATAGGCATCTTTAATACATTAACGACTGTTATTCTTGACTAATATCATCTGAGATAACCATTAAACAGTTAACTATAATTTATCTCTCTATTGAAGGAATATTAATTTTAAACATATCCCTTCTATGTATATATTTAATATGCCAAATTTTTATGAACTCCTTTGTTTTAGATTTGACCTGGACCATTCCATATTGTTTCATTTGCAGCAAGCTCTTCATCTACAAACATTCCGGGGTGAACTTTTAAGTAGTGTTTTTATGTATATTTTAATTAAAACTTGTATATATTAAAAAAACAAACAAAAATATTTTGTGACGTCTTCTTAAGTTACTTCATTAGTAACTTAATTTGATGTGACTGTAACAATAAATCAACCCAATCTGAAAAACACTTATAATTTTACATTCATATACTATATTTTATTTTAGTTTCTTAGTCTGCTATTTTGATTAGAATTTCTCAGATCCTGGTGTTAGGGGTCCCCAGATAAGCTTAAACTATTAGATTGATTCTCTATGTGCTGGACTGTTATCTATATATCCTTATATTCCAGGAGTAAAATGGAATGTCATTAAACCACAAGAGAATTTATCATGAATTTTAACAGTATTTAAGAAGCATATGTCTGTATAGAACAAGAATGTATTTAATTAAAAAATATAATTGATATTAACATACAAATATTGGTAAATTGAAATAAATTGTTGGTAGATAAAAGTGTATGTTAAGAAATACTTAGTTATTAGTTTTATTCTCCCTATTGTCTCAAAAGTTATTTAATTTGTTAGGCATATTTTATGTTAAATTTGAGAAATAAATTTATTGTTAAGCCAAAAAGTTTTTCACCCTCTGTATTTATTTTTGCAACTATCGCTGTTTTAAAAGACAAGAACTACTTTTAATAAGTTGGTGTGATTGTGAGTGTATATACATAAATGTATGTTTCAATAACTAATTTTCATTTTAGTGTAATCATAGTCAGCGTAACGATTACATGAAAATTGGAAGATCTTAAATATTTTAGTTTTCTTCCAAACTAGACATATATAACTTTTTTAATCTTTCACTGTCTGTAGCTTTTTCTATTTGCTGTTAATGGCTCAATGAATTTGTTTATCCACCTAATTATTAGCAGCATCTAGCCAAACTAATTGTTGCATTCATAATGCATTGATGTAAAGTTAATAACTTAAAGTTTAATACAATAGCCATCCTACCACAATCCATTCCAAAACTTCGGAGTGTAGCCTGTATTAATTTGTTATTTAGATATATGTTGTGCAAAAGGTTTAAAATTACCTGACAGTTTTAAAACATAACTCTACATTTCAACATGTGGCCACACCTTACACCTGAATAATTAGTGTAACAACTAGAGACAAGATTCAAGAGTTAATTTATGTTTCATACAATTTAAAAGAAGAAGAAAAGTAAATTTTACTTAAAAGTATCTTTAATTTTCCATGTTTGGAAAAAAAAAAGAAGAAAATTCTTTAAAATAAATGAAGAAATAGAGGAATATAAATTTTTTTAAGTGAAAGTATTTTAACTAATAAGAAAAAAATCTATGACTTTGGAGGTAGGAAAGTGTCTTAACCTCATCTAATTACAATTAGATTTATCACAAACATTTGAAGTGTTTCCTCTATTTTACTTATAATATTCAGTGTTTTCTACATAATATATTGAGACCTGTCCTAGTAGACTTATGTTGTTTAAATTTTAAAATGCCAAAATTTCATCTTTTAAAGCCCTTTAGTCAAATCAATCAATGAAAGAATTAACTTTCCAATATCCTTTTCGTGGAGATGGTGATGATTTCTTTTTGCTAGATACGAAAAAAAAGTGTTAAAAATTCAAGTATGTGAAGTATAAAATATACTTTAATAACTTTACATAAGAGAAAAAAAATGTGAAGCAGGGTTTATTTTTTTTTCCTTACCTTTAGAAAGCTGAAAGTCTACTTGTAATACAGATTTTGTTCTTGGCTGATATACCTTTCTATTAATTAAAATAAATAAACATTAAAAGAATCTCTAGGAAGTTACTTAAGCACAGCTGTTGGAAGTAAATTTAAGAACACATGGAAGTAAATCTTAAAATTGCAAACTTTTTTAAAAAACATTATACTCAAAGAGTTATAAAATGGGAGGAAAACCCCCCTTTCTCTTTTCCAATAATTTAAAAATTCCCAAAAGTTCGAAAAATAGGGATTAAAACATGTGAAAAATTTTGGTAAAACATTTTATTCAGATTTATTAGCACTGAAAACCAATTTAATAAATTGTAAATCTATCAACAAAACCTCTTTTCTATTTTCCTTTAAATATCAAATAAATATCCATATACTTATATCAACCCTCCAATTGAATCTAAAGTTAAAATGATTATCTAATATTTGACAAATGGTTTCCACATCCTCAAAATCAAATTTATGTCCTTTTTCAAAAAAATGTACAAATGCAGAGTTTTTTTGTAATCATTTTATATCGGTATATTTATGTTCTATCTTTTGTATATTTTCTACTTGTAAATGTTCAAGGTCAGCATTGAAGGTGATGAGAGAGGTAAAAATGCAACACAACTCAATCTAGAAACATTGGTTGTGGGACCTTAATACAAATGTATGTCATCTCTTTATAAGACGCTACGCCCCTCCCCTCCCACATTTATTCATAAATTAATAAAAAGCATTTTTTTTTACTCAGGAAATTAATTTGTATAATTCTAACTAAGTGTTAAAACATAGATATATTTTAAAATATGTAATATATGGTAGACAGAATGCAGGGTTTGAAATCTTTAATTAAAAAAATAAAAATTAAATCTGATCATAGTTTTTAAAAATTATATCATGATTTTTATTTTTGATAAAATTTATAAAAATCATATCCTGATCATTATTTTTTAATACATGTTTTACAATTAACAATAAAATTCTTGAGTAGTACTTTTTTAAGGGATTGGCTGTGTTTATACTATACTAGTAAAATAAAAGATCAAAGAATCGAATCCCAACTCTACTTCCCACTATGGCTTGTCCCTGCAGGAAGATACAGGTTGTACAATACTTGTAAGAACAGGCTAGAAACAAAAAAAACTTTTTAAAATCAGAAACATAATTCTTTGTAATCTCTATGATATATTTTGAATCTGGAGTAGTAGGTGGAGAATATTTTTGTCAACTATTAGCAACAGAACATCTTTACTTCCAAAATTCATTAGAAATTTTAGTTGAAAAAAAAAAATGTAGATGAATACCTATACATAGTGCAGTTATCGCATGCAAAGTTAGCTATTTCAGAAATTTTATTTTTAAAAAATGTGTTGATTAATTACATATACATACATATTAATATTTAATTTAAATTGTGTCTAAAAGGTGAACATTTTTTCAATCATTATTTATGTAAAATCATATTACTCAGTGAGTGATCATTATTTTTAATCGAATTAATAAACATCAAAGATCGATTAATATTTTTATTTAAAAATCAGACACGATTTATAAATCAAAAATCAAATATAATAATTATAATTATTAGATGATTTTATGGAAAAAATAATTATCGATTTCAAATCCTGACAGAATGTACCTTTGATTGGTAGATAGATTAATGATTTCATTCATAAGATGAAACGGAATGAAATGATATAACCTTTATTTATGCAAAGATTAATACATAATACCTTTAAATAAACATATTCTTTAAGTATGAAAAGAAATTAATAATTGATTATTTTTCACTTTTTTCTTGCATAGGCCTACCCTTTTGGGAGTAATAGTCAGCGCTTCCCTGGGTGACTAGCCCTATTAGGATGAGAGTTCCGTCCACTTTTTCTTCCAGACATACCTGTCTCTAGCAGCTCTTCACAAGACGGGTCCTACCAACCGCTTAAACGCGTCACCTTTTCTTTTGACGCCCTCTTCTTTTCAGATCATATGGAGTCCATTACATGACCATTCTTGATGAATGCCCAATAAAAAATTAAGTAATTTAAATTATCCTCAAGCGGCCCCCTTTTGGAGCAATAGAAGATACTATTGCATTTAAATGTTATTCGTACATTGTGTCAGGCATGTAATATCTTTTAATTAATGATTGGTCTTGGTTCTATTTCACTTCAAGGAAAAATAGTGGAATTAACAAGATAATAAATAACTAGCAAGATGATAAATTACAACCAAATTAAATTTTTTAATTCTGGTACTAGTCCTAAATAACTTATTTAATATGTTCTTTCAGCCATGCACTGAATTTCAATTTTCCTTCCCTGAGTGCTTCAATAGCTCTGTAATACAATTAAAATATTATTAAAGTTTCTTTCAATATTGAAATTTTTTAATAACTACTGATTTTAATTATTACTTGGATAAATTGATTATGAATCTCACAATTTAAAGTAACTATATACCTCTTACTGTCAATTATCTAACAATTTTACTCTATACATTTCCATTTTTTTTTTTCAAAGTATTTAATTTATTTCCAGAGGAATAGCATATAAAATTTAAAAGTTAATATGTGTAAATAGATGACCAAATGGTAAATCAAGAACGAATATGGAAGCAATTCATTGATGGTTTTTTTTACTCACTTCTGGGCCATCTTATTATTATTAAAACTTCCATAAATGAAATATGTTCCATAACGTCCACGTATTGACTTTTTAATATTAGTTAGAATCTATTCTATTAATATTTTTTCTTTATTATATTATAGTATATAATATAAATATATTTGTTCATTTTCAGAAAGTTATTGTGTCTTCTAACTCTTTCAATAATGAACCTTTGTAATTGACTATGAAAAAAAATTATATCATTGAATTCAGATAAATATAATCCAAAAAATCAAATTGTGTCTTTAAAAAAAGTATCTATTTGCAGGTTTTCTTCGAGGCTATTGAGCCAATGATTTTAAAATTTGAAACCAAAGTCACAGATCACTCCAGCATGATACAACTTGAAATTACCATCCACTATAACATTTCAAAATGGCAGCTGATTCATTTCATAAACCCATTTTCTACTAAGCTAAATCTTAATCGCACCAATATCAGGGAAGATATAACAAACAATTTTGGTATTAGACCTTCATCGATGGTGGTAAGGAAAGTCATTTGTGTGTGACTATACCACATATTTATATGTATAATGATTTGGAAATAATAAACCATTGTATAATTCAAATTGTTAATATTACTCATTTTTATACTAGGATCAGCCTAATTAAGTTTCTAAAGTGAATTCATACTAAACTTTTAAAAATATTGAATAGTACATCCTTTCTTTATGAAATTGTCACATGTCTTCGAGTTTCAAAGTGTGGGCAAAAAATCTTTGGATTAATGGATTCTTTATGAATAATTTCTTAAATTAATATTATAAAAATAGTAATATTAATTATTAATAAAAATAATTTGCCTTAAGATGATGCTTCCACCAACACAATAAGACTAGATGTTGATTTAAAATAAATATACTTACTTATCCAACTCCTGTAATCTGTTAGACTCCTTAGTAACTTTATCATTTTGACTTTCTTTCAACTCTTCTAAAAATTTCAATAACCGCTCTGTATCCTCATCATCATCTTTACTAGATCCTTTCAAGAAATAATATTTATAAAACCAATAGCAGTGCTGGCATCACTTTTTCAAAAACAAAAAAAAAAAAAAAAAAGAAAGAAAAATACATAGCAAATCCATTTAGAACATACTTTCAGATTTAGGACGAACAGGAGAAGGGTATTCTTTAACACTAGATTCGTAAACCGGGCCACCACCAGAACATGGACCACGTACCTGAATATAATGCGCATTATGTTTATTTGATTAAAAAAAAACTAAATAGTAAAGACATGTATTTAAAAAATATAGTTCATCAAATTAAATAAATATTTATAATTGAATCACACAAATGGTAGTATATGTATATATACTAATCTAAAAGTTCCAGATTTTCTAGTTTTTCCCATGGATAAAAACCAGCTTTGACTTGCCTACCACCAAAAAATCGTCCATTCAAATCTACAACAGCTTTAATAGCTGATTCAATTCTTTTAAACTCAACAAATATTCTCACAGCTTCCTCAGGGTGAACATTAGGAAGTTCATAAATAATTACACGAACCACATCTCCATATTTTGTGTTACATTCATCTTTCACTTCTGGCTCTAATTCTTCATCAACTTCCCCTGGTCCAACCATGTTCCTCAGCAAAACAACTTTGGATGGTTGTTTCATAATTTCAGTAATCGAAACTTGTGACTTGGGAGAGCCAGGTCGAGGAGGAGACATTGGTGCAGGGGGAGGAGGGGGCATGATAGCTCCCAAGCCAGAATTAAGAGGAGCACTGGGCGCAGGGGGTGGTGGTGGCATTATGTCTTTTTCATGTACTATCCTTCCACCTCTTTTGGAAGTTTTTTCAACCTGTAAAGCCATTGAAATACCTTGCTCCTTTTTTCCTAATCCTTGGCCTTCCTTAAACCCATACTTGGCCATAATTTTAGCAGCTACTGATGCTCCATAGGCTTTTGGTATTACTTGCTCTTGTAAAGATGGAGGTGGTGCAATCGCAACTCCTCCACCTCTTGGCTTTTCTTCTATTTCCTCTTCAGGAGGTTTATTTTCTTCTATTGGTTCAAATCTGCTCTCTCTAGTCCTAAGCCTGTCTTCTCGCTTTTTTTGTCTTTCTTCATCTTCTCTTTCCTTTTCTTTTTCTCTAAGTTCTCGAAGGTCTTTAACAACCTTTTCATAATCGTTAGGCCATAATGGATCATATTCTTCACCAGTAAAATTCCAGTCAAGGTCATCTGCAATGAAATTATCATTATTTTGTTTGACAGATTCTTTCATAAGCATTTCCTCAGCTTCTTCTTCATCCTTTTTCGAATTGAGATCAAAGACAGGCGCTAAGACACTGGTAACCTTTTTAGTACCATCTCGTTTTGTTGAATTAACAGCTTTCTTCGCTTGGAGATGTGATTGAAATAACTTAATACCAGATGACCAACCCGCAACTTCTTCTGATTTTTGCCTTAAAGTATCCAAGTCATCATACAGAGACATCTTAACACGCCACAATTAACAATCACCAACTAAGTCAGCGATAATAAATGTAAACAACAACACAGAAACAAAATCTAAGTTATCACAGGTTTACACTCAACTAAGGTTATATGTTCTTGAGGTTAAAAGCTTCTTTCCAGCCTGACTAATCGATATTCAATACCTAAGTGATAAAAATTTTAGTTTATAATAAACTTTTCTACAAATAGCAAATTCATAATCACAATGATTATATCTATCAAAATACTATCTTTTATTTATTTGAAAACATCATCTCATCAATTTTATCTTGAAAGAAAATAATGCCGAATTATCGCGTTAAAGTATTAATAACATTGATTTATACATTAATGCTTATACTGTATTATATAAATGATTGAATACAAATTATACTGGATAAAAAATATCGTTGGCGTTCAAGCGGCGAAATTCATTCATTATTTAACTGAAATTTGATGGATAATGTTCGTTTCCAACCAGTCAGAAATGAATGTCAGTTAAGACATTCATTGCTTGAACACAGACGAAACGTACATCCATATTGCTCACACTACATCCAATTAAATGAGTTAATGTAACTACTGATGATATTTTAATTTTTTCCCACATAAAATATACTAAATGAATTTCCTATATTTCTTTTGGTTTTTCCCACTGCAGCAATTATGCACAGATGGGTGTTAAGAAGTTGCCAAATCGTACTTGAAGAAATATATCTGCAAGTTGCTACATTTGGTCTTATGTTGAGTTATATCATTATAACTAATCTTTTGCTCTTCTTATTAGATTAAAAATGTATTCATACAAGATCTTCCTTTTTCTTGACAATCATGATTTACGAGTACTGACAGTATTCGGTTTATGGAGCGTCACATAAATTAATTAATTTAATAGGCATGACTCTAGAAAATGCATCATCCAAAATTGTTATAAAGGCGTAGAGAGACCACAGCCACTGGCCCTTCAGGCTGGGAGAACAGTACACTGAAATTCACACACTACAAAAAAAGGTCGTATACACTACCGATTGTAGGGTCACTTTCCTTAGTAAGCCTATGAGGCAACTCCCCCCATAACCCATAACCCAATAACCCCAAACCCATAAACAAAAAAAAAATATAATTAACCCTCAAAGGAAAGATACCCAGACTGATTTAAGGAAACGACTTAGGCATGGAGAAGAAATTAATCTCAAAATAGTGACTTGGAAAATAAGAGGACTAAACCAACTAAGTAAAAGAAAAAAAAATAGAAATGAGCTGGATAAATATATAATGGATATCGTGGCGACTCGGGAGAGAAAATGGAAGAATGGAGAGATCCAGGATCTGAGCAAGTACACAATGATAAACTGTGGGGATGAAAACAATGTTTTTGGGTTATGTAACAACAGTTGCTCACCAGCAGTTAATTGATAAGAGCTATTTTATTTTTATTTAATTATTTCTCTCTCATTATTTTTTATTTGTATTTTGTTTAGTATTTTTTGTAAATATTTGCATTTTCCTTATTTTTTTTTTTATATATCTGTATCATATCTAAATGCTAGTTTACATATTTTTTTTATTTCTATTATTATTCTAAGGGGACTTCAATTCCAGAATAAAATTATTTTTTATTTCATTTCTATAACATTATTAACTATATAAAGGCAAGTAGACTAAAATGGGCATGACATGTTAGTCAGCTGGTTAGCCTTCATTTCGTTCATGGTATTGTTGTTTTCAGATTCTTTGTTGACGTTAAACGCAATATTTTTTTTAATATATAGGATATCCTTCTAGGTTCCTACCCTCAGACTTGGTGCTCAGAAATCAAAATAACAAAAGCCTAACTGTAGTTAAGTGAATATTCTCTGAATCACAGGGGAGGCTTCCGGGCTGAAGCTCCCCCTCCCTCCCCCAAAAAATGGTAAAATATAACCGTGTTTTATAGGAAAAATTATTAAAAACTATTTCTTAAAGTATTATTGTTCGTGTAATTACATTTAAAGGGACCTCAAGAATCATTTAAACACCATGTCATATAAGTAATTAGTTTCTTACTTTTTTTTTCAAATTAATTATGGTTATATATATGAAAAAAAGCTTTCGGGCTGAAGCACCTCCCCCCCCAAAAAAAAATTAAATCCTGGATACGCTAGTGCTCTGAATTACCATAAAATATTATGGTTCCATTCCACCTTTTATTTTTTCAAAGTAAGACAATGCAATATTTTTTTATTATTATATACGGCTGTACACATCGAATCGGTTACGTTATTTACTTAATCGCACGTGCGAGTTTGCTATACATGAAAGAACGAAAATACTACAATATTTTGTAATATATAAATTTACAAGATGTCATACTCCATCAAAAACACTAACAATATATATAAAAAATAAGAAACAAATTTGCTGAGCTTAGGAATGCCAGAAGGTGAACATTCATTAGAGGTCACATGGAAATAAAATTAGAAGGAAATATCTACCGTGATGTTGAATTTCAAAACAAAATTAAATATGTACAGAAAGGAAAAAATGAAAATAAATACGTAACGTGAGAAATAAAACTGAGGTTATAATGAGATTCCTTTTCTTATCATTTATTAAATAATTTACAAGAAACGTAATAAGATGTCACAGCAATGTCTGTGAACTACAAACTAAAAGGCGATTGTTAGAGCATTCTGCATTATGTTTGATGGATGGTGCTTAAATGAAAGTTCTACCATACCTTTTCAGGTGGCAGACTCGTTGTCCTAGAAAGGATATCTTGAAGAGTTACTGACGTCATTTCATCTTCCTTAGGACACGCAGTATGAGCATCTTCATTACCTATTTCCACAATTAAATTATAGACCAGTTTCTATTATCTAGAAAATCTGTGCATATGGACTTTTACAAATGCTTTTTACTAACTGAAATTTTTTTTAATGTTTAAGTATGAGAATATTGCTTCGTCTGTTTCCCGCACACCTACCACAGTTTAGAAGAATTAAATTGATGACAGTGCATTAGTCATAACAAATCATAGATAAAAGTGAATGTTTTATGCATTTTTGGCATAATTATCTAGACCAGAGGTCTCCAAACTACGGCCCGCAAGAGCCTCCAGTCCGTCCAGCGAAAGGTTCTTTGATTAAATGAAAAAATATTAAAACTATTAAAAATTACGAAATTAAGTAAATCACTCAAACAGGAGGTTCATACAACATTTATTACATGAGTTGTTTCTCTTAGAAAGCTCATTTCACAGCTGATTTGTCATTTATTTATCACAAACCATGTCCCGCGGTTCTCAATTCGGCCCGCAGGTCTTAGTGAAGGTCTCAATGTGCCCCTCGAGCCATTAAGTTTGGAGACTCCTGGTCTAGAGAAATTTATAAATTGCTTACTCTTAAGATATTCAGAGTTTAAGTTGTAAAAGTAATATAGGTTTATTCCGCTCACTAATATTCGTTATTTGAAAATTTGAAAAATAAAATGTAATAGAATTTAAAATAATAAGTATACTGAATTAATATTCTTTGGTTAAAAAAAAAACTAAAAAAAAACAAATCAAACAATAATTCTTAACGGAAAGGTATTAGTATAGACTAATCTGGACAGATACTATACAAATACCATAAGATGTATTATGACACGAATTAAACGATAGTTTTAATACAGAATTAATATATATAATTTTGTAGAACATACTAGATTTATGAATCAGTTCTCTGAAATTTAAATGGACTATCTCTTTCGTGGGTCGATTAATAAACATTAAAATTCTATTTTATTTACACTTTACTAAGCATCTATCCTGCATAATATTGCTCTCGTGGCACCTTCTGGTTATGAGAAATTCACACAATAACTTAAAATTTATTCCACAAATATCGCCATATTTACAAGAGAAATCGACACACCTGTAGAACAATTTTCGAAGTTCTCCGAATTAAGTACCTGAATGTAATTAAATTAAAAAAAAAATTAAAATGAAAATAAACACAAGGTTAACAGAAACAAAACGAACCGGTACGTTCTGTATTAATTGTTTACTCTTATTAAATAGATAACATAATTATTATGTAATACTAAATTACTGTAGTTGGCAGATTTTTTAGGAGGATTTCGCTACTCACGATCAAGCTCTACAAAGTGAAATACCCTCACAGGACGATCCGAAAAGACAACAAACTTTCAGCGAATCCTTTATCTCTCATCCCAATCCACAATAGAACGGTTATTCCATATCCTATCTACATTCTATTATAATCTTATATGTTTTCCCATATTGTAATATAGAATATGTGGTGGTGGACCGTGAATGACAGGCTTCATGTATAACTGTAATCCATCTAGCATCTAGCATAAAATTGTGGAGGAGCGAAGACTTGGATACTTAGTCGGCTTTCAAACAATTTAAATAATTTAGATCTCACTTCAAATTATTAGTTAGATCCGTAAAAAACGTTTTCAAAACTTTATATTTTTTATCAATATTCCTAAATGACTAATATATAGGCATAATTGTCTCTAATTGGCCACCACTTGGAAACTAAATGGTGGATGATAAGGATAATCCGTGATATGTAAAATCATAAATCTTGAGAAGTTAATTTTTTTTCTTGGTCGATTACAAAGATCCAGTATTGAAAATAATAATGGTTGACTATTAATTATTAGTAAAAAAGTAATTTTAAAAAATCGTTAAATTCATAATTATTAATCTATATTAATATTCTATAACTTGGCCAGGATACCATGATGTTGTTTACTTAATTTCTTATAAATATTTATATATTTATACATGGTATGACGCTTAGTCCAGTTTTATCTGCCGCCAATGGTTTTGTGTTTACACGAGAAGGTGAACACGAAGCAGAATAGGGTATATGGGAACTAAAGATTGTTGTAAGGAGTTTTCGGGCTAAAGATAATTGAAAAAATTAATAATTTTTTTTCATTGATCCATATTTGTTTCTGTAGGTGTTTTGGTCTAAATACTAAAATAAACACATTATTTGTTTTCTTTAAATTATAACGTATATTAAGCTACTTAATTTGGAAACGTACCAAGAAAAAAAAATACAAATACTTAACCAGTCCTTCAAAGACTACTTAAACATCGTTATATATTATAGATTTTTTTTCTTTCTGAGTAATCACCTTTTAAAAAAAAAAATCTTCCAAAATTAAATCTTGAATCAGATACTTTCATGAAGTATATCAGAAAAGATGTCAATATTAACAATATTTGAGAAAGATTATTCATTAGAGGTCATACATAGTACTCACCCTCCTGATCATCTGGGGGTTTAGTGTCATCTTCTTTTTCCTTTTGTTTTATCTCAGAAATGGCCTCATAAAAAACTATTAAAAGATTCTTTATTATTTTAGAATGATCACCTTTCTCATTCCTCAACCACCTTGCAAACTCAAGAGCCCATTGCAAATGAACATATTCTAAAAGAACAATAAACAATAAGTTTTTAAATTTTTTGTAAAAAGTGTTAATACCAAGATAAAAAAAATGTAGCTATTGTCTTATATTAATAGGAACAATTCTATGCATAACCAAATATTCCTAAATTTTTTTAATATATTTTTTTTGGGTCCACCCCTTCCTCGCCGTTAACGGCGATACGGGGTATTCCCGGGCCAGGGAGTGTGAGCGCGGATTTAAAAGACTCCCTCGGCACCGGAACGCGAACTCGTGACTATTTTATATCATTTGATTGATATATCAGGTTGCCGGAAAACGGTGGTGCTGTGCACACGCGTTAGCCCATTAGGCTACCCCGCCCACTAATTATTACTGAAATATATTAGTTCTCTATTTTTTAACATTTAAAACACATTGACAAACATCACGTGTGAGTTTGAAATCCTCCATGATAACTTGTTCCCCGATAGCTGATAGAGGAGTTTTAGGCTGCGAATAACGTGAAAACGATCTCCGAAATTTCTACGGCTCATTGCAAACATTTAGCAAGATTTTTGATAGAGCTGCTAAATTTAAAACATTTTTTTTTTCAATATCGTCCTTATTTATCGATAAAATACAAGATATAGTTCTTCTGCCTATTCCTTATCAAACTGCTGCATTTGACAAACCCTTTCTAATCCGAGCTGCCTCCCTAACGAACTCAATCTGCCCATCATTCACCAATCTTCAACGGTTTCCTCGTTCAAATCTTTCCGCTCTAACAATATTTTCCTCACCCTGTCTAATTAATATTATTTTATACGAAATCACTTTCATCTATATTTCAAATGTTTCTCAGGTTACTTTCTTATGCTATTTGCCAGATATCTATTCCGTTTTTTTTTCTTGTTGGCATTACAGACCATGTAGATCTTTTGCCAACTTCACATGCCTGTTCCATCTCTGCCTGTCTTGGGCTATTTCTTTCCATTTACCTGCACGCAGCTCTATTGCATCTTTGTTGATTCTATCAAGGTTTTGGTTGTTCTAGGTTTTGTTGTTTTAGTTACTATATACATTTTCCTATTTTATTATTTCGTACGCAAATCTTTTCGAAATATGGGTGATAAATATTCAGAACGCAGTCTTTTTTAATATTTTTATTTTTGTCAACATTTCAACCCAAACGTGGGTCATCTTCAGGGCGTGGTTTGAGCACTGAGGGTGTTCAAGTACTCTAGTTAGGTGTTCTCGAGGTTCTAGGTGTTCTCAAGGTCTCGTGTACTTGAACACCCTCAGTGCTCAAACCACGCCATGAAGATGACCCACATGTTTGGGTTGAAACGTTGGTAAAAATTAATAAAAAATTAAAAAAGACTGCGTCCTGAATATTTATCACCCATGATATGTAGAACAGTGGGCTAACTTCCTTCAACAACTTTTCGAAATAAAATAACACTATTAGAACATTCAGCATCAAACATTTATAATACACGTGGATACGTATGGCTTCCACAGCCCTGTGTCACACCTAACTTTCTTAAATCACTTTAAACCAACGTTTTACAAGTTCCCAGCGACTTTGTTAGTTTTAACGTTTATTCTAAAACATCAAGAAGCAATTTGGTTAAGAAAATCATGTAGATTATCAGTACCTTTACCAACTGTCCAAATTTGTTTTGAATTAGTCAAATGGTTCATGAATTATGGGCAGTTTTAAAACATTAGTAATACTAATAAAGCTTAGCGGACCTGAAGGTTTGGTGTCGATGCCACTAATAGATGTCTACATTCTACATCAGTCATCATCCAAACCCAACCTTGCCATATCAACCTTAACACAATCTACCCCTTCGCTTCGGTTTACTTACTAGACACTTGCCAATCGGTACAGCACATATTAACTTTATAGGGATTCTTTCGTTACTAAGCCCATTAATTTTACATAGCCATTTTATTCACCTCAACGTGAACAACTTAATTATATTAACCGGGTAAAGTTCGAGCAATCAAACGTTGTATAATCGCGTAAATTCTCCGGATGACTCATCCATCTTAGGTCGGAATATTTTATGTAATGCTTTATTTTCAAAAACTTTAAGAAGTTCCTCATCCCTTAATATAAACGGGCACGTTTCGCATCCATAACGAACCATAGAAAGAATAATGGTATCGATTTAATTATATGTTAGCGAATCTCGTGATATCCAAGTATATTTATGAATATCCCTATGTTTAAATGTAGTACTTTTAATTATTAGCTTTTCCGAGACAGAAAAAATTATTAGACGAATTCCATCATCAATTATATAGTCGCATTAATTTTTTTTACCGATTGTAGGAGAATAAAAATTTTCTCTTCCCACCTTTGTGTAAACCTGCTTCTGTTTATAATAAAATGTGCATTTGGCTTCACCGCTTTCTTCGGTCAGCAAATGCTTTTTTTTAACGTTCCACGTCACTAATTATATATATATATATATATATACATACATATATATATATATATATATATATATATATATATATATATATATATATATATATATATATATATACATATATATATATATGTGTGTGTGTGTGTGTGTGTGTGTGTGTGTGTGTGTGTGTGTTTATTTATTTATTACTCAAATATTTTATTAAAGTGTCAAATATTAGAATCAGCAAATGAGTTAATATAAAACATCCATGGCATGAGTAGGTATGAGGGAGATAGCACCCTGCTATCCATACTCCTGGCATTCAGCTAGATTTTATTATTGCACTAGGAGGTCCCTCATCCAACTTCTTTTCAACCTAAACCGAGGTACATCAGATATGTATAAATTTGTTTATATGTCCATTTAATTCGTCGTGAAACCGATGTGAAGTGTGAAGGGTGGCGGGATCAGCGAGTTCGAGATGTAGGGTGGTTCGATTTTAGTCTTAAAAATTGAGATTGAAACGTTTGTATTTTCTAAACGTATGTCTTTTTTTCAGGTCCATAAATTTGGAAAGCATAGGTCTAAATGGGTTTTAATAAATAAGTATAAACGTTAAGTTTTTGTCTGATGGGTACATTGGAACGTCTTTTCTTTTTCTTTTTCTTTTTTTTATTGTTCTCCCCTTCCTCGCATTTTAGGCTATACGGGGTTTTACCAGGCCAGAGGGATGAAGGCGGGGGATTAACTCTAAGTTAAAAGACACCTTGGCACCCATTATGCGGATTCGCAATTATTTTATCATATTTAACTTCGGTTATCATGTTGCCGGGTAACGCGAGATGGTGTGCACACAGGCGTTAGCCCACTTGGCAGCCCCGCACCTAACTTACGAACGTCTGTGTAACATGGAATATAACAGTCTCAAGCGGAAATTTAGTCGCTGTACTTAATTTGAGGAGATCCTCGCATCCGCCACCCGTGCGACGCTCCTCTACGAGATAGCATGATCCGCCCGACACGAGGTTTAAAGTGTTGATACAAATGATAAATAGTAAACCATGGGAATCCTAGAAATGTAGTTGCGGCAAACACAGTGGCATCCATAAGCGAAGAGAGGGGCCATTTTCTCGGGCCAGATCAGAGAGTGGAGGATTTATTACTGAGTTAAAACTCCCCACGTCACAGGGACGTGAACTCGTAATTACTTTATATCTCATAAACTTTGGTTTATAATCTGGTTGCTGCGCAACGCGTGTTTTGCACACATGTTAGCGCGCTTTGCTACCCCGCCCTCGAATTTGTCATGTTTTCTTTTGAAACGCTTTTAGACTGATAGATATTTTTTCTTAAAATTTATTTTGCTAATAAGTAGTAATCACATTATGTTACATTTCTTTAAAATATAAGTAATAATGTTAAATTAATCTATATGTGTTTGTAAGAAAATTGTAGGTTTTCCAACATCAACTTGGGCACCCACCTCTTTTTTCTCAACGACGTGTCTAAATTAAAAACTAAAATCTAAACAAATTAAGAAAGTATTACCTACTTTCTCTCTTTTATCTCCAGAATATAGAAACCAAACAACAGCAATCATATGGTCTACTAACACCCAGAAGGGTGGTGCTAACACTTTGAATGAGTTTTTGTCAGCCTGGTTAAGATTGTAAAGAGGGTTCTTAAAGTTGTATAGTCTTGGTTTGAAGACCCGAGGGTTTGTATGGTAAAGTTCGTGATCATATTCATCTTTTGTCTCCTCTTTGATAGGAGGTAGATCCGATTGTCCTTGTTCTGACGATGTCTTATTTTGTGGTGATGATGATTTCCTCCAAGATCTTGAATGTTTCGGTTCTGATTTATTTACCTGTTCATTGCTCGTATTCGGACGTCCAGATTTCTTATCGTTTTCCATATGGTCGTCTTTAACAGATTTTCTCTTTGGAGTGCTTGTAGCTAAAAGCTCTTCCGAAGGAGTAACATATTGTTCCTGCACGTAGAAGGTGGTAGGTTCTGTTGAGCGGAAAGGGGATAAGTCAGCACTGGCAGAAGATATTATTTGTGAACCTCGAAATGAACTAGGTGTTTTTGAAAGTAATTCATGACTCAATCGACGAGATTTAAGAGACGGCTGTGGAAGACTTTGTGAAGAACACAAGGCTTTTGATAATTCTGATTGATTTAGTTCATTATTAGATCCAAACTTTTTCTTGCTGAAAAAAAAATTAGTCAATTAATGTTCATATTTATTTATTATTTAAGAATCATTGTTCCATCATAATACAATCGTTAATAACAAGAGAGTTATGATGAGATTTCTTCATATGTCTTGCATGGCTTGCTAATATCTGCTGCTGTTTGAAAACACCGAAATAACAAAAATCTATCTCCCTAAACATACTCTGCAATGGTGAGTGTCAAGAGAGATATAAAAGAGAGTTGTGAATTTTTTTTTCAGGACTTTAGTCTTTCCACTTCGTATAAATGTGCGTGCAACGCAAAAAGGTGACTGATATTCCTGAAATTTTGTTACCCTTCTCTTCCACCTCCCCCCCCCAAAAAAAAATCATTTAAAAATGATTCTTACTGTAAATAGGATTAATTATATTTTCTGTAATGAAGTTAATTTTTCATCGCTTAAATTATTCATTTCCATCTACCTACAACATTTCAATTTACCTCGACAGGACAATTTCGTGAATGTTAGTTATCTTAGTAGTTGTTATAAATTGTTAGGGTACTGCCGTACAAGCGTCACTCCACTTTGATGGGAGGTACAAGATTTCATAATAGCACCATAAATAGACTCCCGAGTGTCTCCGAAAGAAGAGGGGAATGACCGAATAGTCAGGTGAGGGCCCGACCTCAACTGTAAAGGAATTGTAGGTAGTTTGTCGAAATCTTAAAGTGCTTGCCATAAACGTGTTTCTCGATTTTGGTATTTTCCGTCTGCTGTGAGTATCAAGAGAAATAAAATAAATGGTTTGGTTAAGCAATAATGCCACTGCTAGTTGAGTTAGATAATTGTATTTAGCATAGTTTGTGAAATTGCGAAATGCCCCTTTAAATCGCGATCTTATTAAAGGGAGGTTATTGAGTTGTCCGGAAAATAATGCAGGATTTTGAGTTTTCTTTAAAATACCCATTTATATAACAAACTCTTTCCGTTTACTGGATTATTCATCTTTATTTTTTTCAACACTCATTAATCCTCTTCCAAACGATAATGTTGTCTTAACTCTGTGGCATTTCGCTGCTCAGAAATTTAGTCTTTACTAAGATCTCAACGCGTGAGTTTCGTATAATTTTGTTCTATGTGTTTAAACTCGGCCGGAATGAGGCACAGACGGTCAGAAACCACAACCAAGTCTGAGGCGAGAACAGCATTAATGAGTGCAATGTTTAACCGTGGTTCAAAAACGAGAAAACGAGAACTTGCAGGGAAACTTAACCTTAGCAAATCGACCGCCATTGACCACCTCAAGACAATCAGAAAGAAAAAAAAACCTTGAAAGTTGGATTCCACTCCAACCGATTTTGATTAAATAATACATTTGTAAATCTTTCTTTTTCTTTTTAAACCAAAATCCTGCATTATTTTCCGGACATCCCAATATATAATAATAACGTCAATATCCGGCTATTTTCGGATTCCCATTTGTAGAAATGATCAAGGAATCTTGGTCCAAGCATAAAAGTGGAATGAAACTTGTACAATGTTACCATTTTTGGTTGCCTCGTTTAAATGTCGTCTGGGAGCTTAATAGAAAGCAATTTGTATAGCAAAATCAGAAAATATTGAATGCATTGTACCATAATGGAATAATGACTCTTATAAAACCTTTATTCTATTAAAGAGGCGTTTCAAATAGTAAGATGTAAATTAATTAAAAACGACTACTTCGACAATCAGTTAGTAAATACCTACGTTCGCTATCAGTGAAATCTTTCCCATTACCAATCCAACTTGTTCCCTTCCACAAACACTGTTATTTTCTCTAGATTTCCTTTGTTCCTTCATTACCGATTATTTAGACATTCAGGTCTAAAAGGAGATTTGGCATACAATGTAAAGGAATCGTGATCGGTAGTACACTACACTAGCGGATCCGGTTGGGGGGGGGAGGGCGCCCTCCCCCCTGGAGGCTGGAAAAAAATAAAAAAAAGTTCCAAAAAGCAGATATTTGGAGAAAAGAGAAATATAGGAAAAATTCATCATGATAGATAATAAAAAAATTATTATCGTGACCAACACTAGCGAATTCCGCCAATGGGCGCCCTCCCTACTTCCCTTAGATGGTGGGAAAAAAGTCATAAAAAGTGACAAAAAACATCTATTTAAAGAAAAGAGAAATGCAGTGAAAATTCATCCTCATACACGAATTTCCTAATGAAATAAAAACAATTATTATAGTACTTAAGTAGAGGAAAATATTTAAATGAGTGATAGCAAAACACAATAAATACAAAAAAGTTTATATAAACAATGGTTCGATTTTTAGCAGGAAAGTATTGAATCAAAGTTTTGTGATTTTTTATGTAAGCCACGTTTTTTTTAATGGGAAATGATAACAAAAAACTATTTAATTTAATTAATTAATAATAGTTTCATTGTAAACTAGACAAAATTTACTTTAAATAAAAATTGAGTTTGCTTTTCTTAAAGCCATTTAAAGAGAACTTTTGAGCGACTAAACTTAGCTAAGGAGTGGGGGAGATGGGTAGTGGTGGAGGAACTGGTAGGGGTGGGGAACTAGTAAGGGTGGGGGAAGCACGTGGTACAGAGGTGCGCCCCCCCTGAGATAATCCCTGGATCCGCCAGTGGTACACTATTACTCGCAGGTATTCTCTTGGTAGACGGACTCTTGTAAACATTATGTTTCAAACATTTTATAAGATCTTGAAATGTATTAAACGAATATTTGTTTGCACTTCTGATCAAATGTGATAGAGCAGATGAATCCCAAAGAAACTAAACAGTATATTGTTAAAAAATGGATAAGGGATCGTTGGAAATTCCATAACGTAAACAATATTTATAAAAAATCATCTCAAGAAAATCATTTCGAAAATAAAAGAATTATATAAGTCGTTCTGTTAAATTTCATTTAAGGGCCATCAAACATATTAATCTACAAAAATATATTAGTGTCTTTGGAACTTTGACATTTTGCATCATACCTGTCTCCAACGTTTTTGCTTCACCACCTTATAGCTTTATCTTACACAGGCTTATTTTAGCTTTTATTGGCCAACGAAGATCGATTTATCAATTCATAATGAAGACATACATTAATTTTAACTATTTACAAGCTATTCATATTGAAATAATATGAAACTATTTTGTTATGATTTAAAAAAAAAAACACGATTTATATAAATGATTAGAATGGAGCAATATCAAGTGTCTATATTTTTGTCGATGTACTATTTAATTCTAAATGAATATATAATACTATGTAACTATTTACCTTGACATAGTACCAGTAGGTTATTCCAATTTTTTTCACATCAATAAATAACCATATGTAATTTTTTTTTTAGAACATTTGTAAGTTGAAGTTAAGCTTGGATAACTTGGATGTATTTATTGTTAGCAAGATCAAATGAATAAATTACCGATAGACGAACATCGATAAGAATTAAATTTTCTTAGGTAAGCTATTATTTCAATCCATGATTGATTTCAATCCATTTTAATATCATATTATTTCAATCCTTAGGCAAATTCATGGGGAGGAAGGGGACTTTCGGGCTGAAGGCCTCTCCACCCTCCCAAATGGTAAAAAAAAAATGTCTGGCAATGTTGTTATAAAATCATATTATAAAATTTTTGAAGTGCATTTTAAACGGAACTAAAGCTTACAGAAAACTAATCGTTAAGACCACTAGCGGATCCAGGATTTAATTTTGGGGGGGACTTCAGCCCGAAACCTTTTTTTTTCATAAAAATAACGATAATTACTTTGGAAAAACAGAAAAACTAACTACCTATATGAAATGGTGTTTAAGTTATTCCTTAAGTACTTTTAAATGTAATTACACAAACAATAATACTTTAAGAGGTATTTTTTAAATTTTTTTTCCCATAAAACATGGTTATATTTTTCCATTTTGAGGGGGGCTTCAGCCCGAAAGCCCCTCCCCCCCCCCCGTAGATCCGCCCGTGGTTAAGACCATGCAATTAAAAAAGTCTATTTATTACTTCGACGATAGGCAATAAATTTAATAAATAAATTCCATTTAAATTTAGCTACTCCATCTGCTTTTATAAATCACACTTCAGTCTCTGAGCCTTTCAGTTGACAGAATGACTAACTCCAATTTCAACATTTTTGGTATAAAGGTATAAATTTTGCCACTAGAAATATCACTGAAATTTTGAACTATTTAAATTTGTAATAATAGTGGATTTATAATAGTTTGTGTTGTGCTAAATCGGTCTTGGTCATGAACTTTACAAGACCAAGACTAAGGCCGCCTAACTGTTGCAAGACCAACACCAAGACTGATAAAAAAAAAATCCCTTTTATGAATAAAAATTAAGGTAAAATAGACACTAAAACTTGAAAAATTTAGTTAGCATGTGTAAAGAATTGGTATAACCAATATCCTTTGTAATTTAACTCTCAATTTTTTATTTGGGCTTAGTTAGGTTTTCCGTATCTGAAAAATTACAGTAATTTCAAACATCTCATTTCTCTATTCACTAGTTTCATTTTGATGTGGAGCACAAAATATACTTCGGAGAATTCATTTTTTACATTAAACAAACTTTGGATCACTATTCTTTCTATAATCCATTCTTACACCAGTGAAAGAACCTTCGAAGTAAATAATGATGTTGCTTATACAGCCCTCATTTCTTAGCCTGCCTGTGTCCCTTAACAGGGGTGCCCAGAAGGGAGTTTCATGGTACAAGTTGCGCCATCAAAATTTTTGAGGGGGCACATGTTGACTAGGTTTTGAATTTTTGAGGGGGCCCATTTCGATGGAGCTGATTTTTCAGAGTGAAAAGTTTCAAAACAGAGAACTAGGAGGAAACATGGAACAGGCCACACCAAGTATAATTGTATATGATCTTTGAATTGTCAAATCTTACTTTCGCTTGCACTGTTTTTAAGAAGAGGAGTGAAATACTATTTTTGAAAAGAGGAGGATGGTTCATGTGCCATCGAACTTGGAGGCGATGGGCACCCCTGTCCTTTACGGCAGTAACTTGGGAACTAGCTTCCATTCTCTGCATAGATCATGAACCTGATATTCCAACCCATCCCATCCCTGTGCTCACTACGTATGGACATGACATATGTACAGAGGTGCCCATCTCCCCTCCTCCCAAGGTTGATGGCGCAAGAACTTACCCTCCTTCCAATATATTTTATTGCTCAACTTTAATTAGAAAATTAGAATTAGAAATATCGTAGATCATATACAATTACACTTTCTGCGGTATGTTCCACGTTCTCCCCTTGTTTCTTAGTTCGAAAATTAATAACAGTCAAAATTGTTTCCCCTCAAAAATTCTAAAACTTGTCAAAATATTCCTCCTTCAAAAATTTTGATGGAGCAAGTTGCACCATGAAATCCCCTTCTGGACAACCCTGCGCCTGTGTGCTATATATAAATAGCAACTGAACAATTGCATCCCAAACTCTGTAGTAGACACTATATGAATTGAAAAATGGTATCAAAATAAAATTTCAATTTTTTTTTTTACAGTGCTTATGGAGATATAATCTAATCTAAAGCTTGCATACATTTTTATCAGATTTTTAATTTTTTATACATGACCTAATTCTTTGTTAGGCTCAAAATAAAAATGAATGTTTGTTTTCATCACCTCATCTTCTTAATTCAATAAAACTTCCATAATCAAGGTAACTTCTCAACTTGGTAGATCATACAAACTGGATTCTGCTTCACAGAAATAACTAAATAATGTATGAAAGAATTGTGAAAAGTTATTGTATATGAATATGAATTTTTAAACAAAGAATTTAGATTATTATTATTATTATAGGTTACATATGAACCCAAGTATCTTTAAAGAAAATAATAATAAAGATTTTTAACATTTTATATCATCTAGATATATCATAGTTTATTAAACAATAATTAATGGAACTTAAATTGGACTATAAAAATAATAATTATATTTAAATTACAATAAACTCCTAAAACACATAAGTCCACCAATATTATTTTATCATTTGAAAGGGAATTTCATACTGTTTTTAGTAATGCATATTTGTTTTTGAGCAAATGGAAATAGTAGCGTAATGACAATGCAGAGCCTTTTGGAACGCAATGCATAAATAGATGTACAGGGAAAGTTTGAACTAATTAATATATCTACTAATTGAACTGGCGTAATGAATGAGAGAGTTGAGAAAAAATGTTACGGGAAAAAGATAAGGATAATTTTATTTTTCTAGAAGGGAGGGCACACAGAAAAAATTTCAATAGAATGTCAGTCATCATCAATAATCTGAAGAGACTTTAGATAAAGATATTTTTCCACTCATGTATTTCAACTTTGAAATTATTTTTACTTTTTATATTAAAAAAAAAAATTATGGGTCAGGAAAATCTTAATTGCAATATTTAAGGTATCATGCAATTCTCTAAACATTTTAGAACAAATGAATACATTTTCAAGAATTTAGTTCAATAAATACTAATTTACTTAGAGAAGCAAAGATGCAAACATGCTAAATCCGAGTGAGGTTATCACCTACCTCAGCATTGAGATTTGAAAAAAGTTCGAAGTGATACCATATTTGAACTATTTGAAAAGTAGAGTGACCGCAACCCTTAACAGATTCAGTTGTATAGAGGTCACCTTTTGGGGTCTCAGATACCTTGCAACTATGAGCATTTATAAATGTTTTATTTTGAGTACCCCTTGCCTGGAGCCAAAATCTCTCGTACAGATAAAATGGCTCTATTTCAAGTCACCAGATCGTACAGGACGGTGTCCATAGTATCTTCAAGTGAGAATAGAAGATCCTAGGAATTGAAAAAAGGATTAACTGGGAGGATACAGTAGAAGAGTGGAACTGGCGGTGGTTGACAACTCCAAAAAGGGCAACCCTGAGAAAGTATTTTTCCACCATCGGATCGCGACTAGAAACAACTTGGGTCCTCCCGGACTACTACACCTCTCTCCCTTTCTGAATATCATTGTTTTAAACTTTTCCTGATTAAATGTAAATTCTATTAATCACAATAGTTTTATAAATCTATAATCATAAGTTGAAGTCTAACTGGAATAAAAGCAATGAAGGCTTAAGTACACACTATCCTAATGCTATGGTATTCACTTCTCCTGCAACACAATCCTCTATATCATCAATGTACCCACTGAAAAGAAATAGACTAACATTAAATTGGTTATTTGTGAAATGACAAATGTGGTATTTTTAAGATAAAAATGTATGGATAAACAATCAATCTTTACATTAGTTATGTAATGTGTTTTCTATTACTAAAAGATGCTTCTGCGAACAATGCAACCTGAACAGCTCCCAACTCAAAAGTGGTATAAATGTGTCATTTTTGAAATAACCTATTCAATTATTCCCTTATAATAATAACATTTTATTATGTGATATAAAATTTCACTATGTACAATAATATACATTTTTCCCTTACTATATCCCAAATATTTTTAAGGAGTTCTGTCAATTCCTTATTGACTCCACTCCTTGTTTAAGGTTTAAGCTCATTATTATTTTAACAATTTTGATTGATACTCCTGAGTGTTACAATTTGTAATATAATGCCTAGTAGTGAACTATACATTTGCAAATAGCGAAATATATCAAACAAAATATAACATGTGCCTTATTCTCTTTCTTCTGCAAATTCAAGATGATTATAATAAGTAAGATTTTAATAGAATAATATTTCCTAAATGCTGCCTATATTCCTTAACTAGTTATTGGCTATTAATGAGTAAGTCAATAATTTAACTATTGGATTTTCAAACTTAATACCCATGTAATTCATTGTGTTATTCTTATCCTCTACTTTATGAACAGGGAATATAATAGATTAATAAAAGCTATTAGGTATTTTTCCCATTTCAAAAGTAGTTATTAATAGAATTGTGTAGTTGTTTTAAGCAAAACATTGTTGTTTTTTTATATCTTAATTTTCAATATATTATAACATTATTAAACTATTAATTATTTCATTTATATCTTTTAACAACGAAACTGAACAAAAGCATGATCTGACACCCGAAATGAAATAGCAACTGACAGTTGAAGATTAAATGCAAATGAAATTAATGACTGGAAAATCATGATGGTGGAAGAATTGCAGAATTGAAATCTAACCAAACCATAACCTATCATTCAGAATAACTGTCCTTTTCCCACCCCTGGAATCATTACCAAAAAGCATTCGAGCTAAAGCCCTCCAAATTTGGATGAGACAATACACCACTGTCCCAGTTCGAGGGATGTAAGAGGAGCGACTGTTATAATTTCTCCCTGGGCACCAAAAACTCATGACAGCTCAATTGATAAGCGTTTCATTGCTGAAATGACCCTCAGAAAACACTACTGATTATTTATTTTTAAAAATATCTTCCAACTTATGGGTTTTCCTTTCTAAATTTCTAACATGATCTGCTTAAATCGAAGGTATATACAGGGATTTATTTTTAAGATCTTAACTAAATCCATTTAGTTAAGGTTCTCATTTTTATTTGGAAAAAGTTTATTATTTTTCTTTCATTTCTTATATTTAAAAAGTTAGCATGATTCATAAAACATTAAGAAAGTTACTAATATGTAACTACTTTCTTCTATATATTTAATTTGCAGAAAAAAAGAAACATGATGAAACACTTCTAAATTTTAAAGAAAATTTGCGAACCCTTGCCAACAGAAATATTGAAAGAAGAAATTTATACAACCAATAAATAAATAATTTACTTATAATTGCATGGCAGTGCCAGAAGTTAACAATAGAATTTGAAAAAAGTAAAAAAATAAAAGGCTGATTGAAATGAAGCATTCAAAAGAAATACAAAATACCACCTTGTTCAATGTTCAAATATAAAATCAGTCTTTCACTGGTAAATTTATTAATGTGTAGGCTAACAGGGGAATGTTTCTGAGAAAAAACGGTATCTAAAATTTGGAAGAAATAAGAAATAAAACAATATACTTCCAAAATTTAAAAACAACACAACTTTTGAATTAAAAAACAATAACAATATATTAGAATGGATACAAATTTTGAAAATATAATTTATAACAAAAAAAAAACTTAAAGCTTCGAAACAAAATAATTTACAAAGGTACAGATATTAAATTCATTAATAAGGCCGATATTTTAATGTTCTAAGCCTATTTTATACAGCTTCCACAGGAGCGAAGTTGATAATTTAATAATTTACTTTATTTTAATGTTATAAAATATTCTGGTGAGAATATTGCCAGACAAACCATGATAACCATGGCTGATTGTCTCAATCTAAACTTTGATGAGGAGGTTAAGGGACCGGCATGCCTTTGAGCCTTTCAAAAGCAGCTTTCTCAAGGGATTCACGATGATCAGGATGGGCAACATTGATCAAAGCATAAGCTCGCTGACGTAGATTTTTCCCAAACAGAGAGGCAATACCATGTTCTGTCACAATGTAGTTGATGTGAGCCCTAGTTGTAACAACACCAGCACCTGAAATATCATAGACATGTAAATGACTGTAAGCAAAACAAAGAAACCAAATTTGGCTTCTATATCTGAATAAATTAATAAAATGCAAAATGATGTAGAGATGGTTGACCGTTGATATAATATGAGAAGGAGTTGATTGGGGGATGCGGTCAAATTAATACTAAATTAAATAAGTATAATTATTTAATTTTTGCCTAAATTAAATAATTCTTAATAGAGGCAAAAATTAAATAATTCTACTTATTTAATTTAGTATTAATTTGACCACACCCCCAATCAACTCCTTCTCATAATAAAATGCAATGTTATCAGCAATTTATAACTTAGGTCATAGTTTGCCATTGTGAAATTTATTGAAATAAAAACTGTGAACATAGATTAGAAAACATTAATTTTTATTTCAGAGCATTCTACATGTTTCTTATATTTTTTGTCCTCATTTTTTTTACTAGCATACAAAAATATATAGACCTTGATACTAGCATGTTTTTAATTTTACATGACAGAAAAGTCTATTAATTTTTTAATTAAAGTTTCAGTGTCCATCACTGGATTATGATAACCATTTTTCAGATCTTGGATAACACCCTGATACATTGCTTATATCATACAAGTTATATTCGGTGCTAAACAGTAACACTGATAACTTGAAATTTTTCAAGAAATGGTTTGTGTACATTCAATTCAGTGAAAATGAAATAATTGATTTTTTCACAAAAAGGGTGTTTACAAATAGGATTTAGAAGTTCTTAAAGGCGACTTTCCCTTTATCCAATCATTTTGTTTTAAAAAATCATTAAAAATCGAGTTATTTCAAATCCATCGCTTTAACGGTAGTCACTATTCCATTAAAAATTACTTTACTATATCCTCACAAAAAATTGGACTAGAAATATCCTTAACATCAATACAGTTCATGTTACTCTTATGAACAAAAAAATAGTTCATAAGAGTTTACAAATTAAACTAATGGAAAAATTTTTCCCAATTGTTTTTGGTAAGAACTTCTTCAATATCTTTGGTAGCAGAAATTGTGAGATTTCCATTAGCAGTGTTGTGTCACCCTTCTACAGAGCATGTTTGTTGTGTCACTATCAGAAAATTTTGTTCATTTTACTTGTAGTATAAGCACCAAATATAATCACTTATATATCATGTAGCAAGTAGTATATTTTGAAATGTTTTTGAGTAATTAACTAAAAAAACTACCTAAATTCATCAGGGGACAAAGGGAATGGACAGCTAAACCTATCCGTACATATATTATTACAGTAAGGCTCGAAATCGGTTTTGTACCAAATATAAGCTCCTGTCATGCTCAAATACCATGAATGGGGTACCGTTGGATTCAGAATTTCAGGGGGGGTTAGCGAATCGTATTCTCCACTTTTGTTTTTCTTTCTAAAATAAATAAAGTCGATACAAACATTTTGCTAGGCTTCAATACCAGAACAGTGGTAGGTCTGTAGATCGATACGGGACCAATTGGATCTAGAAGATTTTGATGCGTACAGCAAGACCCGGATAGTTCCTCCGGAACTATCGGATCCTGCCTTTTGAGCCCAAAAACGTACTATTTTCAAAATAACGCAAGGCATAGGGTTCGCATCCGCACAACCTTACATTAATTGTAGTACTGTCATTTAATACATGTCTCATTTCGTCGACTTGAGGTCTCTATGATCGAGAGAGGAGGATTTTATATTATTTATTGATGGTGTTTTAATCGGCAAGCCATATCATCGTCAATTTTTCACCAAATCTCAAGATTGAGCCACCAATTTCGAAGGCTTCCTTCTCCTTCAGGCGGACAAAATAGTCCAATCATCCCGAAAATTCAGGCAAAAAAGTTATAAAAGAAAACAAAACTTTATTTGCGAATAACTAAAAAATTACAAACTTTCCCCTTATGCCCATGATTATATAAAAGATTACTTAATTCCCTACAAAAGGAAAAAAAAAATCATCGAAATCGGACAATTTTTAGCAAAGATACAGCTTACTGAAATTTGTAAACATGTTGGTTCCAAACAAAAATGAAGATTTAAATTAATTTTTGTTTTCTTTGTCGATTATATTTATCGATAAAGTAACGTTTGATTTCTTTATCTTTTGATAAGTTGCATTACTTTATTTTCTTATTAATCTGGCATTTGATAACAATATGCTGTGCGAATTTTTCGCACGGGCCTACTAGTCAATAAAAATTTTGAATCCAGGAATGGGCAAAGGTTCTGATTTATTTTAATTAATTTTTTTTTCTCTTATAAGTTCTATTCTAGTTTAAAACATACGACAAAAAAGAATGATACAATTACGATTATCACTAGAAAAAATTAGATAACCAAGAACTATAAAATTAAAACAATTATATATATCTTGAAAAAAACAAAACATTGAAACTAACAAATCTAATACAGAGGGCTTATCACACAATTTTCCCTTATTACTCTTCCTATAGCAGAAATAGGTATTTCTGTTATAGATGGTACAACATGGTAAAACAATTGATTACCATAGGTTTTTCATTTCACCCTAAACATCCCTATTTACAATTTGTTTAATTTTAATAAATAATTAAGTGTCGTGAAATATTTTTAGTCCGAAAAAAGTGCTATTAATAAGGAAAGCTACTATATTCATTTATATTTTATTGTGGGTATTTTTATTTGTTAATGGACTAGTTTTTTATAAAAATTTTTAATTTTTGTATTGTGTAATCTATACAATCAAATATTAAATAATACCAATACTAGAATTTATGAAAACTACATATGGATATGTGTATATTATTATCGGAGCCCGTATTCATCACCCATATTCTAACCTTTTGGCCAATCTCGGGGCCCACTTAGGTTTTTTTCTGTCCTCTATTATGATTTCTTATTTTTCCTTAATTTAATAATCAAATTCTTTCATAATTTATATTTAACCATTTCATATTTCAGGTTATTATGTATGCAGGCTATATAAGTAAGTTAATTATTTCAAAAAAACAAAATTAGAGGATTTAAGAGGAAGAAATTTTGAAAATGTCTAGACTGTTCACAAACATAAAGACCATATTGCGAGATGAGTTTATTTGGACTTAGGGGACCTCAAATTGTGTATTTCTGTTGAAAACTCAAATTTGAAAATTTTCACGATTGCGATACTTTTCCTTATTAAAAATATTTTATATACAGGTAAGTGAAAGAACAAGAAAAACAGTAAAAAGTTCCTACCCTCTTTTAATATTGGTACAATCTTGCTGTCCCTTGTTTTTTTGTTCATTGATTGAAGAGCAATGATTGCTTTACCCTTTCCATCAGTTCCTTCAGCAGCTCCCCGATGGAAATCAACTTGACCACCAAAGCCTACAAAAGAGTTTTTTTTAAATATAAAAATGTTAAAGATACACACACACAATTAAAAATACTTAAACACACACACACACACACACACACACTACTGCTATTATAGATGTTAATGTGGATAATTATAAATGTTAAAAAACATTTCTAGCTTGCCTCAAATTATTTCTGTTCTTTTAGCCATATCCCTTTTTTTAGTATAATTTCATGTATATATATACATATATATATATATTTTTTAGTATAATTTCATGTATATATATATATATATATAGACTGAGCAGGGTTCTAATACAAGGAGAAGTATCTGAAGCCTTTAAAGTTCAAACGGGTTTGAGGCAGGGAGATGGACTCTTGCTGATGCTGTTCAAATTAGCCCTATAGAAAGTAATAAGAACAACATCTGGATGGAGGGGTGCACGTTGAAATGAAACACAAAATCCTAGCATATGCGGATGATATAGCTGTCCTTGGAAGTAATCAAGAGGATATTGAGAGACTTGCTCGAACTCTGTTAACAGAAGCAGAGCAAATTGGACTACAAGTCAATGTAGATAAAATAAAATATTTGATGAAATAAAACATCCACTCTAATACTGCTCGTGGACTCTAAGTCATTCCCGAAAGTAGACAGATTCATATACCTCGGCGGCTCCACAATAACCTCAATAAATGATCAACTAACAGAGATAGACCAGCGAATAACAAGTGCAAACAGATCTTTCTTCTCCCTTTCAAGGGTACTGAAATCCAGAAAAATCTCCATAGATCTAAAAATAAGGGTGTACAACAATGTGATTAAGCCAGTTCTGCTTCACATTTGTGAAACCTGGGCTCTAATCGACACACTAGACGCCAGAATTGAGAGATTGGAAAGAAAAGTTCTCCATAAGATAAAAGGACCTAAATGGGACCAGAACTTTGACACATGGAGGAGAAGGAACAATAAAGAACTGCTGAAAAAAATGGGTCAGTCAATATCTCATGACATGAAGGCAAGGAGATCAAGATGGGCGGAGCATGTAGCTCGTAGCAATTCATCAGGACGCCTTTACACAAAAATGAATGACAGAGTAGTAGGAAAGAGAACACGTGGGAGGCCAAAAACCAAATGGATAAATAGGATAAACCAAGATATGGCTGAGCTTCATGCTGCAAACTGGAAAGCAGTAGCCCAAGATAGGCAGAGGTGAAGAAGGCTGGTTCATATATATAAACTGTATATGTTATATATATAAACTAGCAGATTAAAGCGGAGGCTTTCAGGTAGAAGTCTCCTGCTTCCAATTTTTTTTTTTTTTTCATTGATCTTCTTAGTTTCTATTAGTGATCTGAGCATAATACTTCCAACAATTACTACATGTTCTAATTTTAAATTATAATATAATATATGTGCTTTAGTTATTAAATGTAAACATGTATCAAGAAAATTTTTTTAAGATTTTATTCCTAAAAGCTTTATTGTTTCTGTAATTACAGTTCTTGAATCCACCACTTTATACATATTTACAAAGCAATGAATAAGTTATGTTAAATTAAAAATATAATGTAATTATTATGTATACACAGATCCAATAAGTGTTACATAAAACTATTATAACTATTATATATGAAGAACAAAGTACTAATAGTCAACTTACCACTAAACAACCTCGTTCCAATGGAGTCTGAGCATACCTGACCAGTTAGATCTACTTCAATTGCTGAATTTATTGAAGTCATTTTAGGATGAATACGGATTATGGCTGTACTGTTGGTATAGTCGACTTCCTTCATCACTACAAAATAGGTAGAAGGTATTTACAAGAATATTTTAAAGGATTTAAGATAATAAATAGAATGTGTTATATTTTAACTCCTCGAATAAAAAAGTGGAGCACTTCAAAACACTTTTTGTATGTTTTTCAGTAGCATTTTATTGTTTTGATATATTTCAATAAATTAGTTAGCTTATAAAGGTTTAGAAATAAAAGTGAAATAAATATATTTTAAAAATATGTATAATCATTCTACTTAAATATAGTCTGTTTAATTAAAAGTCATTAAGTGACATTTCATAACCTTAAATTATTAACAACTTAGATGAATTTTCCGTTTATGAAATTAGAAATCAGCACTTGTTTTAACTGCATTTGATATATAAAAGAGTTTGTGACACTTACAGTATTTTTGCATTGATAAATAAAATATAAATAAACAAAAACACATTTGTAAGTTAAAATATATCAAAAATGCACTTAGTGACTTTTTGCAATAAACCGACGATATTATTAAATACAAAATACACCTTTAAAGGTTGATATGATCTCCTTAGGCTTAAATTACAGTAGTAGAGGTCAGAAAAAGATATTGGTAGCTGACCAATATATAGAACCATTGCTTGGCTGGATTACGCATACTATGTCATTTTATTTACTTATATTTTTGCTATTTCTGCAATATTATTTTGGCTATAGATGTTTGAAATAACATTGTTTTTATGATTACTAAGTAATATTCAGGAGGATATTATAATTACTAGTATTTCTAAAAACAGTAGACCTCATGAAAAAATCTATGATCAGTACTTTAAAGATTTAATTAAAGCCATTGCAGTCATTAATTAAGAAGCCAATAATAGTTTCCTGGAATATTATTTTTATAATCGGTGTTATCCAAATGGAAATTATGACCTAAGTTGCATCATTGTATTCTGAGAGGGACACAAAATGTGAATTTAGGGTTATGTAAGGGGAGAGGGGAGTACTTGAAAATTAAAACAGTGAAATTATGATAGTTTTGTTGTCTTTAATATAACAATCAATGGGGGTGCAGTTATACCCGCTATCAAAGCATAGTATACTTCGCTGTTGTAGATTTCGTATCTTTGATCTTTGAAATTTTGGTCCAAAAGAAATAATGCTTGAAGCATGTGGTACAATTTAGGTAATTAAGTATTAGTTAAACATTAAACATTGATATGACTTAAACTAGCAATAACAAAAAAAATCATAAATACTTAATAAATCCAATTGATGCATTTTCATTTAAAAAACAATTTTGTTTTTCCTTTTCTGTTCATGCCACACTGTGAAAAACAACAACAAAAACAAGGTATTTGGTTGAGACTATGAAATAAACAGAACCATTAAAATCTTGGATCAGAATTAAAATATACAAATCCTTACTCATATTTATCTCTTTATATATAAATAAATATATATATATATATATATTCAATACATTGAGGAACACAACCCTAATTAGATGAAAATCAATCTGTTTAAAACCAATTAAACCAAAAAGCAATTTCACATTATTTATGCCAGCTTTCAGCAATGTATATATCATTTGATGATCAAAATATTTTTATACTATTGTTAATCACAACTTTCTTCTACTATTAATCTATATCAAATTTCAATCCCAAATGTACCTCTTTAAAATACATTTTTAGCGCTAAGAAAATAATTTTAATAAGTGGTACAATTAAGTCTTCAACGAATGAAAATATAAGATCACTGCTTCAAGATATTGAACAAACAAAATTTGTAGTCTAAGTAACAAAATATTCATACTATAGTAAATTGTAACTATGTGTTTGTCAAAACTACAGTAAATAGAGTTAGAACATTTTCAAACCAAGACCACAAGTTGTTAAAACAACAATAAATTGATATAAAATAGTTAATTTAACATAAATGTATGAAAAGAAATAGAAACAAACTAAAGCGCTTACAGACAGAAGGATTGTTGTCTACAAAATCATAAAGTTCCTTTGATCCAATGAGAAATGATGATACTATTTTTCCCTTGTGTATAGGCTTCAAGCCATTGGTGACAGCCCCTTTCTTGACTAGGTTTATCACACCAACAGCGAACATTTCAGTATGAATACCGAGATCCTTGTGATTACCTAATAAGTTGAGTACTGCATCTGGAATGCTACCGATACCTGCATGAACAGATAACAAAATTAACTTTAATAAAAGAACATTAGTAATATAAAATACACAATAATGAAAATAACAATCAAAAATTCTATACTCAATTTTCAACTGCTTCAAGTTCAAATGATTCATTTTACAATTTCTATCCACACAGGATAAGCGGTAAATAAAAAAATATGGTTATAAATAAATAGAACTTAGAACTTAAATATAACTTTTTTTTTCTGTTGGCATTATGGACCATGTAGATCTTTTGCCTGTTGAACTTATAACATAACAAGTCCTTATGTAAATATACACAATAAATCAAGTTTTAATATAATTTGGTTATCTCAATCATCATATGCTCTTGACTGGCAAACTGTCAAATAGAAAATCAAAAAATGAAATAAGTCAACAGCAGACCCTACACAATAGATAAATCATGATGACCCTTACACGTATCAATCATACAGACATTTTTCATTTTAGCTCAGTGGATGTTGAGATAAGAGGCAGTGTGGATCTTGTGCATTTATAATAACATGTTTCATTAAAAATGCATATTTATCCATTATCCTTTATAACATTGGAGATCAAGGGAAAAATGGAGTTATAATAATTACATCCTAGTGTCTGAAAATCATTTTGACAAAAGTTAGAAAAATATAAGTCTACTACTAACAAAAACTAAGGAAAAGTATTGCAAAAATAATAAATTTGCTGAAAAAAATGGAAAAAGAACTGACAAATATACACAACAGTTAAAGATTCATTTTTTCCTATAAGTAAATTGTGAAGTTTCCACTTTTTTTTTTTTTTAATTTATTGCCCACTTGACTATTTAAAAAAAAACATAATTGAAGATGGTTTATAAAAATATAAACAACGGATATGAAAAATTATTTACTTTTAATGAAAATCAGGAATTTGCAATGGTTGTGAGGCCTAGGTAAATGAACCTGTCTAGTAGTAAGGTTAGTCTCACCATCACTTTTGACTCAGTCTCCCCTCCACTTCGCATGATTGAACGGAATTCGGAAATTCGTCAGACATGTCCATTAGGACTTCAATTAGTACCTAACACGACTAATCACAACATCAATAGTGCCTCTGAATGCAATTCCGAATGACCGTGTAGAATCCACAATAGAACAACATTCTATTCATTTCTTTTCGGACCTTTTTTTATAAAACGATAAGTGAAAATAACAATTTTGACAACAATTAAAAGTTAGTTGGGCATTATTTGAGTTTTAAACTATTTTTTAATTTATTAACAACATTCTATATAAATGGTCATTTGAAAATATATTTAGCTATTATGTATTACTAAACAGTTACTTGCACATATTATTTTAAATAAATCATTTAACATAATCATTTTCTGTCAAACATTTGAAATAATGACTCAAAATTATTACTTTAATTTTCCTTAACCTGTTAACTGAGAGGGATGTATAAATACCTTAAATGTAAATAATATCAGGGACGGGTAGGACATATAAATACATCCTTGAAATATATGTTGCGGCCTGGAATGAGCGGGGACGTATATTTTCGAACAACAAAGTTATTAGGCTAAAAAAGATCTATAAAGTTTTTTTTCTATGACTAATTGATATGTGCTGCTTCAATGCTATATTATATACAAAAAAGATAAAGATCATTTGGATCGATTACACTTAGTGTGTAGAGTGTGTAGAGAAATTGATGGATGACAACAATAAAAATTCATCCAAAGACATCAACAAGCAGCTCTATACCTAAACCATCACGCTTAGTTGAAAGGAATTTTCCAGAACAAATGAAAGGCAATTTAGGAAAAAATAAATCCAGAAAATGCTGAATTTACTACAAAAAAGGTGTTAGGAAAGAATCTACATACTTGTGTCCGGATAGTAAGGTAGCACTTTGTATCAAGGATTATTTTAAAGTATATCACACAGAAATTGAGTTTTGTATTTTTACATATATATATATATATATATATATATATATATATATATATATATATATTTTAATTTTTTAAACTCAATTCATACACACTTCATGAGTTCACAAGTTCAACTTGTTTAGCTAATTATAAAACTCAACAGTGCTATTAAACATCTGAGTTATAACATTGATTCAACCAATGTTAAATTCTTATCAAAACTAATAATTATTATTATCTTATACTTGAGGATCATAAAAAACTTTCTTTGTTACACAAAAATAACAAACATTCTCCAAGACTCGAAACAAATCAATAATTCACCTTCACACTAATCCCAACAAATTTTCAGGGAATATAAACAACTCTTATTGTTTTTATATCAATGGGTCTCAAGGATATTTTTTCCCTCAAAATATGTTGGGATTAGTGTGAAGATGAATTATTGAATTGTTCAGAGTTTCGAGTAGTGGAGCATGTTTGTTATTTTCGTGTAACAAAGAAAGTTTTTATTATCCTCAAATATGAGATAATAATAATTATTAGTTTTGATAAGAATTTAACATTGGTTGAATCAATGTTATAACTCTGATATATAATAGCACTGTTGAGTTTTATGATTAGCTAAACAAGTTGAACTTGTGTACTCATGAAGTGTATATGAATTGAGTTTGAATAATAGATGTAGAATAGGTTAATTTTGGGAGCTTAATTTAGATTTTTCGCTATGATAAGGGAGAACATTTTATAGATCATATTTTATTTATTTATTTATTTTTTTGCTGGAACTATTTTCTATTGCACTGTTCTGTCAATGTAAAAAATCTTTCCAATTTTAAACCAATGTATTTTAGACAATGGAATGAAGAAATTTACTTGTTAAATGTCATATGGCAAATAAACCAAATATACAAAATATAATCATTGATCCTTGTGTATATAATAATAATTATGAATTATGTATATATATATATATATATATATATATATAAAAACACGAAATTAACAAGAAGAATAAAACAAGAAATATATATATATAGATAGATATATATATATATATATATATATATATATATTATATATATATATATATATATATATATATATATATATATATATATATATATATATCAAACATTAAACTCTTGTACATATGAACAAATATACATTTAGACTTTTCTTGTTATTTCTTAGATTAAAAAAAAGTATATTTAACAACTGAATACTACTTGTTTATTATATTGAAAATATTTTTCAATTTAAGGAATACGTAATATTCTCTAAAACTTTTTTGCATCTTTAAAATGAATTATGTATAGATTCTCAGACAAGACCTTGAATAATTATTAAAAGAGAAAACAAATTGTATGCTCAGGCAATACTTATATAATAGGACACACCCCCATAAAAAATATATCAAAGAAACAAGGACACAAAGAAAGGAGTCATATAGATAATATAATGGAATTTATATTAGATAAGAGGCAGACTGTTGACTGTTGGACCGGTGATATCAATTCAAGCAAACAAAATAGATTAAACAAGTGCATATCTACGTAATTGAAATGTAACAACAGCTTTATTATATTTTTGTTCTAAACATACTTCTGATTACTTAGCACAATTGAATCACTCAAAACCATAACAATTTATTTTATTTCCACCAATGTTTGAATAGTTTTATAATTTTTTTGGAATACCATTAATACAACAAGAGCGAATATAATGTAATTTTAATAATTAATCAAAATAAGCGTCTTTCTTCAGAAAGAAAAAAAAAAGTGTGAGTATAAGAGCGTCATCACTGAGGTTATATTTTGATTTGGAAAACTGGTGAAAATTTATTTAAAATATAATTTTAAAATAAACTGAACTGCTGAATTTAGTTTTAGAATATTTTACAATTTTGTTTCCGAATTTACTTAAAGTGGACGAAAAAATTGGAGAATCCAAAATGTACTTTTCTCTTTTTTTACTTCAATCCTCAATTACTCAATTAGCTGTAGACTTGGACCATTGGAGATACCAAAATGGATCTTTTTTTTTTTCTCTCGCCTACTTCCATTTTTAGGCAAGGGAGTTTTCCCGGGACACATACACACACATATATATATATTATTCTTTATTTTGTTGATACTCAATTGTAAATTTGTTTATTCTCCGCATAATTTTTGTATTTGATTTTGCCTCTGTTTTTAGAGTATTTTGTTTTAGTATATTTTGGTACTGTTCATTCATCTGATACTGTTATTTACTTTATTTAATCGTTTATTGTTATTTATTTTATTTAAACATCTATAATATTCTCCTTGTAATACATATTAAGTACCATTCTTTTTAAATATCTTTAGCCTATATCTATATACGCCTCTTTTGTAGGGTTACTACAGCAGAGAAAAAAATAAAATAAAAATCAGAAAACAAAGCAACAAAAGCCTAACAGTAGTTAACTGAATATTCTCTGAATTACATATAAAATAATATGGTTCCATTCCACCTTTTCATTTTTTCAGAGTAAGAAAATAAAGTGTTTAGTTTTACCACCGGTTTGATCCATTTTTAATCATTTTACCAGATAAACCAAAAACGTGTAAGCGCAGAAGTATATAACGTAGTTTGAACTCATATATATATATATATATATATATATATATATATATATATATATATATATATATATTGACGACTGACCATGTTCTATGGGTTTTAAAATGATATGAAGCATTCTCCCACCCCACTTCAATGGAGCATAATAGCCTATTTTTGGGAGGAAAATAAGACTAATGATTATCAACAAAAATGATGATTAGTCATAATAATAGATAATTTGATTGGGCTATTGTGAACAGAAGAACTTTTATCTGAAGCCTAGAAAGTCTATTTTATCTGTGCTAAGATAACTGAAATGATATGCTTCATAGAACATCTTACTTATATCACTTTTAAATATAATTTTGTAAAATAAAATTGTAAACTAATACTGACAGTAAGATAAATAACATACCCATTTGTAAAGTGGCACCATCTTCAACTAAATTTTCAGCAATATGTTTTCCTATTGCAGTCTCCTCAGGGCTGCCTGCACCAGAACCATGACTGGGCAGAGGAATGTCTACAGGAACAGTGTAGTCAAAGTGTGACATGTGAACAACACCATCGCCAAAAGTTCGAGGCATCTGTTGGTTGATTTGTGCTAAAAAATAATAAATAGAAGCCATTGAAATAAAAAATAGAAGCCATTGAAATAATAAATAGAAGCCATTGAAATAATAAATAGAAGCCATTGAAATAATAAATGTTAAATAATTACAATTTTTTTCAGAAAGTAACTTTCAGAATAGAAATACATACATGCAGTAAATATATGAGCCCATGAAATATTTAAATTTATTTACTTTATTGCAAAAATCATAATTACTTCTAAATAATTAAACAATTAATTTCATGTTCCAATGCATTACTGATTTAGACAATAATGATTTAAATAATTTGTGAGGGAATAACGTTTAAGATTCAACACTGACTTTGAGTATTTAACAGGTGAATGATTAAATAAATATTCGTTTGAAAAATATCAGGAATAAAAAAATAACACCCTGAAATTACATCTGACAAATAACATTTCTTAATTAGACTATTTCAGAATAATATATTTATAACCATACAATAGAAATAAATTAAATTGTATTGAAACACCAGTATCATTAAAAAATAAAGAGTGAAAATATCAAAGTAAACATCCATCATGAAAACAAATAAAATATTAAATATCGAAATATTAAAAAAAAATAAATAAGTATTCAATTTCAACTAAAAAGTTTGAAGATAGTTAAACTAGGCTTTGTGAATTAGGGTAATGAATTAAATGATTATTAAGACATGATCAAAGTTTATTCTTATAACAAAAAATAATTGTAATGATGTCAGTCAAACCAATCACAAAACATTTAAACTTCACAGAACTAACAACCCAGCAATCATGTGTAATTGACTAAATCAAAGAGATATAAGCTTCTTTCCCACGATTACATCTAATAATGAATTTCAAAAAGGTTTTTATTGAATTTTTAAATAATCAATAAATTAAAATACTTTTGCAAGATGATTTTATAATAATGGATAAACATTCCAACCAAATAATTATTATTAAAAATTATTAAGAGATTTTTTTCAGAACTAAATCACAACCAATTTATTTTTTCATTATGAGATTGATATTAAAGGTGATGGATTTAGCAAATAAAAGGATCAATTTCAAAAATACATTATTAATTAAAATTAAAGGGTTAAAAACTATAGCTATACTAAACATTTCAAGATTTTTATGATTTAATTTAAATCTGTTATAAGTCTATTTTGGTTTATTTATTTTCTCGTTTTAAATTAAATAAAAATGATGAAAAGATCCACATATAATAATTTAAAATGTTAGCTCTTTATTGATAGTTCTCATAAATATTGATATTTTAACTACTTTAAAAACAGAAAGAATTATGAAAAAGGGTTACTAAGAAAAAAAGAAGATAATTATTCATTTTTGTCAAATGTTTAAAGCAGAATGAATAATATAATCTGAAAAAAATAAAATATATTGAAAACTTTTGTTTTATATAAACACTAATAATAAATAAAAACAAATATAAACAGGTCTTAATATAAACTACTCACCAATTATAATTTTACTGTGTTGGGCTGCAGCCTTAACACAATCAACACTTGTACCAAAGCTGCAGAATCCATGCTTGTCTGGAGGAGAAACCTGAATAAATAAAATTGAAATATTAATTAAAATGACAACAAATAATTAATTACAAAATTTATATAACTAAACAATGGAGTATTGGTATTGCAACTGAATATGTTCCTACATTATAGTTTATTAAACAAAACATATTAAAATTCTATTAACCATCACCCTATTTTTTTGGGCACCATTATCTCCGATTGACAACCAAAAAATATTGGTAAAATTAAAACAAAGAATCAAACAGAAAAACCTTAATATGTGTCTTTAAAACAATGAAAGGGGGAAAATAATTATTTAAGAAGGGGAAATAAAGAAAAAAACTGATAATCAATTTTATTTTAACTGATATATATATATATATATATATAAATATGCAAAGGACAATAGCATCATTATGTTTTATATTTTAAATAATGAAACTAGTTAAGAACAAAGTTCCAATACACAATAAAGAAACCAAAACAAAATATTCCAATGTATTTAACAAGTTATTAAAAAACATAATTAAATTAATAACAATAAGAGAAAATAGTTTTTAAGTAATTAGAAAAACATTAAAAGGACAAGTAACAAACAACCTTGAAAGAAACAATGAACCTATTCTACATTTAAAAAATAATTCAAGGCCTATGTCATTCCAAAATTGACAACTAATGTAATAAGAAAAAATAAACTTAATAAAATATATCAAACCTAATAAATAAAAATCATCGTCATTTGTTTTTTCAATTGATCTACAATAATATCCTTCAGAGAAAAGTAATCTATCAACCTTGATTTTAAAAAATACACATCCTTGAAGCTTTGACAAACCTTCAAGTAAGTCATGTTATCTATATATGTTATCTATGGATCTAAAGTAAGGACATACAAATATAAATATACTTAATAATGTTTTTTTTTACACACAAGTAATAATATATAAATGTATTTGTATGTTGACATACAATAAGAAGGCGAAAGTCAATCTAAATTATTATATTTCAAATAAATCAAACAAGAAAATATATGGCTAATTATAAGAGATGATTATAAAATTCATAATTCCAATTCAGATTTTTTCAAGGAAATTGGAGGATAATTTAAATTTAGCTTAGTTCAGATTTTAAAAACATTAATGAATATATATATATATATATATATATATATATATATATATATTATTTAAATAGAGAAGTTATTGAAAAAGTTACTATTTTACATCATAAGGACACATGGAAGTAGAAGCATTGAGATACAGGAATATAATAAAAGAAATTTATCAAATCATCATTCTTCATTAATTTCATGATACTATTCTGCATAAACTAAAAGGTAAAAAAATGTAAATTCTAAAAGAAAATGTCAATTAAATATGACATACAAGTAAATTCCAATTGAAATACATTACTATAATAAAGAAAATAAATAATGCTAAAGGACAGTTACTTGAACAATGGCCACATCAGGCTTAACAATGTGCCGATGAAACAGTGATGGAATATCCTGAAGAAATATAGGAATAGCATCTGATGTACCATCTGCAACTGGTTTCCTCACATTACCTCCCATAAAAAAAGACAATGAACGAAAATGGTCTGAAACATGAATATTAAAACAAGTTAATTATCTTGAAGAAAAGTAATCACACAAATTTCAAAATATAATCTTAAAATTGAATTATACTGTGATACATAAATATATTGATAAATGAGCAATATGCCACCGTCGAAGGCTGACCAATCAAACTCCAGCTATTAATAGATTGATAAACAAGTGTTATAAACAACTCATCTCATGACTGTTTAAGCCATTCCATTTTCTTGAATTATCTAACTACAAGATAACTGAAAAAAATATTCAATAATGAAATAAGAAAAGAGGTGATTAAACTATAACCTCCAGAATATTCATACAATAAATATTTTCAAGTGTATAAAACAAATATTAAATACTTAAATATAAATTATTTATTATAATAATAATAAATACACATAAATTATACGTCATACTCAATGATAAAAATCAATTTATTCATAATTATTTCAATGTAAAAAAGTAAAGTAGAGTGCTTACTGATTTAAATAAAACCAATAAATTAATGACAGGTTTATTTGTAAATAATTACATAAGGAAGAAAGTTAAATATGTAAAGTGCATTACCATTAAATTCTTTTTGAGCATATAAGGCTGGTCCTTCAGTATGCATATGGCAAACGGTAATATCTTTCAAATTGTTTTCTTTTGCATGACAGGCCATTGCATTCGCTAATTCAATAGGTGTTGCAGCCGCACCACTCAAGAAAACGGTATCATCTAGAAATAGATATCATTGTAAGAAAAGTAACAGTGAGAATGGAAAACACTTCTTTCCAAAACATAAATAAGAGAATGCAGAATATACAGATAAGATACTTATATCATCATTACACAAATAAATAATGTATGCAATATTTCAAACTAAAACATAAGTCTTAAAATATTATAATGAAACGGAAAGTAATACCAAATTTCAGAATCTGATAAAAATTCTTAAGACTAATAATTATGATAATTAAGTGCTCTGGGTAAATTTAACTTACTGGACTTGATACATTTCACTGCTTCTTCAGCTGTCAAAATTTTAGGTTCATGGTCGACAACATGACATAACTCACGACTGTATGTAAAATATGTTCTTTTATTAAACTCCTTTTTCGTTCCTAAAGCGGCAGATATCCCCCAGTTTGTTTTTTTAATAACTTTCGGTAACTTCGCCGATATGGCGTGAATCGCAGAAGCCATTTAAATTTAATGTGTTAAGTTGAAAATAACAGCAGTCAAAAGTATAAGGAAAATAGGATATAGTCAAGGAGACGACACGTCCGAATCCGATGGAACAAACTGGGGGACTACTCAAGATATAACCTTGAGCTCTGATTTATCAACATGACATTACACAGTTGGTAACTTCATTTCCCTGGGTATGACTAAAGTATTCTATAGTGTTAGCTTGGATAAGAAACACATTAGTTGGAAAATTTAGTTCTTATATCTTGAATTATTTTTATCAAATGACTGAACGGTTATCCATTTAAAATGTTTTGCTACATATAATGATTAAAAGTGATAAATAAAAATAATAATGTAACAAAGAAATCCACTCTTTACAAAAGTTGTTGCATTTCAAAGAAGAGATGGAATTTGTTGCTTAGCGTGGTTCACTATCCCGATACTAATGTTCATCATAATCAAATACGTCGTATTCCTTTCAAAGCCAAAAACAGGTGCCCCCTAATTAAAATTTAAATTAGTCGCATCATTATCTTTCTTAATCAAACACATTATTTAAGTATTCTTTAACCAGATTTAATTCATTTGTGGACTTCTCTTTGCAAAAATCATAAAATGGAATACATTTCATTACATAGGCGGGCCAGTTCACTACTTCACTACTATCCCAACCTCAGAAAAAAAAATGGTTCAATGAGATTTTGGATTTATGAATACCGTAACCAAACTTTTTACTTTCCTCATTATTCTCATGGGTAGGATCAGTGGCCTCCAAGCTTTAAAAGAGATGTTAATTTCTTTTTTACTAAGAACTAGTCAACATTTTTTTTTTTCGATTACCCCCTACTTCGCCATTTCTGGCATGCAAGGGAGGATCATGCAAGAGGTATTACACAGTGGGCCAGACCCCCTACCGTGCACCCCTCCCCCCTCCACATCCCTATAAATTGCATATCGTAGTGTTCCTTGTGACAATTTATTAAAAAAAAAAGTGTTACCAAAAAAAAAGTGAACGAACTGCCCCAAAATGGCGTCCAAACATGGCGGATTGACGACTTTGACTTTAGTTAGTTTTTTGTTACTGAGAATCAGCATTTGGCTTAATTTCATCATAGTTGTTTTTTTACTAAAGCTGGATAGTCAGAGAATAATAAAACATAAACAAATATTAAAAACTAGTTGGCTTAGACCATAAGAAAATAGGTAAAGTCAATTATTTTAACAAAAAAATTTTCAAGTTGAAAATCAAGCGTCGTTTGTAATTAAATGGCCAACAATAATACAAAATGTGCAGAAATAAAACATCTGGAGAATACATTTCTCTTTGTAAAACACTGATTACTTTTTAAAATATTTGAATTAGTTCCGTAGAAAATGCACTTAAGCAGCAGAAAAGCACTACTGGCGTAGGTGCCTTCAGGCCTCTACCACACCACTCCGTACTCATAAATGGCTTAGTTATAGTGCTATAATAACGTTATTGTTATATTATATTGAATGTATTAACGAACAAATATTATTACAATAATTTAATTGTCAAAAAAAAATCTTGCTTAGAACAAAAATTTCTTGCTGATAAAAAGGGTCTTCACCTAATAAACCTGATTAATATCATCCAACCTGAACAAGCATTTTGACCCTATTTTAGCAGCATCTTGAAATATTCTGTTCATCTGTCTACTATATATTCGTTTAGCCTTATGATGGATACTGATCCTTGTTTTCTTTTCTTTATAGTTCACTTAATGTATTTTTCCTATGTTTGGGTTCATTTTCGGGTTTTCCCCTCATTTTGAGACTAAATACTAACAATCAGTTCCAGTTACCTAGAAGAGCTTATATCTTCGCCCTTTCCATCTTTCTTTTGTGAAGAGAGAATAATGCATTTAATATTAAAATTTCTTATTTTTTATGATATGGTCCAACTTCCGAACAAAATAAAGGAAATAAAAAAGTTTTTTTAATAGTGATATATGCATTTTACTAAACAATCTATCACCTATTCATTAAAAGTAGTTCAGATTAGGTGTATATTATTTTAGTTTATAAAACAGATATTAATATGACTCATTTATGTGGAAGTACAATTTAAATTACTGCTAATAATCAGTAAATACATAAAACAAAGTGTTAAATTGCAAACATTAAATAAAAAATTAAAGATATTCTGCAAAGTATTTTTAAATTAAGTTTTATTATTATAATTATACAATTTTTATAATAGAGGCCTTCTTAAGCGACCTCCGTATAGAATAAATGAAGTGCACGGTAGGGGGTTCTGGCCCACAGACTATATGTCTATCCCAATCTATTCTAACCATAGTGCGTTAGAATAGAATCATTCCTTGGATTGGCTACGAAATAAATTATAACCTACCCAGGCCAGATTCCAACCGGCGTCAACAGACTCAAACTGTCAAAGTTCACATTTTAACTCGCTCGGCCATCACTAACTAAAAACTATGCAATCCCTTAAACAAAAGCTCTGATCTTTGCTCTGATCATTTTCCAGTCTACATTGTTCTCTTTTATGACACTTATTTTCTGTCTTTTATGTTTTTAATTACATCTTCCCATGTCAAATTCTGAATTGACAATCAGTGAATATAATATCATTACGAATGACATGATGGGTATGAACAATAACACCCAACTGGACTTATGTAAGAAAATAACTGGAAATTATATTAGAAGATCCGTCATCTTAATCTTCTAATCTACTATTTGAGGCACGAGAGTTATGCACATTTTCGTTTCCGATTAGTTTTTCATGTAAACATTATTCATACAAGGTTTGTATGATTTCATTGACAAATGGAATATATAAATCAGGATGGAAACTCTTGTTACTAACGTACCACGCTACTTTGGTGACAATTCTCAATGGATTTTATTGAGAAGTCTGGAGTAGTCTTATGTGAATCTGTTTAGAGAAGACTTAAACTTGTAATGCATATGTCTAAGATTGTTTTATTCAGTAGGGTTACGTGATTAATTTGTCTTGTTTTAACTGGTATTTTCTTACGAATAATGGATGTATAATGTTGAGTTTCAAGTTTAGTGAGTGGTATTTTTATTCATGTATAGATTCTACGTCATTCTCCTACTAAGTGTTAGTCCAAAGTATTGTGTCCTGTTGAATGGTTAAGACAAAGAATAGCACATTCCATTTTCGACACTTAGAAATATATTGGAGGGGAGGAATGAAAGTTAGTGTAACATGAAAACAGCATGAGAGGAGAGAAAGGGAACACCTTACAGAAATGTTTCCATGGTTTAAGTAAAGTAAATAGGAAATTCTTTGCCCCCTTCCTGTTCCGGTGCCTACATTTCATACATCAGAAGTAGTACATTGGGATTTTCCATTGTGCAGTAGACCCTTCCGTAGTTTGTTCTAACTCATAAAATTTATGTAGTATTTGATGCAACTTCTAGGATCGGAGTTATTTAAGATAGTCCTGAGGCTTGTTGAACGAAGAAAAATTTGTCTAAACGTTATTAGTAAAGAATTATATAGTAGGCTTTTGTGCCTGACTTAGTCAAATCCTATGGCGACTTTCAGAAACCAGTTGCTTATATAGTTAATTCCACAATACATGACACAGAGATCACTCCATAGCATAAGCTCGGAAACGTGCAGGCAGTCTGGTAGGTCTACTTGACTGGCGCAGAACTGGTTTTGGAGGGATCACGTTAGGAAGATCAGCGAACGCCTCCTGAGGCATTGAAGGCGGAGCTTGAAGGTCTGTAGGCGGACCTGGAGGTATGGAGGTGGGAGCTGAAGGTCTGGAACGACTGGATCGTTGGGTGAGAGCGGGTAATGTCGGAATTTCATACACGAATATTTTTGAATTAAGTGTAACAGCCTTTTGTGGAACAAGAGTGGCACGTAGTTGATCAATATGGCGTCTCAGAGTTTTCCCAGATTTATCCATCATTACTATGTAGTGACGTTCTTCCAACTTCTGTAACATCTTGCCGAATTCCCAAACATACTTGTTATTTTGAAAGAAGCTAATCTGGATTCTCCCCCTTTCCCCATGAAGAGACCTCCCACTAATAGAATGCTTGATAATTGAAGGTTGTTATTTGGTCGGAAATAAAGCATCAAGACGTATCCGGAGTTTACGATTTAAGAATAATTCTGCCGGTGACTTTCCACAAGTAAGTGGGGTAGCTCGGTACCTGAACAAAATTCTCTTCACTTTCTCTGCCATTGACACATATTCGTCAGCAATAGACCTAAGCCGATGTTTCAGAAATTAAACGTGACGTTCGACCAAGCCTTTTTCAGCGCGATTTCCAGGAGCTATGAACTGCTGTAGATTGCCATTGGCTGTACATTATGAATGGAACTCCTTACTTTGAAAAATTGTAGCGTTATCTGAGACGAGAACATTGGGGAATCCGTGGGAAGCGAAGATGTCGTCAAAGAACTGGTAGGTGAGTTTTTCAAAACTTTTACTTCAGTCCACTGGGATTTGGCATCAATACAGATTAAAAAGTGATAACTGCCGAAGGGGCCAGCGTAGTCAATGTGCGCCCTTTCTCAGTTACTACAGGGTTCATCCCAGAGATGAAGTGGTACTTTACAGAGCTTGATGTATTCAAAGCACACTTCTCGCATCCACGAACAAGTCTTCCAATATCCAGGTCAATACCTGGCCAGTAGATGTACCGACGAGCTAACTGCTTCATCTTCGCGATCCCAAGGTTTGTTTCATGGAGCTCCAGCAAAACGTGGTGACGTAGCGATGTTGGTATATAAAACAGGTCCTGTCGGAACACCAGACCTTCGTGTAAGGTAAATTCAGACTTAGGAGATTTTCTCTTTAGTTCTCTGATAAGCTTTGCCATTTCAAAGCCTTTTCCTGTTTCTTCCTAAATTATTTTGAATGTAATTTTATCACTTGGAAGTTGGAAGATCCTTTGTAAAAGAAGTTGGTCTACCTCATCGCCAACTGAGATATCCGCCAACTGGTATGTATTGTTCGAAGGGGTTCTGGATAGACAGTCTACGTTCGTGTTATCAACGCCCTTCTTATATTGAACAGTATAGTCGAACCCCGATAAAAACGACGCAGATCGTATAGTAGTCGGGCGGATGTCATTTTCGGCAAAGCTCTGTATGTTGAAAAATTCGTGTCAATGGTTTATTGTCCGTCCCTAGAATGAAGTGTTTCTCAAATATTTATTTGTAAAAATGGCTTATCCCGAACATTATAGTAAGTGCTTCTCTGTCCAACTGACTAGATTTTTTTCCGCAGCAGTTAAAGAACGCGTAGAGCAGGCGGTCGGTTTTTCTTCTCCCTTGTAGAAATGGCTGAGTACTGCTGCAACTCCGAACGGCCTCGCATCGATAATCAATAACACCGGCGATGCTGGATTATATGGAGTTGAAACCCTGTCGCTGCAAAATTCTTCTTTGAGCTTAATAAATGTTTTCTCGCAGTCTGAAGTACAAACAAAACGTTTGCTCTTACTGAGTAAGCATCTGAGAGGATAAAAAATTGTTATAAAATCTGGAATTAATATGTTATAAGGCCCAAAAAACGTCTAAGTTCATCCAAATTGGAAGGACGAGGCATTTCTTGAATAGGTGTGACCTTTTCTGGAGATTTGCGAATAACATTATTTTCGATAATGTGCCCTAAATATTTTACTTTTGCTTCGAAAAATGCATACTTGACGCGGTTAACATGTAAATCGAATTCACATAATCGTTTTAATAATAGCCCTAAACTTTCCAAACAATCTTCTAGTGTAGGACCATGAACAATAAAATCGTCAAAATATGCCTCAACGCAAGATAGCTCCCTAAGTATTTGTGCCATACGTTTATTGAATTCAGCTGGCGCATTTTTTATGCCTAAACTGAGACGCTTTATCTTGAAATTGCTACAATGGGTCGATATTCTGGATCTTAGCACTATCTTTATCCACCTGGTAATGCAAATATGCTTTATATAAATCGAGCTTGCAGAAAAACTTAGAATTCCGTAGGTTATTTAAAACCTCGTCGATTCACTTGATTGGGTAGTTTGGATTTACAGGCCTTTCATTAACCCCATATTTATAGTCGACGTATCCCTCCGTCGGGCTTGGTTATAACCACTAGTGGTGACCCCCATTCACCCGAAGTTATAGGTTCAATGATCCCGGCTGCTTACAATGCGTCCACATCCGTTCTTTTACAACGCGATCCTTTAGAGTGTACGACAAGTCTTGCATCTTTGCAAAAATGGGTTTTGCATCTTTGTGTAATTCCAAGGTGATTTGAACACTAGGAACACACCCTAATTTCTCCTCGAAAACATCTGGGATAATGTCAGGCATAATGTCATCGATTATTGAGTTGATAGATTTAACTGTAGAAGGTTGCCCAGCGACATAGTCCCGATCTTTCAATTCAATGCCCAGGCCTCGAATCCACAGTCTACCGAGTAAGGCTGCATGCCCCTGCGGGACGATATAAAGATCTCCTTCAATTTCTTTATTTTTATATGATACTTTTACAGCAACTACTCCCTTTGGACTGATTACATTTCCGTAACAAGAACGAAACGCTATGTTCGATGGCTTTATCGGTGAATTCAATTTCAATCGGTCCAATTCGTCTTCTGACAGAACGGTGTAACGAGCTCCAGAATCCACTTCAAAAAGTTGGAGATTATTGATATGACTGTAACCATATATTTGTCGGAATCTGGGAATATTGCAAATAAATCTACGATGTTAGATAACTTACTAACGAGTTGTCGTACATTATTTACGCCATAGGTATGATTTGATTGTGGATCATGGACTGTAGAGAATAGTGAATTAGTTGAACTGGGTTTTATCTCGCATGAATTGTTCATGCCACTTGTACTGCAAAATGTAGCGATATGCTCCTCTCTTCCACGTCTCATAATAAATATAGGCCCTCTAATCCTAAAGCACTATAGTCAGGACGCCTCCGTCTGGGAGAAGGAGAGCGGCGTGATGAACTCTTTGAGCGAGGACTGCTGCCGCGATCTGAAAAACTGCTCCTGTAATAACGGTTGCCAAATGAACTGCTAGAATGGGGACGTGAACCTGTGCCCTGGAAAGAATTAAGAATTAATAAAGAATCGTTTACGCATCTTCACAAAAGCTCGTCACAACAGTAAATATTAAAAAAATTATGTTGTGAGCCACTACTGTACTTTGGAGTTAATAATTGAGAAAATAACTCGATTAAGCCGTTATAGCTATCGGCGCCTCCGGTCCGGGAAACACAGTTAGTTCGTTACAATGTTTTGGCCCAATAATAATAGATAAAATTTGTAATTTTTTGTCACCATTTTGAATATTTTCATGTATAAATAGTTTTCGAAATGGTCTATATAGCAAGGAAAATTTTTCTTTTGTCGAATCGAAGTTTTTGAATGGCTGAATATGTAAAGATCTGAATTATTTGTCATACCTGGAGCAAGACTGGTAACAATTCGTTGGATCGCAGCATGTTATTGTTGATTGAATGCCCCTAATAGTTTTTTGAATTGATCTGCATCCATAGTTACGGTTAGAAATTTAATTAGTTTGAAAATAAAGCCTATAAAAACTTGAGTATCTGAAATTTTGTACTTTCACCTCGTCGCCAATTGTTATATCTTTAATTTAACATGAGAAACACATAATCACATTTTTATAACAACCTGTATTTTATTAACATTACAAAAAGTAATCAACTGCATTAACATATGGTAAATTCAAAATATAAATATTTAACTTTTCCAAAGAGGTACATGACACAAACTATCATGTCATACTTTCTTTGCTCAATAAATCCGATTGAAGATATTATCAAAGTCTTTTGTTCCCACCTTACACGACCAATAATATTGAAGCAATATTCTTAAACGTTTTATACATAGCACAAACGCCAATAAAATTGTTACAATATATCCCTTAGACGGTCGATATATTCACTATTGACCATGTAAGGAGGTCTTTAGGTACTGTTACTAAGATAGTGATTTCTTGTTCTCTAGGAATAGAAATTTTAACTTTTATCTTTCCAACTCATCTCGACAACTACTGGCCCTTTGAAAAAAAAAAAAATAATAGAATCTTTATTATAGGAAATCAAGTTTCCTTTAGTTTTTATATAAATTGCCTTTTGCTAATGTTGTTAGTCTCCATGATATTTAAGAATATCCCCCCAAAAAACTGTTTTCCCTGCTTTACTACCCTCTCTCTTCTTTCGGCGTAGGCTTTTAATGTGTTGTACAGGACACTCCAATGAACAATGTATCAAATATAAAAACTACTAGCTTTACCCAGCCACATGACTACTGGCTTAGCCTGGCAAAATGAAAAAGAAAGAAAATAGAAAGCACATATGAGTAGATTAATAACAAAGGACATCTGTCATTTTTAAAAGTTGGGAAACAAATTAGTCTGTGAAATGGCTTCAATTAAAAATAATTTTAATGATCTTTTTTTAACATTTACAAATTGAACATTCATAATCATCTGAGTGAATACGCCGTCATTCATAATCATCAGAAGCAGTCTGAGTTAAACTTATAAAACTAAATTAAAAAATTAATTGAAAAAACTTATTATAGTATTTACCTATATAAGGAGAATCATATAACTTCTTCAAAAGATAATTTCAATTACTGTAGTAATTATAAAATTTTAATCAATAAAAAAAAAAAAAAAAAAATGCTTGCCTACCTTCGGTAGTGAGGAAGCAAAAGAAAATGTCCTTTTCTGAAGAGAAAGCAGTTAATGTTTAAAACTCTATAACTTTGCAACGAACCGTCCGATTTCAATGATTTTTTTTTTTTATTTTGTCAGTGATTCAGGAATCTTTCAAATAAATATGGGTATTATCAATCAATAATTGTGTACTTTTTTAGTTATCGGCAAATAGAATATTGAATTCATCGTAACATTTTTCAGCTTGTTTTCGGGAAAGTATGTTATACACATAAATGAAAAGGGTTTCAAGGGGAAGACTTTAGCCAAGTTTCATTAAAATCGGTAAAGCAGTTTTGGCGCTACATTTTTTTCCGGCTTTGACAGAAAAACATTTACATTTTTATTTTGTTTACATATATAAAATTGTTGTAAGACAGAAGTACTATGCCAGAAACCTTCCCAGGTGTGTACGGAACAACTTCCCAAATTTTCATGGCAATCGGATGAATGGTAAGTAATGCACAAAGGACAAACAGACGGACAGACAGACATACATTCATTTATATATATATATATATAGAAGATAGTATTTTTTTTTCATTTTTACTTTGTTTTCTGGAGTAATTATTACCGTAATAGCATTATTAATTATTTATTATTACTAGAATAATTAAAGAATATTGAACTGTGCATTGATATAACAAGTTTAGGACCTTACCTATCACTATGCAACAAAACGCCTATCAATGGGTTTTGCCTACCTACATGGTAGTGTAACCTTCGCTGTTGTGGTTTGACTCTTGTTTACTTAATGTTTCTTTACACCAATTTAAATTTGATTATTTATTATTTTAGTGTGCTGGGATAATATCAAATATTATTTAATGATAGTAGCGCAAGAGTTAAGTCACAATTCAGTTGTATACGATATTCTGTATTTTTTTATTATGCCAACCACATCTGATAGTGATAGGTTGAATAACTTTAGTGTTGAAGTTCCTAGTTGGACTGATGCATTACCAGTTTGCAAGAATTCTGGTAGGGTATGCTTTTATTCCTGAAGATTAAAGTAATTTTGTGTTTCATGGCATTAATGGGAAAGAGTGTATAATGTAGATTTCCATCTTAAGGAGTTGGATATTCCACAAATCAAATCTACCGAAAAGATGGACACAGGCTAGAAGAGCATCCTTTTGAAGAAGCAAGTTTTCATTCTGGTGTTCTTGATTCGAGTACATTCTTATATGGCGTATTTGATGGCCATGAAGGAATACAGGCAGCTGAGTTTGCAGTACAAGGACTTGCTGCTGAACTTCTTCTGGGCCAATTGTCAGGCAAATTTAAGGATCAAGAAATTAAAGAGGTCTTAAGGTTAACTTTTAACATTAATAAGTATGTTTTTATATTGATCAGTTACATGACTTTAGTTGTAAGTGATTTTCCATTTTAGTCAAGCCTTTTTGACTGTTGAAAAGAACTTTTTGGAATCTCTTGATCATAAAGTGGCCCAAAGAACAAGCCTGTTACTAGAAACTGAAGGGTTAAGTTTAAGCGAACAATATCAAACATATCCTGCTGTGGTATAGTACAATATATCATAATTTACTGATTTCTTTATTTTTATTAGACATTTGTATAGTTGTTTGTTTCAGGTTGAGCAATTAAATACATTAAATAATCAACTATCATGTGGCACAACTGCGGTTGTAGCTTTGGTTACTGGCAACAAACTGTATGTGGCTAATGTAGGTGATAGTAGAGCTCTATTATGCAAAACTGACAAATATGGTGTTCACAAAGTAGTTCAACTCAGTGTTGATCATGACCTTGGTAATGAAGATGAAATTCTGCGTTTATTTAATTTGGGTTTAAAATTTGAAAAAGGACAGTGTAAGTTTCAAGTAAATATTTGTATGAATAACTATTATGTCCAGAAATTTATTGCACTCTTATCTTTATCTTCTCTTCAGAATGCAGCATATCCTGTTGTAAATTATGCTTAACAATATCTTGAATTTATAGTCAAGCCAAAATATTTGTGCACATTTGAATACTTTTTTACAAAAAAACTAACGAACAACAAAAACCCTTCCATTACGAGGTTATTTTTTGTAAGATTACAATTTAAAGTCTTATATCTCTCAAAAAGCAGAATATAACTAAACAGTCAATATTTCTTAAATTCTATTAAATTAAACAATGTTTAAAAGTTTTATACAATGATACATTTTCACATATGTTTGAGAGCAACGGTTGAAGTTATCTCTTATTCTCTTCAAATCAATAAAAGTCATGATTTAACTTTTATTTTACAAATGATTATATAAAGTCATGATATAAGTTATATTTATGAGAAATTAAAGTCATGGTTTCGTTATCATATATGAAATAAGAAATACAAGTGAATTTTCAACTTTAATTATTTGTATGCAGGTATACAAATTTTTCAAATATATTTGATATTAAGGTCCATTATTTGATAATTGAAGACATTTGAAAGTAATGTTAATTATAAGATCATATTCTTGTAGTCAATTATTAGGTTATCAAAGGTGCTTTTTGTTTTTAAATTCTATTGATTTTAAGATCACATGTTGAAGTATTGATTTATTATACCTACGTGGATATACTTGATATAGATATTCGTTATCGGGTTATTGAGGAGGCTTTATATGATAATATTACGTAATTTAAGATTGGATGCTCAACTATCAATTATTTATAGCTTTTCATGTATCCTCGATATTGAGATCCATTATTGGGTTATGCAAAGTGTAATTTTTTAAATAATTGATTTTAATTAACTTATGTTTTCGGAGGCATAATTTTTAAAAATAAGAACAATCCATTTTAATATTGTGGCATCATTTATCGATTAATTTAAACTTTATAGATCAATTATATTGACAGAAGATATGTAAAAAAATAATATGAATTGGTAAATGAACTTGTGGTCTTAAATTTAATATTGTTTAAAAAAATTATAACTACAAAAAAATATGAATGAATGTATCCTTGTTTCGAAGAAATCTGAAAAGTTAAAATAAATCAATAAAATGATGATACAATCCATAAATAGATATTGTTTTAATAAAAAGTGCCTTTGAAAACATATGAGTTAACTGTTTTATTGAAAAATCCTAAAAGTTTAAATAAATTTATGTAGGATTTCCAAAAAAAAAAGCTTACATCATGTAACTGGCAATTTATCTTCCTTTAAAATATAATTTATTTATTGATATAACCTATTTAATGTTTTAATGAATGTTCTCATCATCAAAATGTTAATTTTTTTTTCTTGTTCATCCAGTTTTAATCAAGGATTAAGTTATTGGGTACTACTTCACTAGCAGGCTGGGTCGAAATCTCACTTCTTATCTACGTTATCTAACGTCACATCACATAACCTCCCTCTTCTTATCCCACCAAACCTTTCAGTTATTACATTGTTTATTTTTCAGTTATTCCCTTATTATGTTCATTTATTAAATTCTTTATTTTTGGCTTGTTTGTGTCTATTTTTCATTTTTTAAAAGTTTTTTTTCGTCAAATTATGAATCTTGTTACATTCTGGGATTTAAAGTCTTCAGAAGAACAGGCTATTGAATATTTTCAAAACGTTGGAATACTTGCAAACGTGAAATTGTGTAAACGAGGTCATCAAATGAAGTTAACCAGGAATGCCAAATGGAGATGTTGTTGTAGCACTTCTGACATAAAACTTCAATAAACTTCATATTTATGCGAATTTTAGTGGCAGCGGATTCACAAAGAAGAGGACCCATTCCTGGCTATTTTGAATAGCATAAAACTATTTTGCCTGCCAAAATAAATAAGACGAAGTGAAAATAAATTGTACATATGTCGTTTATAGTGCTGATATTTTTTCTTTTATATGTACATATGTTCTTTAAGTGTTTTTTTATTATTTCATTTTGATCTTTTATATGTACATATCTTCTTTAAGTGTTTTTTTATTATTTCATTAATATATGTGTCATAAAATAAAAGTTTTTTTTTGTTATTACATTTGTTTTTGTTTCTGTTTACACTTTCAATAATACGAATATAATACAATAATATGAAGATAGGAATTATGAGAAGGCTTATCACTGCCTTATAGGAATTATCAGTGTTCAGGTTATAAACATTGGCAGATAGCTGTCAGTCCTGCTAGTGAAGAAGTACCAATTATTGATATATATTTTTTTTTATTTGAATACACATGTTAGTTTTTATAATTTACCTTTATTTCTATGCTTCCATTGTCAACATATAAAAGATTGTTAATTACTTTCACTTATCTATATATGAAATATATAGTAAGGGACAGAATTGTGATTGTGAAAATTTTCGAATCTGAGTTTTCAATGGAAATACATGTTTTGAGCTCTCCTGAGGCCAAATAACCAAGTCCCACAAAATGGTCTGTGTGTAGGTATGTGACTGCTCGAGCTCAAAAACAAAACGTTGTATGAAAGTGAAATTGCATATTTAAGATAGGTATATAGCTTAGATGTGACGGCAACTTTTTCGTCAAAATTGGCTTACCGAAAGTGGTACTTTATATCTTCGATGAAACACAATTTTACTATTTTCTCGAAAACGTCTCCAACGATTTTGATCAAATTTATTATATCAGTGTAAAATTAAGCAGTTTTTAATAGTATGCAGGTTTTATTCTAATCGATGTTCTCTGACAGGGCTTAAATGGCTAATTTTCAATATTAGGTTCCTCTAAAATACCTTTAATTTTGTTTATTTAAAACAATTAACCGTTTCCCATTGATCTCTAATGTAAAAAATAGTTAACTATAAAATATGAAAGAATTTGATAATTAACTAAAGGAGAAGTATGAGATGTAACAGAGAATAGGTATAATGAAGGAACCAAAGGGATACGATTACATTAGGCTTCCATAGTAACATGAGTTTACAATATTGGGTTTTGATTTTTTTTTTCTTGTTTACATTATAAAGTCAAATAAAATTAATAAATTAAAAAAAAAAACAACATAAAATGGGCGTATTTAGGCTGACAGGCCACCGAAAGCGCAACTGAGCTGAGTATAGCAAGAGGGGGTCAGCTGCTGATTGCATAGTGCACCCCAGCTCAGTCAGTGACCAGCCTTGCATTGATATCCTTTTCATATTCCATATAAAATTTTTAATATATGTATATATATATAAAAAACCTTTAATTCGGAAGCTGAACTCAGTTTTGCATAGTTCAGATCAGGTGCGCTTTCGGTGGCCGGTCAGCCTAACATTTCAAATAATATTTTAATAACTATTCAAAAACAAACTCTTAAATATCTCCTATTTGTCTATAGTAAAATGGAGTTACAATACTTACAAATCAAGCAAATTTTTGATGGAGCTGTTTTTTTTTAATCATTTTTGTGATTTTATCTTATTTATAGATAAAAAGCCCAACAGTGTACAAGCACAAGTACACTAAAATGGCTCAAATTCCTTTATATATCAAACATATGTTTGGTTACAAGAAGCGCACAATTTTCTGATTTCTCAAAGGGAAAATTCTTAAAGATCTTAGTCATTTAAGGTTATGAAAAGAAGCCGCTTAATGACTTGTTACTAAAAACTATTCATTTGTTTAAGAATGACCAAAACACGGGGATATAATGAATAAAAACTTGTTATTTGTAATCAAATAATTTGAAAATTAAATCAATTTTTTTTTCTCTAAAAGAGAACGATAAGAGTTAATCCTTGAGGTTCTGGCTCATTTTAGAATCTTTTATTAATAATATAATGTTTGTTTGATTAAATTCCTTGTTATTTTTTCTTGTTTTAGCTGAATATAAAGAAACTTTTGTAAATGAATGCCATTATCTTTTTAGCATGTCGTCTAGGCAACCAAGAAAACACAAGGTGTCTTGGTAATTACTTAGTTAAAAGAAACTATACTGAATTTGAAGAACTTAATAATGCACAAGAGGAACCTATTATTGCTGAGCCTGAGCTTCAAGGAGGCATTGATTTGGATGATTCCTGCAGGTTAGCAGTATTCAAGAGTGATTTTTTTATTTAATTTAGTTTTTAATGTTGATAAATAATCTATATTCAATATAGTGAATGATTTGTTTTCAAAGAGCTGGTAAGAATGTTAAAAACGAAAGAGGAGTTTAAGGGTCTTGATGAAATTATGTTTTACGAGGGATATAAGGCTCCTTAGAGTGTGCAGTTTATCATCATGCTAATCTATTACATTGGCCATTTTTCAATTCCATTTTGTTCATTACGAAAATTTGGGTACTACTGGTAATCGTTCCATTCATAAGAAATAAAAGCTTGATAACTTATTTTTATAAGATAAGCTAAGACAAACCAAGATAAAATTGCAGATGTATAGCTTAGTAAAATCATTAGTTGATTAAGATAAGCTAAAATCTTTTATACTAAATTAATATTAAGTTTAAATGAAGTACACGATTCTTTGGTTCAACTTTTAATAAAGAGTAGAGCAATTTCTCTAGAATTTTCTTTATTTTATAAATAATTATCCAATAAAAAAATTATGTTGCAGTTTTCTCCTCTTACTATCTGATGGATTGTATAAATCATTAGAAGAAGCTACTGGTACAAATCAAGTAAATAAGGATATTATACAGATGGTTGTTTCAGAGGTAGTCGTTTTTTAATGTTGATATTATTTTAGGTTTCTCTCTGTATGACATATAAAAATTTAAATATTCTTATATTTAATCTCATTAAATATACATAAATTAAATCATTTTATTTTTATTTATCTTATCTTATATTTTATTTTATGTATTGAATGGTTACCAGTTTCGAGTGCAGTCTACTGTGAATGGAGTAGCTCAAACAGTTGTAGATAAGGTTGTAAGAAAACACCATGATATGTATATGTCTTGTGACTCACTTGGGCAAAGCAGACGTGATGACATCACGCTACTTGTGAGAAACTTCAATTTTCCAATGCCATGTGCTGGAGGGAGAGGTATTTACTGTTTACTAACAAATTATTGGTACTTAGCTATATTGAAATATCTCTTTGTATGTGTAGATTTTTGATAATTTCATAGATTAACAACATTAATCATAAATAAATCAAATGTGCGATATTAACACAAAAATCAAGCTGTAGCAGAGCTTAATTTATTTTCAGTGTCATATGCACTGATCTTAAATACACTAGTGGCATATCTTAAAATATCATGCTACAGAAATTGCGTAAATAAACATATTTATTTATTATTTATGATAATTTTCATTATTTACAAATGTGTATCTGTTTGTATATAAGAAAAAAAAATGCAATAATTAAATTTGTAGAATAAACAAAAATTAAATATATTTTTTGTTTACGTATTCTACATATCATGTATTTAACACTGAATTTAAAATATAAAATGTTTACGTATTTAAAAACAAATATTTTGGTTGTATTTTTCTCAAAAATAATAAATTTTTTTAGTGCAATAAAGAACATTGAAAGGGTCGGGGGTGCATTTTATATCTGTTTTAGAACCCCTAGAATCTAATTAAGAGGTTTTCGGAGATACTAATTAATATATATTTTTTTAGGGTTTATAGTTCTCATAATTTCATAGTCGTTGCAGATGTAAGAGACATTAAAGTAGGGTTTTCGGCTCCTGTTTATTTTCCTATAAAAGTTTCGAAATTTCTTATCCCTGAAAAATTTCTCTGTTTTCTCCAGCTCCCAGCCTCTTCCATCTGTGATGCAAATGTTTCTCTTTGCATCTCCTCAATTGATATTTCTTAACAGTTCTTGGGGCTTTATTAACCATGGCTTTGTACACTTGGTTCTTCTGGGTTGTAGCAGCTTCGCATTGCTTGTCAAGCCAAATGGATCATGGATTTCTTTGTCCTGCCGCCGCCAGATCTCTTCTGTGTTCTTCACCATTGCCTAAGCACATACCTTCCACCTAAGGTTAGCATCACCACTAATTCTTTGAGCGCGGAGGTCTTCATCCAGCTGTTCCATAGAATGTGTCCTGTGTGTCATAGTCCTTCAGTTTGTACAGGTTAAACCTTTTGTTCCTTTGTACAAGTGGCCAACACTCTGTTTGTATCTTGGCTGTCAGCTGAGCAACGCTGAGATAATGGTCAGAATCCACATTCACTCCACAATAGTTCCTTACATCCAGCAGGCTATAAGCTAACTTAAATACTTCTAGAAATGATTTGGATTGAATCAAACTCAGAAATACTTTGGTATGAACTAAACCTTTTGCTATAAATCCTCAGTATTTTTTTTTAATTTAGTGATCAAAATATATTGTTTCATTTTTTTTTTTCAATCCTAAATATTTGCTCACTTTTATTTAAGGATTTTTATAAACATAAGTAGCAGTCACTTTCATTAACCTTAATAATGAATATTAGTTCACATTTTTAGGGTGAAGTGAACAATTTAAATAAGCTTTATTTGTTTTTTAGATCTGTCATTTTGTTTATTTTAACCTTTTTCTGTTATATTTAAAATTAGCTAAGCCCAGCATAAAATGGTAGTTGATCTTTATGGTTAAAAAATGAGGTTACATTTCAACTCTGTGAGAGCGATAAGCTCACCATTTGTTGGTCTGTCTAGGGTAGAAAAATCTAAACAAGTGTGAGTTTATAGCCAATTAGTCCCAATTTGTATTTATGAGAAATTTAAGAGTTAAACTTACCATATAAAGTTGGCAAGTTAAAGTAAAAGTTGGAATTTGCCAAAATGTACTCATACCCCCACCCTTATCTAGTGATCTCATACTGTAGGGTATGAGATCACTAGACGAGGCTGAGCTGATTGTAAGAAGGATATTTAAAAGTTCTCATTTAATTTTTATGCTTCAATTATTAATAGCTAACACAACTTTTGTTGAAATTTTCCTATAATTCACTTTGATATTTGTATCCCACCACTTTAATATATAGTTTCTACATATTTTTTCTCTGACTGAAAAAAACAAAACTATAATTTAATCCTGTTTTTAGAGGTATAGGACCATTGTGATGATGCTTACAAACCAAATCATTAAATATCCTATGCATGTTGTTTCGTTACAGATGTTACCACTGATACTAACACATCATCAAGTGGACTCACTAATTCTCTTCCAGCACCACCCACTGAAATACAAGCATATGTTGATTTTAGTGAGTTTTATGAAAATTTTGAAAAAGCCAAGAAAAATGGTTCTTTACCTTCATGTTTGAGGAATTATTAATAAATTATTTTTGGTTGTGAAATGTACCAGTTTCTTTCTGTTTTATATAGGCTATTTAGGTAAATTTAATTTTACTGTTTTTAAAAATGATTATTAATTGAGGTTAGCTTCAATGTTATATATTTAGTAAGTTCAGGTGAAAAATTAATGTTGAATATATGAGGCTTGACCATATAAAAATTCGTACAATCTTACCTATATTTTGTTTATACCACCTAATGAATTAATCTAGTTATGCTTTGCTACGGATTATATATTCTTATTTTTTTTTTTTTGCTGAATTTGTAGAAATATTTGTGTTCAAGACTTCTTACATGCTGAGTGCTAGTGTCGATCTTGTTTGAATGTGCAAATTGGTTATCTAAAAAAAATTTAACAGGTTATACTTTCCTTTGCTGCAACCAACATATAACATATTGCTACAAATCAAGCATTGCAATGGATTTTTTTATTTTACATACTAAGCTTATAAACCTGGGTTTGAAACTTTAAAGTTCATTTTAGCAGTTTCAACTTGAATTTTTTTTTTTTGAAAAATACAATTTTAAAAACTTTTATTTAAAAAAAGTTACGTTACAAGTCATAATTGGACTTAAATTACAGATATGATCATCTTGAATAAGTTGCCGGATTCTTGTATTAAGAATGTATTGCACAATTATCATTTTCATAACTTACTTTTAATATCATAATCCAATATCTGGAATTATCATATTTTCCTAATCACTCAAAAATCCATTGTTCTTAAACAGCTTCTAATTCCATGATAGTATTTAGAAAAAAAAAATTAATCCGTAATTTATCAGGGAAATGGAAGTCTGTTTAAAAGAATTGGTGAGAATGAGATAATATACACACTTTCCATTGTTGAATTGTATAGATATATGCTATAACATATTATTTTTACATTTGGAGTACCAACAGTTGGGATGTCAAGTTAAAGTAGGTTTGTCTTATTTTCCAATATTCCCTAGATCCCAAAAGCCTATTTACATTCTCTACTGGTTTCTTGAAAAATTCTCCAACATGTATGCTGCCTCTTTGTAGAATATCTTACGCACCTCTATCTGCAAACCATTCTTAACATCAATTATTTATTCATCACCTGCTTCCACATAGTTGGTGAAATAATTTTTTTTTATTACTTTCTTGCTCATATTATCTGGTTATTGCAAAAAGTCATTAAGTGACATTTCATAACCTTAAACTACTAAGAACTTTGTGATAATTTTTCTCTCCGTGAAATAGAAGATTTTTTACTATATAAAAAGATTTGTGCATTTGCTTGATTTATTTTACTGATAAATAAGGTCAAAATGTCTCTATCTAAGTTCATCTCTATCAAAATTTACTCAAGTGACTTATTGAAATAATCCTAAAATATGAACACCAATTAAATTAAGGTATTTGAAATTTAAAGGACAGGAGCAAATGATGATAATGATAAAAACAAATTTACTTTATATTTGGTTTACAGTACAAAACGTTCATATACAATCAAGAAATTATATAACAAATATATATTAAAATTAAAAAAAAAAAAAAAAAATGAAGGTACTTCGTTACCTAATATTTCATAAATAATAACTACATTATGTACTACAGTAAAATCTGTGGCACATATTTAATACCTTTTGTTGTCACAATTATTTAGAATCTTAGTAACAATTTATTTCAAATATACAATTATTCAATACAAAACATAATTTTACTACAACTAGACTTGTATAAAATCACAGGATTTGTCTTTTAACATTAAAAGAAAAAAAAGGTTTGTTTTTTTTCCTTTTTCTAAAATATTCAAGATATAAAAAATGATGATTAAAATATTACTGAAGATGTTGAGAGATTATACCATTCGGTAATATACTGAACCAAAATTTGTCCATTAACAGAAATTCATACATATCAACTTTTTGGAACTTCTGGCAGGAAGAAGAAGATGAAGAAATGGATAACATTGCTCCTAAAAAATGGATTACTGGTTAAAATCATTCATAAAAAAAAATATTTGGAAGAGGGACTACATTATTGCACAACCCCATCTAGACTTCTTGGCTGGTTGGTGGGTAAAATCATCAGCATCAGAAAATAAGTCAGAATCATCCAAATCATTACGTATTGTATCTTCATCTATATTCACTGTCATCGAATCATTTAAAGTATTCATAGGAGTTGTAGAAGAAAATATAAATGGAGTCGTTCTAGGAGTCCAAAAATTCGCAGTTGAAGGGAAAAATCTCCAACGAGGGCTTGGCTGAGAAGGGCTGTTAGTTCGTTTGAAATCACAATTTTGGGCTACTTCTTCCATTTTTCTCTTCCTGCTTTTTGTAAAACAACGAACAGGACGTCTTCCATATATTCGTGAGGAATTGCTATAGCTGGATTTGTAACTACTAGCAGTACTTGCATTCAATAAGGCCTTATTAAAAGAAACAGCAGATTCTTTGGAGGATCTATTAGAAATGTCATTAGTATTTTCTATTTCATCATCTTTTGTAGGATGCAATTTACTTTCCTTGGAATTAGATTCATAGTCACGTTTTGATTCGATAACTTCCACTTCATCTTCGTCATCTGTAGGCACTGGGGTAGAATTATTATTGGCCTGTTGGGAACTTACCGACGAAACTGCATCATTATCCGACAAACTAGCAGAGTAAACTTTGTTTGTCTCCTCTGTCTCCATTTTTGATTCAATATTATTATCCTGAATTGGTTCAATTTTGTTGGAGGTTTCTGTTATGTTAGATTTTGATTCAGTTTTATTCTCAAGTTCATTTTTCTCTACAGATTTATCTTCCTCTGTTGCTTCCTTTAACCTTAAAGATAAGTGATTTTCCTCTTTGGAAGGGCTACTGCAATTATCATGCTTATTTTCTAAATCAGTTAAACTTTTATCCATTTTTTCAATACCATTAGTGTTACCAACCACTATTTCTTCTACAGTCTCCTTGACGATAATATTTTCTTTGACTTCAACAGTATTAGTAGTAGCAGTAGTTACACCTTCCATTTTCTTTATTTTATTTTCTAAAGAGGTCTTAAATCCCTTACTTTTTAAGTTTCTATCACGTATTACCTAAACAAAAAAAACAACACAATTACAAAATAAAAACATATATATGGTACAATGGAATTAGAGGGTCAAAGTGTTTAGAAAATGAAATGTTGCTCATAAACATTTTAACTTAAGAGTCAAGTTTGAGACACATGATTGCACCATGCTTGAGCCTCAGATTGACCTCGATAAAATCATACTTAGTCACACCTTGTTAATGTGCAGGTCTAATTATAACTTAAGGATAAAAAGGGTAATGAATAAGGGTACAGTGGCTAATCAATAACAAAGTGTTGAACATTGTATAAACATAAAAAATATTGGTCACAAGTTATAAAGGAAGATTGTTTCCTGATATGGAGCTAACTGTGTCATGCGTTAAGTTACCAATGAATGGCACTTATTTCTTTCACTTTTTAATAAAATTTATAAGTAATTTTGTATCGTTACAAGACACAAATGAGTTGGAAGCCTGTCAGGCTTTCTCCATAAACTGCAGAGTGCTCGGTGATCAAGTCTAATTTCGAACTATCTTGCATTCTTTTAATGAGGCAGTACTTATTTAGATAGGTAAAAACAAAATAAAGAAGTTTGGAACGATGCCCTGAATAAAAACGCTGAAGTGGTGATAAGAAGTATTCCGGAATGCCCCGAAGCAAGGAGAAGGGTCAGCTGATAAAGTCCTTAAGGCCACTCCGTCGCCAAAAGGTTAAGACATAACAATTTTCTAATTCTACTTTCTTCAAGCCAATTTTAAAAAAAAGAACAATAAAATTTCTTGAGAAGAGGTATGAACTATCAGCACTCTCAGGAGCAGATGGTGCTGTTCAAAAAAACAAACATGTTTTTCTCAGACATTTTATAACAGCTGGAATAAAGAAATATATTAGGGAGACTGGAAAGTAATGTCCTTTACTTACAATAAATTCAAACAGACACATTTTTAACTAGTTTTAATTTTTAATCAATGATGTAATTACCATCATTATCAACAACCTTTTGCCATTTAGTATGCAAATTTTCAATAACAGATCGATAAAAATCAATTGGTTTTTGAGCAAAATATATAGATATGGCCTTTTGGATATCATCTAAATTTGCAAATTTGTTGCCACTTAGAAAGTGTTAAACAATAAATGGAAATCCAATGACGCAACATCAGGTGAGCATGGTGGATGAGGCAGTACCTCTCACCCCAATTCATTAATTTTTTCCAAGATTCATCTTGCGCAGTGCAGTCTAGCATTATCGTAATGCAGAATAATGCCTTTTCTATAGACAATCACTGGCCACTTTTCAATTAAAGATTGATTTACAACAGGGAGTCTCCAAAAATATGGCCAACAGGCACCTCCAATCCAGCCAGCGAAAGTTTCTTTGATTACATTGTAGAAAAAAAAATTAAATTTAGCAAATTACACACACATGAGATTAATACAACATTTTTTGCATGTTATTTTCTGTTAGGAAACTCATTTCACAGCTGAAGTGTCATATATAGAAAAGATTTTTTTTTTCATAACAAGTCATAGCCTGCGGGTCAAAAAGTTTGGAAATTCCTGATTTACATGTTCCAATTGTTAACAGTAAAGTTCTGCATTCACAGTTAGTCTAGGTTTCAGCACTTCAAAATGACCACCCTTATAAAAGTCAAGAAGTATGTACTGCTTCTGATATTTGGCCAGCCATTTCACCCAAAATTGCCAAAAACAGTTTTAAATTTATTCATTTATAATTAAACAAGTCACCATAACCTTACAATTTCTTTGCTACAACTTACATGTGCATAATGTTATGAAATATGACAATGAAATAGTGACCAACACAGAAACGACATTACTTTCCGTTTATATTATACATTGTTGTTGAGCTATCTATTTCTCCTAGGGCGTGTACAGCTCAACTCTAATTAGATAAGTTACTTTGACCTTTAATAACTGTTATGGTAAGAACGAAACAAAATAATTATAAAACACCCACACATGCGCACACTATCACACACATTAAAAATAAAATCAGAAATGGATGCATTAAATATAAAATTATACTCTACTTTAAATTTTTGCAGTCTGTGCAACGGTGTCAGTGGAGGGATTTCTTTTTTTCTACTAACAGAAGCAACGTGCCTGTAAATTATATATTTAAAATGGCATCAATAATGTAGTTACAAAGACATTATATTAAAAAAAATAATAAGCATATTGTAACTTTAAAATTTTTATATAAAATATTAAATAAATATATACGTTTATACACAAAATTAAATTACGGCTAAGAAAGCCATGATTCAAAGATCAAGTCACATTTTTAAACAGGGTCATTCTGTAATATCGTTAGATTAAAATATTTAATTAATAAACTTATCTCTAGTATAAGCTAGAAAAACTACTTCAACAGCTGCTAAGAAAATTTTACCTTAGCACCAAGAGATAGGAGCAGAAACCCTCAAAACCATGAACAGGCTTGCTAATCTTAAAATCCGGTGCGTGTATCACACGACTTTCACTTACCACCCTCTTCTTAGCAGAAATAAATATTTTCAGACAAAAGGAATGTGAAAGTAAAAATTATAGACGCTATATTTATTTACATTTCATTGTGGGTATTTTTATTTGTTTAAGTAGCCATATATATATATATATATATATATATATATATATATATATATATATAAATTTTATATCTCTGTTTTCTATACAATTATTGAATAATGCCAATGATGTACATAATATCATTGGATCCGTTTGTATGAAAGCCTGTTGTAATCTTAGGGCGTGCTCGTATTCCTTTGGTTCCTCCATTACCCATTATCCGTGTTACCGTGAACAACTGTTATCCCTTACGATCTTTTATTTCAAATAAAAAAATGAAAAGAACTTTAGACGAAGCTAATATTGAAAATTAGCCATCAATGAGAATAAAATCTACATTCTGTTAAAAACTGCTAAATAATACACTGATATACTGAATTTAATCAAAATCGTTACGAGCTGTTTTTAAGAAAATTGTAAAAATGTGTAAAATCAATTACATGAAGTACCACTTCCGGTTAGGCGATTTTGATGAAAATGTTGCTGTAACATTAAAGGCTTGCAACAACCACAATTTTGGTTTTGTAGGAGTTTTCGTTTTTGAGGTAGGCTGTTCACATACATGAACACAGACCATTTTGTGGGACTTGGTTATTTGGACTCAGGAGATTTCAAAATGTGTATTTCCATTGAAAACTCACGATTCAAAAATTTTCATGCAAAAAAAATCTCACGATACTCATATATAGCTAAGTGCAAGTAAAAAGATGTTCTAAATGAGGATGGAAACAGGAGTGTTATGATGTCATATTCTAGGTAAACTTAAATGTAGCAGTGTCAGTTTGAATCCGGCCTGGACAGGTTGAGATTTATTTTGTGGAGCATCCACAGGATGAATCTAGGACTTCACACTCCGGTTAGAATAAGTTGATCATTTCTATGGAATCCTCCCCTAAACCATGTATGCCAGAAATTTTCAGGTAGGGAATAAAGGAGAACAAAAAAAGGCAAGTGATGGCATTAATTACAACACCAACACCCTCCCTATCTTATTATGTAAGGCTCAGGATCAGGCATTTGGGTAAAAGATCAATCTCGCAAATGTTATTTGATCCCTCAAGGGACTGCACTACACTTAAACTTTGCAAGAACAGTGATCAAATGATACTGATGTACCTGCCAACCTGACATTACACTTTATTAAATATACCTAATAAAGAACCTTACACACAAATAATGAGAAAATTTCATATATTTATGACTAGTGTGAAACAGAGAACTTCAATATATCTTGTAACAATTGTTACTACAATTTTAAGATACCATCTGATCTTCGTCCACTTGTTAACATAATTAGTTTTCTTCAATTTAACAAACATAATAATAAAGAATATTGTAAGATTACAATTTATATTGATCAATTTGGTATCCAGGTGTATCTAACTACTAAGATTATAACATGTTATTATCTATAAACCAATTAATTTATATGTTCGTGAATGAAATGGATCACATTTCAGTGTGATCATGGCACAACTGTCATCAAGACTGAATGCTATACATTTACCTAACAGATTAATTTACTGTAAGTACTATTTACACCATTCATTATAATAAACATTAGGAATGACATAAACTTAGACAAAAGGAAGAAAATATCGTATTATAAAAGTTTTGGAAGAAATAACAACAAAATATGATTAGTTAATACCAAATTGAACTGACTGAATAATTATTAATTGTGTCATTTTAAAAATATAATAATCAATTATATATAAGCCATTAAGTTAAAATCCCTTTTAAATCATCTAAATGCTATGAATTAGGGAGTTTTACTTTAATAGAAGTTTATTATGAATATTGGAGTGGCTTTGTGTGGAATTATTCTTAACAAAATAAAATACATAAATTAGATTTGTAAAATACACATTATTGATAGAAAAGAAATTCTGATGTTTCTTAAAACAATTTCTGCTTATCGATCAAGCTATACAAAAATAGACAAATCAAACAGAAAATTATTTCAAACCTTTCCAAATTAGCTACTGCAACTTTCTTTTTAATCCTTGTCGCTTCACTCGATTTTCTTGTTTTGGAACCCACAGGTACTTTTTTAAAATTATCGGATCTGGTTTCCATAACACGCTTCAACTACATGTCTTAAAAATATTACTAGAACAGAACTACTGTTACAATTTAAATACGTCCGGTAATAATTCCGCAGCTAAGAACTCAGACAGCCATGGACGCCAAGCGTTGTTTGAGAATTAAACAAAATGCCGCCTTTAGCGCTAGTAGTCTAATGATGTAGGCTGTGAAAATGATAACAATTTGATAACAAATTTAATTTTAGTAACCTTCCAAGATTTTTGTCAAGTACTAGTTCAGTTAATTTTTAATAAATTTTTGTTTAACGATTCTTCTTGCTCACCAAAAATAAATAAAAAAGGCTATGCTGACGAACGAAAATATTCATTTAACCATTCCCTCTAATAAATAACAACTTTTAAAATGGATAGCAATAACCAAAACAGCAAAGAATCTATGAAAAAACATAATTGGCAGTTAAATAATTTAGAAAATAATCCCTGTTTCCAGGTATGCTTTTTTAAAGTTTAGCATATATTTTGTGTGTATAATGCAGTTTTACAAAGAAATATTTGTACTTATTTTGTGATTATATTCTTGAAATAGAATTCTCTTTTTTTAAGCTCATATTTAAGTAATAAGAAATCAGTTCGTTTGTATTATCTCTCAAGTCAGCAAATTAAGTTTTATAGTTTATTTTGTTTATATTAGTCATTGTGATTTTAAATTGTGTGATGAACTCCTTAGTTGGTGAACTTAAGTATGAATATTTGACACAAATCAGAGCCCTCTTTGTAATTACCTATAACTCATAAAAAAATAATAATAATAAATAAAAAAAACCCGTTCTACTACAACCTATAAAGGGTCTTGGATGCATTACTATGCGATGTAGTACTACTACATGGCTTACGGTTGTGTAGGGAAATGAATGGGCTGAAATCACTCTCAACCGCCAGGTTTTCTCCTTTAATTAATTATTTAATTAAGAGTACCCACTTTATAGAGGCTGGGTGTGCCCCAGGAGGGTTGATCCACGGCTTATTAAAAGTAGTCATCAGCCGGTTTGAACCTGGGGCCTTTAGCTCTGGAAGTCAGTGCTCACCCACTATCCCGCTCCCCCTATAACTCATAATTTTTAAAAATATTTATAAATATTGATTCTTAGGACAGCATAGTTTTTGTGAGCTTTTTAGTAGTACAGTAAAATATTGATTGAGATTCAGACAGTACAGGGTCTCACGTGAACTGACTCTGAAACCCGACAATTTTTTTTCTGCATTGCTTTGTCCTGTTCTGTTTCATAGTGTATACTGAGCTGTAAGGTGATACAAAGTGAAAGAAACAGTTTTTTTTTTTGTCTAATTGAATTCCTTTTTTATTTTTGTTTTAATTGTTATGAAAATATATTTATAATTAATATTTATTATTTATCTGTATAGAAGATTGTAAGTTGATGACATTTGGCTGCCTCAAAATCATAATTTAAAAATCAAAAGTTATTTAGGAGATAGTTTTTATCAAATCAGACATGTAGATACCTTAGTTTTTTGGTCGATCGAGTTTGTGAGTAACCTAAGTAATAGTAATAACTTATATTTATAGACTCTGTTGACAAAATACTAAATATTTCTGCATTAACCTCTATGAATTTGTTTCCTCTTTGAAAGATAAATTGCGATCAACATTCAGTTAATAGTGCTGTGCTGGGTTGGATATTTATTGACAAGGTCTCAGAGGAACTTTCGCTCTTTAATATTGGATGTTACCATTGTATATGATTTCAATGAGGCACCACTTTTCCTGCAGTTCAATCCATGAACCCTTGTCATAGCTACCTTTGTTAGCTGTCTGAAGAGACATTTTAACTTCTCATTATATCTTATCCTCTGCAGTTTAGGTTCCTACTCCATGTCATAGCACTGCCTTTATTATCAAATTTTTATAATTTCATTTTTAGTGTTCTAAAGGTAAGATAGGATACTATACTAGGTTTCATTGGCACCTATAAAGTGAGTATTAATTACATCTATTTCCTTATTAGTGTGTTACTCTAAAGGAGGAGTTCTTACACTTATCAATTCCTCAAACCCTTTTTTTAAAAATATTTTTTTGTAAATGGCCTCCTAACACTTTGAATTTTACAGTGTTCCTAATTTCTAGTCCAATAATCTCATAAATACGCACGTTTTAAGTATTGGTAAAAATATATCACTGCTTATTTTAATAAATTGTCTTGGAAGTTTATAGATAATGAACATTTTTATTAGAATGTTAAATAAAATAAAATGTTTACTAATTATTATTTAGTGCCGGGGTCTCCAAACTTTTTAGCTCATGGGCCATTTTGTGACCTCAACTGAGTTCTGCGGTCCGCATGAAGACTTCCATCATAGTCCTGCAAGCCATGGCTACTGATGAAAAAAAATATCTTGTTCTATAAATGATTCTTCAGCTGTGAGAAGAGGTTTCTAGGAGAAAAAATCCGTGTAATATATGTAGTAATCTCGTTTATGAGTAATTTGCTAAATTTCATATTTTTAGTTTTTCAAATTTTATAATCTTAACAAATAAACATTCGCAGGACTGAAGGTGCTTTGGGGCTGTAGTCTAAGGATCCATGGTTTAGAGTGTTAATAACCACTAATGTAACAATTAATAAAAAAAAAAAAATCTTGACCGTTCTTAATTCTTAATAAGTGAGTTATTTGAATAAAAGAGAAAAGCTAAGGAGATGTAAAGTAGTCATAAATATTTTTTTGCGGACCCCGAGTAATAAATACGCAGACCTCAGTTTAGGTACTCATGTCCTTCAGTGTCGGTACATGAAGTTATCATCTTTTCAAAATCTCTACTCCTTCACACTAATGTGATTATCCAGATAGACCTTCTTACTGACTGCAAGGTTCGTTCATCTTGTTACATAAGATTTCCGATTTTTTTTTGCTTTTGTTAATCGTCTTTTAATTTTGTTCTGATGATTTCTGAGAACGATGAGTTCATCTACTTATGGTAATATAAATATAACTGTGATCAAGTAATAGATTATTATATTATTACTTCTCATTTACATACATTGTTTTTTTCTTAGGAACAAAATTTATCTCTTAAATGTATTGATGACAACAATTACGATCTTGACAAATGTCAACTATTTTTTGAGAATTATAAAAATTGCAAGAAGTTTTGGGTAAGGCTGACTTACTTTTTTATTTATGAGGAGTGGGCATATTTGAATGATCTTGTTTCTAGCTTATTTAATAATTTCATTATTGAATGGTTTCTAATCAAAAAGGTACTGTACCGATGCGCTTGTTACCTCATCTTCTTAGTTTACAAACCAATTTAAGATATCTGTTTTATAATAATCACTGAGGAATTAAATGCTTAGTATTAATAAATTGCCAACTTCAATAAATATACAAAATAACTATTAATGGTTCAAGAAAGCTTTTATTAAAAATATGTAAACAATTTTTCAACTACACAATTATATTAAAAGAAATAAAAAAATAGGTATTTAACATCTAAGAAATATACCATGGCAATATTATATTTTCAAAAGATATCTAATTATATATATCTTCGACCTTTAGTTTATATATAAAATCAAAATCACATTTAAAAATATAAAATATTACTGACATCAAAAATGATCCTCAGTAGTCTATGGTTTCACTGTACACGATAATTGTGATTTAGTTATTCAAATTTTTAAGTTTTGGAGGAGATGGAGAACAATTTAAATCCTTAAAAGTTTAATTAAAATAAATTAAGCATTGCTGAAATGTAATATCCTAAAAAATACCATCAGTAATTCTTAAATAACTAATTGTTTTTAATGTGCCAGGGATGAAAAATTGGATTCTTTCTGTATATCCAATTTTTAAAGGAAACTCTCATTTTTATTTTACTATCTCCTTTCTTTACCATATTTTATCTATAGCTATTATTCTACTATAGGTTACTTACTAGAATTAAAAAATATTCATTTTACTAATTGAAAATTACACTATAAAATAAATCAATAGGATTTGCGCTGCCATTTCTACCAGTTGACATTTTTATACATTCACTTATTGTTATGTGTTGAATATTATTATATTCTCGCAACGTAATACAATTGTTATGGTAGGTTGTTACAAAAGTATGCTTGCATCAATGTGCTAATGACTAATTCTTTATATAATTTTGTATACCGTCTCTACCTTTAATTGCATTTTGCCAAAGATGACAGAAGAAAAAAAGATTCTCATTAGTGCTCTTCTGAGGGATTACTGGAGTAAAGGGAAAATTGGTAGGCAGCAGCTGAGAAGTTTAGTCCAGTAAAAGGTGAAAATATACGTTTAATATGGCACTGTTTTGGTTTTAATTCTATGAACAGCCTTGATGCTGGTATTATGGTAATACCGAAAAACAGTTTATGAAGTTTCAAAAGAGAAGTTCTCTGTACTGCAATATTTCAGTGGTGTGCCATCTGACCGTGATCTTTTCCAGTCATTTAAGAAAGAATGTTAATGTCAAATCAGGATTTGTAAAGTTTTTCATCTCACAAACCAAGAACTGGTACCTTCATTAATTTAAACTTCTATCAAAAATATGGATTAAAGTAATAGTTTATGGGATAGGTGGGAACCTTTTTATTATTAGGGGCCGCAATAAGGTTAGGCAGTGCTAATGGAGGCCGCTACAATTCTTTATATTTTACTGTTGCTGTTTTTATTTATCACTAAATAGACACAACTTAATTCTATTAATTTCAAAATTTTCATTACTTCATTATTAGTTAATTCTAGTGCTAGATTAATAAATATCGATCAAAAATGTATGGAAGCCACAGGTCCCCAACCTATGGTCTGTTGAATAATTTTATTGGGTAGTTTGTTACGTACTTAAATTTAAATAAAACTTATTAAGATTACTGACTAATTTGAGAAGTTGTTAATGAATTTTAATCGCTTTTTTGTACATTGCTCAAAATATGAACAAGATTTCTATTATGCTCCTCCTCTAATAATATATGGAACTGCGTTTGTGTTTAAATACATTGTATTGTATTGAATATGTTTAATTTCAGAATGAAGTTAGAAGAAATCGTAGATTTAATGGTTTAACTCCTGCCCTTCCTCCATACGCTGAGAGAATAAAAATTAAAGAAAAGTTCTTGAAAACAGGAGAGCTTTAGTACTGCAAAGGAGTTTAATTAAAAAGAAATCGTTAAACAATATATTCTTACAAAAAATATTTTAAATTGATCAACAAACATGATATTTTAACAATAGGTAATATAAAAATAATCAATTATAACTATGGAATGATTGAACAAAATTTTTAAATAACATTTATCTTTATCTTAACATTTTTTTATAGTAAATCTTCAAGAATATGTTTTTGTCAATCATATGCGAACTTCAATTTCCTTTAATAATTTATTAGTTCATTTTTACATTTTTTGGCATTTGTGCAACATTGCAGAAAATTTGGCTGATGATGGATATAAAATCCAGAAAGGTAAAAAAAATGTAAAACAAAATATGAATAATTCATTAGGAGAAGAAGTTCATGTTCACTAATTGTTATAAAAACAAAACAAACATTTTTCTGATTGGCTATTTTTAGAGTTACTTGATTATGACAATTGGTTCTTTCTGATTTTTTTTTTTTTTTCTTATTTCAGCTTAAGAAATTGCTGACAATACCAGTACATATATGTATAATGGTAAATAGAAAAAAAATATAGTGTTCATGTACATTAAATGAATTGTTTAAAAAAATCACATACTTCTCTTAATAGTTACTATTGTACTATAAAATAAAATGTTGGAGAAAAATTGTCCTTTGAAAAGTAGAATACTTATGCTAATTATAAGCAGTTTCTCATAAAAAACACTATAAATAAAATAAGAGAAGAACAAAACTGTAAACTTATATATAAACAAATGTTCCTAATACATAAAATTATATATTTGTAAGTTATAGTTGAATATATCATTTAGATACAACATAACCTATCCTTTACAGCAAGGTATTCTTAAAAAAAAAAAAAAAAAAAAAAAATTAGTCAATGCAACATATTAAACACTTTAAATGACACTTGTAATCTTATATGTTCAGTAAATAAAGATACAATCAAAGTTAAATAAACATAAATTAGCTATATACATGAAAAATATACATATTTTGTTATTTTTAAATATCTATGAACACAGCCTTGTTATGGCTCAGAAGCATCTTTACTGCTCGATTGTTCTCCTCTTCTTTTTTTCCTTTCCTTTCTCCTACGTTGACTAAGGAAGCGTTCCCAGTGTTTATGATTAAGTTGACTCAGATCCTCTAATGATGCAATAGCTTCAAGGTACCTATCAATACAGATAAATTTATACTTAGTTACTGCACAAGATGTTTAATCTACAAAGCATAATAATAATTTAATTGGGATAAAAAATAAGAGATATATGATAAGGAAAACATAGATGACAGCCAGAAATTTTAAGAAAGAAATCTAAGAAGTGCTAATAGTGAGAATAAGGCAAAATATTATTCATAAAAAAAAAAGTTTAGGAAATAATATCTCTCATTGTTGTTTAAAAATCACTGTTTTAAAGATGTAAATTTATTACTAATCATGTCATTCATAAGATTTCTGATTTTTTAGTTTTAAAGAATTTATTAACCAAGAGTGAAAATTGATGGTGCTATATTTAATTATTTACAAAAAAGATTGTTAAAATTATTGAAATGGAAGGGGGCATTTATTGAGCCTATTATGATATAATAAATTTAGAAGGAGTTGAAGGAATTCTGCAACAGTAAAAACCTACATGACAATTGAAGAGAACCCATGTTGAATTAAAGACCTGTCTTGTGTTGTTTTAATTTATATTTTCTTGACATATTTCCTTCTGGTACAAAAAATGAAACAATTGTGAACACCTAAATAAAAATTGGCAAAAAATTCAAATTTACACCTATTTCAGTTGAGGTGTTCTTAAAACTATAATTTTTGAGCTATTCATTCCATTACTTAGAGCGAAATGTAATGACTTTATTTTATATTGGGTAATTTATAATTTATACATTTTTTAAAAGTTTGATTATTTAACTTTCAATTAAAATATATAAATATTAGTTTAGAAACTTATTATCTGTACAAATGTAAAGTTACTAAAAACAATATTAATTTATAAACTTATTACCTGGAAAATGTAAAAACAACTAAAATTTTGATTAAAAAAAAAAAATTGACTTGCCTAGCTAATCGAGGCAGTTCTCTATCTGTAGATCTATTTATATGAGCTTGTTTAAATGCTTTTATTTTTAAACCATTTTGTGGGTTCATGAGAAAATTTCTGCGAATGTCATCAAACATTAAAGTATTGGATGGCTTATACTGGTCAAATTTTCCCCAAATTACTCCAAGAGGCTTTACCTGAAACATCGTATAAGTAACAACACTAAACTCTTAACAAAAAAAAAAAATTATGCGGACTGGATGAATTTATAAAATTTATGATATAGCCCAGTAAACTAAAACTAAACAATCATGAACCATAGTAAATCTTAACAATATCTTGATACCACTGCTTCCTTCCTGTATTGCTTTGTTGTCCTCTTGGATTCTTAGCCATGTGGAAAATCATATTTCTTCTGCTACTTAATTACTATTTTCTTCTTCTCTGGCTTGAGCTCATTCATAGTAATTAGAAGATTGCGATGATTTGCCAGGTACCATCCCATCCCCAAGCTCAATGTGATTCTTCAATAAATCATCAACCATGTATTGTGCTCATACCCAACAATAAAACATTGGGTCTAAGTATCTGCTAAAAAATCATGAGCAGAACACCACCAGACAAGTTCCAAGTAAAGGCAGTTTTGAGCCTCCTAAAAAACTAACACAGGAGAAAAATTTAAGTCTCTTTGCATAAACACTTTCCTTATTATTTGGCAAATGTGGACGGATCATGCTAGGAATGTTCAACTTCAGCGATCTACTTTACATTCCAGGTCATTAAGTAGTGAATAGAGAAAACCCTATCATATTCCCTGGTGAGAAGAGGAGCTGTTGTAGACCAGTCAGGTGACTAGTTATGTGTTCTGTCCAAGTGACCTGTTGATAATTGGATAATTACAATATTGTAAAGTAGAATTAGTGAAAAAATGTCATTCACATGGCAGGGAGTTCAAATAAAAATCAGCACTATGAAATCTTATTTTTTAAAGAATAAGGGAACCGGGCAATTTTTGTCCATGATGGTCCATTCATTTTGGCAATAGCTGCATCTTGGATCATAATATTATGTATACCGATTAATTTACTGATAACTGAGAAACACAAAGAATATTTTTACTGTCATAAGGTAATGTACTAAACTGTACTTTGATGATTTAAAAAAGAAAAGAAAAACAAAACAATTTTTTTGTCACAATGCTAAATATTGAACACAATTGATATAATAGATTTAATTGGAGTTGTTTAAAATCTAGTAAGTGTACACATCATCATCAGACCAAGACGTCAGCCAATCAAAGCACTTTTAGCTGATTGAATTTTAGTTTCAACACAAGGATTTGATATGGCTTGGCATACTGATGTTGATTTCCTTGGCATGAGCATAACCTATATTAAATTAAACTAGAAACTCTTACTTAAATTTGATGGAAAAAAATTATGATACCTGAATCACTCCATATTTTGGTGTATGAACTGAGATCATAGCTAAACAGTCTAAATAAAATACAATTTTGTATTCAGAATGACTTGATACACCAAGAAGCTTCATTTTTTCTTCAATCCATTTCATACTTGTTGCAGACCATATTGCAATGTCATAATCCTTCACATAATAATATAGTATACATATAAAAAATAAATTTAAAAATAATAAACTAAGATTAATATTATATATTAATATAAATTAGCAACAAACTAATCAAGAGACAGAACATAAATGTTAGATTATAATTGGAAAAATTACAAACCACGCAGCCTTATATCTCCAAAATGCAGGCTAAGAAAAAAATCCTTCAACGTTTCGCCGATTCAGGCATCATCAGGACAGAAAATAACCTGGGCTATATGGTTTGGAATTTTTCCAATGATAACCTAACATTGTATATTAAGTACAGGTAGATTAAAATATGATTAGTATTCCAGCAGACTCCAAGATTTCATTAATGTACTAAGATAAACAAAACAAAAATGCATAAGATTTCTAGGACAGGGAAATCATCCTAAAGTCATTCATGACATTACAAAAAGCATACTTCACACAATAATCTTGATGTGTTGTACAAACTAAAGGATTTAATTTTATCTATTCTACATAAAGTCAAAATAAAAATTAGTGACAGATAGGTAGTAATCCTATTTTAGTTATTAAAAATATATGGGTTCCTACTTTAAAAAAATGGTGCACACATCACACAACTTTCACTTACAGCTTTATTTTGAATAGAAATTTTTTTATGTCAATGTTGGGCTATTACAAAATGTTTGAAATGCATTTATAATGGAGCTAAAGTTTAAACCTTACAGCGAACAAATCATCAAGATCATTAAAATAACAAAAACCCTATTTATTATATCAATGGAAGAAACTAAAAACATCATAACTCCATCTGTTTTTGTAAAACATGTAACTCCATTCTCTGAGATACATATGACTATAGAGATTTGAAAGTACATCTGTGTAATGAAACAATAAATGATTATGGATTGTACTATTATTAGTTATTAAATTTTTATATTTCCATTGCTTACTAACAATAGGTCAAAAGTTGTCACACTAATTGTAAGTGGATAATGTGCTTTTACAAGGAGAAACTTCATCAAATTATTCACTAATTTAATTTTCTAAAATGTTACATGATGAACTTTCGGAATAAACCAACGATAGATATCTAATTATTTAAATATAATATTGGATCTAGAGTTATTAGACTACAGTAAATGTATTTAAGGTTAAAAACATATGCTTTAAAAATCTATGGAATATTTTTATAATTCATTTATTCTTTCACACATAAACAATAAAATAGTTTTTTAAAAAATGTCATTGCCTTTACCTAGTAGATTTGATATACCTTTTTTTTCAAACTTGAACATAATTTTGAAAGTTTATATATCGTTAGGAAATTTTATTCAAGTTCTTAGGAAACAAATGGTTTCCATTAAATAATTTTAATTTTCAAAAATTATTATTTACAATATTTTCATCACTTTTCATTATCTTCTACTTTTAAATTAGATATTTTTTTTTTCTAAAATTCTCAGCTTTTCAATGACATATTATACGTACACCTTCTGACTATTACTTCCGGAGATTCATTTTCGACCTAAATAAACATTTTTCCTATTTTCTACTTCATTTAATAATCTATTTCTTTCCGAAGTTATATTTAGCCCTTTTTCATAACTGCTAACAATGAGAGATAATTAATTATTGAAAATAAACCAAATTAAAAGTATTTTAGGGAAAGAACTTTTGAACATTGGGCATTTAAGCCCTGTTAATCGACGTCAATGGAGATAACACCTAAATGATATTAAAACTAATTTAATTATACGTTGATGCAATGCGTTTAGTCAAAATTGTTAGAGCCGTTAAGCAGAAAATTGTAAAAATGTGTAAAACCGATGATATTAAGTGACATTTCCGGTTATCCGATTTTAAGAAAAAAATTGCGGTTACATCTCAGTTATATACTTAAATTTAAATATGTATTTTCAATTTCGTATGACTTTTCGTTTTTGAGCTAACCTGTTCACACAAAAACAAGACAATTTGCAGGACTTGGTTATTTGGACTCGGGTTCCTCAAAACGCATATTTCTGTTGAAAAATCAGATTCAAAAATTTACACAACCACAATACTTTCTCTTATTTTATATATATATATATATAAAGTATGTGAAACTAAAAATCAGAAACAGCGTAAAAAATAAAATAAAGTATTTAATACCATAAACTAAGTCTTGAATTTCATAAAAATTAAAAAAAGAATCTATAGCACTACAACCCATGAAGGGTATTTGGTTCAATACTATTTAGGGAAAACACTGTTTCTTGGTCAACGGTTGTGCAAGGAGGTGATTTGACCAAGATCACGTTCAACCGCTAGGTTTTCCCCCATAACTATGGGTACCTACTTTATAGAGGCTGTGTGTGCCCCAGGAGGGTCTCCCGACCCAGGATTTCCTCACGGCCAATGAAACAGAATAAATAATTATTCTGCCAAGAACCGGGATTCGAACCTGGGACCTTTAGCATTGGAAGCTCAGTACCCTGCCACTGAGCTACCCCACTCTTTTCACAAAAATTAACTATTGGAAAAATATTATATAAGTCCATAGTTATAGTACCTGTACAATTAAAAATATATTGAGCAAGAGATCTTGACATAAGAATATTTTTACACAGTCCAGCAAGGTTCTAACACTGATTTATTTGCGAAGTTAACCAGTGTTCCTTTCATTTCATTCAATAATTATCAGTCAGATTTTACATTTCCTGCAGTCTGACGCCCCACGATGTATTAGATCTCAGCTCAATATCCATTTTATGAAAACGTGTGAAAATGCTCAACTGTTAATCATTTGTCCATTTAAAGATCAATGTAGCTATCTCAACCTAATATTTAATAAATTACTTTGTGTGTACTCTTTAAACAATTACCTTTATTACCCCATTACATTTTTAAATAATATTACTTCATTTTTTAATTTCAACATTTTTCATTGAATTCCATTCCCACTAAACCCAAGTTGATCCTTTATCTATTAGTAAATTGAATTTATTTTTGTTTCTAAACATAAATCCAGGAGACTATGAATTTTATAATATTAAATTTGTTTCATACAACTCAATGAGTTGAGTTATTTCCTCAGCTTTTTGGTTTTCAGTAATTTTAAAGCAAAAAAAACATTCATGTTAATATCTGAAGAGCGCTTTCAGAAGAATGAAGTTGGTTTGTATTCTGTTAGCTGCTCTTGGAAACGGGAACAGAGATATGGCAACTAAATGAATACTTTTGTCCACCTGTTTTATCTGTCAAGGATTCAAAGCAGTATCCACTAGACTAGTATAGCTCTTGATATATAATACTCTCAAGTGGATAGGTATTTCTACAATATGTGTCCTTAAAATTCTTAAATCAATGACAACTTCTAATGATGGGAAAAAACAATAATATTTCTAAAAAACATTCATATATGGATAACTAACTAGTAACCTGAAAAACTATTAAATATATGTACTCTGTATGCTGAACTGAGGAATTCATGGAGATATGGTCTCATCAGTTCATAACCCCTTTCAGCAACTGAGCGATGATCGAAAAGGGTATAGTCAATATCTAACACTAACAATTTCTTACCAGGTCGTGGGTCATTAAGTACTTTTATCTGAAAAAAATAAGAAATATAAAAAGAAACTACAAGGCAAAGCAGAATAAATTAACAGCTGAAAATGGGCATACTTGATATTCTTTCACTCGTCGTTCTATTTTGGCTAAATATACTTCTTTGTTTTCTATTGCAACTTCTTCACCTTCCTCGATATCAAAATCATCTATCACTTCAGGAAGATCATCTGGTATTTTATTAGCATCAGCTATGGCTTCTTCTAAAGAGCCCATCATCATAATTTTAAATCCAGATTTAAGTTGGAGCTCAGACACTTTACAATCATTCTCTGGCATTTTTCCTTGAAGAAACAACAAACAATTAACTTTAATATAAAATAATACTATATGATGCTTCCATAAATATAATTTTAATTTTATAAATACCTTTAAATTTTAAATTCAATAATTTCTGCCTCTCAGGTCTTACACCTGTTTTGTGAAATATTATATCTTTTAAATTTCCGACTGTTTCTTCTCCAAGTAATGGTCCTACATCGTATTCTTTACTATTCCATTTCACTACTAAATTTAAATTATCAGTCATTCTGAAAAATAAATTTGGAACCAAATGTTTACATAAACATAACCTTCCAAGAACTCGAGGTTTGGTGCACTAGCGGCAGAAAAAAAAATACAACTTAAAAATCTTATTTTACTTACAACTCCATTGATGGATCATTAGTCGTTAAAGTTTCCATCCCCTAAATATTTAAATTACTAAATTTATAACTGAAAATAGGTCAATTTTATTTTTTCGAAAAGAAAAATAGTTCACAACATACTTCCTCAATAGCGAAACCCAACTTGGAGGCTTGTAGTGAAGGTTACTATCAGTATATAACCTGCTTTGTTGAGTCATTTTGAATTTTGTGTAGGTTTTGTAATATCTCTTTCACTGAAAAATGACGAAAATTCAAGAACCACAACAAGAAGAAATGGTAAATTTTAACTTCCAAATAATTTATTCAAATGATGCGATTATGTAAATCTGTGATTTTCTGTTGTTAGTTTTATGAAGACACAGGTTATGTTAAACAACTTAATTTAAGTTTGAAGTTTATTCCCTTGATTCTAAGGTTGATTTTACATATATTGATATTTGTTTGTTTTTTTCATTGTAGTCATTTGAAAATAATTTTTCATTCATTTGGTAATACCTCTCTCAATGTAGAAATGCAATGTCATCTTGGTCATCTCTCTCAATTCTTTTTAATTTTCAGTCTGAAGAAGACAAACGACTTCAAGAAGAACTCAATATGCTTGTGGAGAAAATCACGGTAAGTATTGATTTTAATGAAAGTTTGGTATACTTCTAAAGTTGGGTAAAGTATATGTTATCATTTAGGGAACAGACACCCACTTGTATATTCCTGCGTTGGAGAGCATGCGAGACCTGATAAGAAGTTCCACCACAAGTATGACATCAGTGCCAATGCCCCTGAAGTTTCTTAGATCTCATTATGGTGCTCTTAAAGAGGCCTGTGCTGTCATGGCAGATAAAAAAGCTCAGGAGCTTTGTGCCAGTATAGTCTCTGTTCTTGCGATGGGACAGGATCTACCAGGGGCTCGAGAATGTCTGAAGTATTGTTTGCAATCACATCAGAAAGAAGTTGGTGATTGGGGCCATGAATATGTTAGGTAAAATACCTTTTTATTTAACATTTTTCTGGAATAATAGTTGAATTTCAGTAATTAAATAAATTAGAGTTGTGTGTATGTATGCCTTTTCTGTCAAAGTGACTGTTTTTTATGATTTAGACAATTGGAAGGAGAGATAGCGGATGAATGGGCCTCTACAGAAGAAAAAGATAAGCTGCTAGGTTTGGTGGAGAGTATAATTAAATTTGATATGGAGCATAATGCAGAAATCCAAGCCTGTGATCTCTTGATGGAAATCGACCGACTTGATATGCTGGACAAGCTCATGGATTTGACTAATTATTCTAGAGTTTGTCTTTACTTGATTAAGTAAGTTTCTGTTGTTTATTTTCCATGTATATTCATAATTGAGAACGGTTATGCCTGGTTCTTCTGTATATATTTATGGAGGTAGGTACATTAATGTATGTTACAGTAAGAATAACACTAATATCAAATAGCAACTCATTCTAATTTATTTGTTCTCCAGTGAGAAAGAATATAGCTGTAATCAGTTACAGTAGATTCTTTGCTCCGTTCTATTGTAAATTTATATATATATATATATTATAGCTATGGTACAGATTTGAGCTTTTTAATAACATTTCTTGTGATATTGACTTTGGAACTTGAACCATTAGAGAGCCTAATAGAGTGATAGAGCTCAAGCAGTTAAAACTATTTACTATTTAACTATTTGTTTTTATTGCAGAGAATGGATTATGATGTTTACTATCTCATTTTTTATATGTTTCCTCATTAGAGTTTGGTGTTCCAATGTCCATTCACTCAATTAAATTTGTTGTATTATAATTATTTTTTATCGTTATTATTTTAATCATTTATATATTTTTTGTGGTTTGTATAATCTATTGTGTGGTCAACATATTGACAGTTTTCTGATAATATATTAAGCTAAAATAATGCTACTTTAGTTTTTAGACATAGCTTTATCGAAAGGCAAATATTGCCAAGGTCTCCTTGTTCTTCCATAAGCAGCAGAAAAATCTGATGCGTGCGCATCACACAATTTATACTCACCAACCATTGAGTAAATAGGTGTTTTCATATACAGAGTGTCTCATTTCTTAATGATCAAACTCTGAGAAGTAATCCTAGACAAAATTTCTTACAAAAAATGTCATTTGATGTATGGGCTGATTTCAAACGGAAAAAGGAGTTAAGTCCAATTTTATCTGTTCTTAAGGTGATCATGTTTTTTTAATACTATTTTTTATGCTAGGAAGCAATAACACAAAAATAATTTAATTCTGGTAGCAACATTTTAAAATAAAAAAGCAGTATTTTTTTAATAAATAAAAAGAGTTTTTCATAATTAATTTACAAAAATAGATGTAAGGTCACAAGTAAAAGAAGGAATTAAAACTTTGTAACAATTTCTCAGATATAATGCTGAAAACACAGGTACTCTAAAGTAACAGAATATCATAAATAAAGAATATCAAATCAAATAATGTTAAACAACACAACTCTAGGTGAATCTGAAATCTATTCTGCAACAAACCTCAACTAAATTGATATGCAATTAAAGCTATTAAACAACTAAGTTTGTATAAAAAGTGGGGTATCTGCAGTATAGTTGCAAGATTATAAAAACACATCACGAATAATCCACGATTTAATGAAAATCTCAATTTAGCATAGTTTGTCTGCTCAAAAGTTTCCTTTTAATGGTTTTAACAAAGACAAACTCTACTTGTATTTGAAGAAAATTTTGTCTACTTTACTATAAATAAATTTTTAAATACCAGAATGTAATAATTTTTGTGTTATCCTTTCCTATGAAAGAAAAAACGTGACGACCTTGAGAAAAGACAAAATTGGACTCAACTCCTTTTCCGTTCGAAATTGGCGCATACATCAAATTTCTTGTTGAAAATTTTTTCTAACATCGCCTCTCATAGTTTGGTCATTAAGAATTGAGACATTCTGTAAAGAGATATGAAAACAAGAGTAGAACTTCATTTAAAACAGTTAATTATCATGTTTTTATCACTCATAATATCTGTTAAATTTATACCTTTTCATCACTTTACATTTCCTTTGATGTTTATGTATAATACCAAACAATACTAATAATTGTGGGAAAAAAAAGATATTTTGGAAAATTTCTGAGTATTATTGGAAACATTTATCACAAAACTGCTATCTGCCAATGTTTATAACCTGATCACTGATAATTCTGATAAGGCACTGATGATCCTTCTCCTAATTCTTGTCTTCGTATTCATATTTATTGTATTATCTTCGTATTATTGAAATTTTAGACAAATGTAATAATAAAAATATACTTATATTTTACGACATATATATTAACTTAACATATATATCTGTCGTCGGGTGTGTATCCTTTCCAACAGTCCGAATAAATGGTGGTTCCCTCTTCTATATTGTTTTTAATACCTTGTAATAAAGTTGTTGCCTTTCTGTTGTTTATTTTGATGATAAAACACTCATCTGTTTCTCTGCAAACTCTGCCAAGCATCCATTGCTCAGGTAAAACTCTCCCTACTTGATTTTTTCTTTTAGAAAAAAGACTCTCGTCTACTTCAACCACTTCTTGACCTGTATAACATGTCATGGGCACCAACCTCTCTTAAACATTTTGTTCTACGTTACCATAGCTCCCTTGTTTAGTTTCAGCTGCTCTTTGTCCCACTTTATCATTGTTAAATTATGGGACCACCCATAATTAAATTTTAAAGCGGTTAAAAACATAATCCTCGACCCCTCTAACCATGTTCCTTTCCTTATTGAAACTTTTATGTTACAAGTGCTACGACAGTATCTCTGTTTCGCGTCCCTGTCTAACTTCATTTAATGACCTTGTTCACTCAATATCATGTTTGCAATTAACCCAACTTTTTGAAAATATTCAATAGCTTGTTCTTCCGAAGACGGTAATTCCCAGAATGTAACAAGATCCATAATTTGACGAAAATAACACAAACGTGCCAAAAATAAAGAATTTAATAACTGAAAAATAAACAATGCAATAACTGAAAGGTATGGCGAGATCAGAAGAGGGAAGTTATGTGACGTAACGTTAGATAACACAGATAACAGGAAGGTTTTGTCCCGCCCGGTTAATGGACAAGTATCATATTGTATATTATTAGGTTTATATTAATAGATTCTCAAAATTTTGTCGGAAAAACTCTTTAGAAAGTTATGGATAAGTGATATATAGAAGTTAAACTAACAATGTAAACTAAGCACTCGCATAGTATAGTGGCTAGCGTACTTTTCTGATATGGTGAAGGTTCTCAGTTCAATACCGGTTCCATCATTTTTTTTTCTGTTGTAATATAAATATATAATTTAACGATTCACGTACTCCCAGACCGAAAAATTTTTCAACTCCACAAACATTTCTGTAAACTCCTTAATTAAGACAATATGTCATTAAATAAGCAAAGCTTAAGAAGGTACAAACACAGACATATAAAATACATTTTATTTAAATAAAAACTATCTAAAATAAAACTGCACAAAATATTACATTACTTACTTAAAACTATATTCTTTATTTAGATGTATATAGTCTTTCTTTTATTATTATTGTTGACTTTGTTTATATACTAATTTTATTTACATTATTATTTTCTTTCTTTCTTTATTTTGTTTTTATTTTTTATGTAGGTTTTTTTTAAATAATATTTTCTACTGTTAAATAACAAAAAATGTTACTAATGTTTATAATTTTAAAATACCTTTAGTGTGAAATGTACCAAAACATGACTGATTTTTATGTACATATTTTAAAATGTAAAGTAATTTAAATAAACTTATTATTATCATTAACAATATAAACTAACAAAGTCCTTTACAGAGGGGTATCGGGTATCTGTAAAAGGAGAGTGTCAGGAAACGTCGGAAGCTTTTGGGTGTTTCCATATACCTTCCGAACTTTATTTCTCCTTTAGTTACCAATCAATTGTCTTCATTCATTATTTTTAACTATTTTTGATTACAGTTTACTATGTGAAATGGTTAATTGTTAATAACAACAATTACAAGTAATTTTGAGGAAGACATTTGGAAAATTAGGTATTTAAAATCTGTTATAGAACAGTAGTGAGAATAAGACCTACATTATATTAAAAACTGAAGACGACCTGAAAAGTGGGTCGAAACGTCAGCAAAATTCAAATAAAATAATTACTATATTTTAATTTAGTATTTTTATTAATTTAGTATCTGACCGCATCCCCGACTAACTCCTTCTCATATATTAAAAACTGTTATCGTTAGAGCTGTTTTAGAGAAAATCGTAAAATTGATGATTGAAAGTGGCACTTCCGGTTAGCCGATTTTGATGGAAAAGTTGCTGTTACATCTCATGCATGCACTAATCTTTTATGAACAATTTCAGTTGCCTATGACTTTTCATTTTTGAGCTACTGTTCACACACAGAAAATTTTGTGGGGCTTGGCTATTTGGACTCAGGAGACCTCTTGCTTTTCTGTTGAAATCTGATTAAAAAAAATATCATGATCGCATTACTTCCCTTACTATATTTTACATATGTGTAGATAAGTGAAAATAAAAATTGGAAGAACACACACAAGTACAGGCCATTTTGTAGGACTAGATTATGTGGACTCAGGGGATCTCAAAACATGTATTTCTGTTGAATACTCAGATTAAAAAATGTTCACGATCGCAACACTTTCTCTTACTATTTCTATACATTACGTATATAGGCAAGTGAAAGTAGAAATATAACATTTACATTAGACCAGATTTTTCCATTGTAAAAATAGATTCTTTAGAAAAGTATACTTTAATGTATTATTTTTAAAAGGCATACATCTCAAAAGGCAAAATCACAAATGTTAAAAAATCAAATTACAGTTTTGTGCAAAGTTTAAAATTATAATTGTTCTACTACTATTTTCTAAAGCAAAATCATGAATATAAAAAATGTAGATTCACAAGTTATTTGTGATACTTAATCACTGTGAATCTGATTTCCTTGATTTTTGAAAGTTAAAGGAACCCTCGAACCGCATATTCTCAAAATTAGGGATTTGTGTATTCACAGTTTTGCTATAATTTTACAATAATGAGTCATAATAGTACCTACAGGCTATGTTTCCACATTTTTTACATTACATGAATCAAAACAGTCATCTAGATAAATCCACTAAGCTGATTATAAATATGTCTTATTTTCAGTTGTGCAGTTTATGTAGAAGAGCCAGAAAGAGGAAATATTGTAAATGGTGTTATGAATCACTACATGCGATTTAAGGAATATCCCCGTGCACTGTGCCTTGCTATGCAATTAAATAAACATGACTTAATGATAGACATCTTTAACCAATGCCAAGATCCGTAAGTCCAAGGATTAATAAAATTAATTTTTATCTAACTTATTAATTTTTTGTAAGTAACGTGTAGAACTTATTTTTAATTTAAATTATAGATTGGTTCGTAAACAGTTGGCCTTTATGGTAGGCAGGCAACAGTTAAGTCTGGAATTGAGTGATGACCTACCTGACAAATCAGATCTCACTAACATCATGTCTAATGCCCATGTGAATGATCATTTTCACAGTTTAGGAAGAGAGGTAAGTTTGAAAAATAAATAAATAAATTCCTTTCTCTATTGTATTATGCCATTATAAATCTGTGATTAAATGTTTGTTTTAGTTGGATATCATGGAACCTAAAACCCCAGAAGAAGTATATAAAGTTTGGTTAGAAGGGTTGGTCCTTCGCCCAACTTACAATCTGGAAGTACCTCTCGATTCTGCTAGGCATAATCTTGCTTCTACATTCGTAAATGCTTTTGTGAATGCTGGCTTTTCCAGAGATAAGTTGGTATCAGTTGAAGATGGCAACAAGTGGATGTATAAGAATAAGCAACACGGTGAACAATATTTTATAATATTAATTTTGGATTAAACAATTCAGACGTATTGCTATTTATACATTATTCTGATATTTTTAAAATTGTGATATTTCTTGTCCTTTTTTTTTTTAAGTGCCAATATTTGTTATATATTAAAAATGATTAAATAATGTTTCAACTGTTATTAAGTTTTATATTTGAGTGATTTAATTGATACTGAGAGCTTAATAGTTCTGTAACTGAATAATACATTTAAAATTGAAACCAAAATTCATAAATCCATTTAATAAATAAAAAATAAAATACTGATTATTGTTTTTCTTAATGAATTCTTCTGTCATTTTCTTATACACTGCTAGGTTGTTCATAGATGAATTCTGCTGCACAACTCTTGATCTTAATATTATCATTTTTACTTGGTTTATATAATTACAACTTTTGTAGAGGATTGTTCTTCATAGGGCAAATATTGTATAAGATGGTCCCTTTCTTTTCTTTGCTTTCTTGATGGCTGGAACAAAATTGTCAAAGAGGCAACAGCTTTAGTTTTCTTTTAAATACAATGCAGACTCTAGGGTTTATAAGTATAGAGAAAATATTGTCATGCTGCTGTTGTTCCCAGTCCTTTAAGCCTGCCATCAAGGAGATAAGGTTCTTGAATCAAGACAGTGTCAATACATCTAACATATTGTTGCTGAAATCCACACCCAGCAATGCAATGGTTTTTATAAGACAACTCTGAGTTCATTGTTTTATTTTTCTATTATGAAGGGAGTCCTTCAGACAGTGTCTGTGATGATTTTTTTTTCTTTTTCTGATAGGCTCTACTATACTTGTTGCAATTCTAATATTAACAATTTGACATCTCTTAGACTTTCAGGATACAATCTATTGCACCTTAGAGACAGTCTTACAATTTTCTTAATAGTTATTCTTTGAATTATAAAAATAAAATTAACATTTTATTCTTTCTAGGTATGTTGAGTGCTGCTGCATCTCTTGGCCTGATTCATTTGTGGGATGTTGATGGAGGGCTGACTCCCATTGACAAATATCTCTACACTTCTGAAGATTATATCAAGGTTAGTCTTTTTATTTCTTTTTATAAACCAGTAACTAAATTATAGTTAAATTGGTTTTACAAAATTATTGGTTTGTCATAGAGTGGTGCATTGCTGGCTTTGGGTATTGTGAATTGTGGAGTCAGAAATGATTGTGACCCTGCATTGGCTCTTCTTTCTGATTATGTGCTTCATGAGAGCGTTACTTTGAGGATTGGTGCTGTTTTAGGTATCAGTAACATTATATCAACATTTTTGGCTAATTATTGTTTTAATTTATATTTGTGAAAAAATAACTTCAATCTGTGTGAAATGCTGTTTAAAAAGAAGATAGTCTATAAGAACATGTTAGTATCTTCTTGCCAATGAGAATTGAAGGCTACATTCTTCCTTCTCATCTCTATTTCTATAATCATTCTGATGTTGTAACTACAATTTTATATGTAATTTTTTTGTTTGATTTAATTTGTAAAAGTTATCATATGTCTTAGATAAGATCAGTTTTTCACATAAGTATTTTGGACAGGTTTGGGTCTGGCTTATGTTGGGACAAAACGACAAGATGCCATTACCCTTTTGCTGCCAGTGCTCTCCGATTCGAGATCGACACCAGAGGTTGTCGCTATGGCAGCCTTGGCATGTGCCCTCATTACACTTGGCACGCCTCACCCTGATGTTGTATCAACCATCCTGCAAACTCTCCTTGATCTTCCTGTAGCTGAGATGACTGAAGGCCATTATTCCAAGTTTTTACCTCTTGCACTTGGCTTATGTTACCTGGGTAATTATTTAAGCTATTTTTGAACTAGATAAATTATATACATATTTTTTAAAGTTTATATATACTACAGTGCGATTTCACACAAAAAAGATGGAATTTTATTTCGTTTTATTAAAGTAAGACTTAGAAGTATACTTTTTATTTATTAAAAAAAAAATCTGCTTTTTCAAAAATATAAATATTAAAAAGTTATCACATAAAGTGATAATGAACTGGTGCTTTCAAAGAGATGTTAACTATGGGAATTGGTTCTTATGATCAATTAAATATTCCTTTCTTCTAATCTTATTTCTGATGTTTTCATTTTAAGGAAAATAAGTCTAGCAATGGACATTTTTCATTATTTTAAAAATGATGTTATAATAATGAGCTATAACCTTAAGTTAATATTGATGTTATATTTGTCTTATGACATTAGATACTCTGTGTATTAGAGATGGATAGATAAATCGAGATATCTGATTAAAAATAAAAGTACTAATGAGAAAAAAACATCTCTGTACATATATAAATAAACCAAGCAGAGAGAGATAATAAATAAATAAACAGGATTGAAGTGTTAAAGTAAATATTTATATAATAACAGGTAATTAAAAATAAAAATGCAAGAGAGAAAAAACTGTACACATATATATAAAAAACAAAACAAAAAAAAAAAAAACAGAGAAAAAATAAACAAATTAACATAATAGTAATGTAAATAAGCGTGTTTTATAAATGTCTGAAGTACGGAATGCTAATTAATGCTAGAAGATTTGATTCAGAAAGTAAACAAAACAGCTCAGTGAAGAATGCAATAAGGCTGGAAGATTTCCTAGAGCAAACTTGGTGAATCCATCCAGTAGATTCCCGATTCACAAGGAATCGGTCAATTGACTGGTTTTGTTCTAGGGAATCTTCCAGTCGTGTTCCATTGTTTTTTTGGGTTATGTTAACTTTCCGAATTTACTCATCCATACACATTTCGTATTCGGTTATTTATATTTATTTACATTACTATTTTTTTTATTTACATTTCTCTCTGTTTGTTTCATTTACAGATTTTTCTCTCTTGTACTCTATTTTTAATTACCTATTATTATTTAAATATTTAATTTAATGTATGGCCATACTGTCATGTTTTATTTATTTTTTATTCATAATTTATTCTACATGGTCATCAGTCCCAGGATAATAAAATTACATTTCATTTTATTTACAGTTTATATATACAGACTAAATCTAATGTGTGAAATTAAAAAAAAAAACTTTTTCTGTCCAATATAAACTTCCTTCCTGTTTATAAGATTCATGACTTTATTTGTATGTATTTGGGACTTTTAATTTCAATAAGTTAAAAAAAAAAATGTTTAGTCTGAATAACAATAAGGTTTGAGAATGTTTATTACTTCTTTTTTTTTTCAGTAAAAAGTTCTTTTTTAATTTAAAGATAAAAAGAATCAATCAAAGAATCAATTCATTACAATGATTGAATCATTGAAAATTGATTCTGTTAAAAGAATCAAATTTCCCATCTCTACCCTGTATATATAAATGCTAATTTATTATTAATTGGTTTATATTTTTCAGTAGTTGTAAACATAATCTTTAAGTCTTAATACATTATACATTTTTTTTTTTGGAAATGTTATATTTTAGGTCAGCGAGAAGGTACTGAAGCTACAAAAGCCGCTCTTGAAGCACTTCCGGAACCTTTGAGGTCTTTATCACAACATATGTTGAAGATGTGTGTCTATGCAGGGACTGGTGATGTACTTGTCATCCAGGAGCAGCTTCAAGTGTGCTCAGAACATTACCCTACTCCAGTAAGCATTATGACTCTATTTTTGCTTTGTTATAACTTAGATTAGAGACAAATTTTAAGTAGATGAATGAACTCTTACAGTTTTAGTTCATGTTCAATGTGAATATTATTTCAGCTGATAAAAGTCCAAATGACGATGGTGTTACTATAAACTTTTGATATCTGCAAATATTCTAAATTATCTACAATGAACGCCATCACAAATCTGAACTTATCTAACCTATACTAAAATTAACAAATACATATATTATATTCCAGCCATCATCCCAAATAGATCTGTATCTTGCTGATTCCTTCAAATGTTTGCTTGATTGGAATATCATGTTCTTATTTGTGTATAAATGTTTTAAAAGCTTTTGCTGTCTAATAAACACTTATGGAATAACTTAACAGTTTATTTTTTAATAATTCAGAGTGAGAATTCAAGTCAAAACAAGGAAAGCAATTTTTTTATTGAATTATTTCAGACAAGTTCCGCGTATAGTCTTATCTGCACTTGTGTTTACTTCGTCCTTTTGTAACGTTAAATTTAAATATTTGCGTCATAGAATTATTTACCTTCCTCACATTTTTCTTTCTTAAATTATAAATTTAATATGGACAAGATAGTAAAATAAAAAAGTAAATATTTACACACGCACCTATATTTATATGGTACTTATTTAGTAGCGGGTAGCGTAAAAACCTCCCTTCTTATCTAATCTCATTTCAGATAACCTCCCTTATCTCATCTACCTAAGTTATTCTGTTGTTTAGTTTTTGTTTCTTGTGCCAGGTGTGAGTTTATTTAATTATAAATCTTGTCACATTGTGGGAATTGCCGTCTTCAGAAGAAGAGGCTGTAAAATATTTTCAAGACGCCGGGATATTTGATAAGGAGAAATATTGTGATGAAGGTCACAAAATGAAGTTCGACGGGAAGATTAAATGGAGATACTTTCGTAGTTGTAACAAAACCGTTTCTATAAGGAAAGGAACGTGGTTAGAGGGGTCGAGGATTTCTTTTTTAACGGCTTTAAAATTCATTTATGGGTGGTCTATAAATGAATCCTTCATTATTTCTATCGTTTCTTCATAATGTTTGTTTTATATGTACATATGCTGTTTTAAGTAGTTTTTTATTATTTCATCATTTGACTATTTTTATTATTTAATTTATTTTTATATATGTGTTGCAATGTTTTCGCAATGTTTTTTAATTATATATTTATAATTTTTTGGTGTATTTTAATATATACGTTGTAAAATAAAAGCATTTTGTTATTATTACATTTTTTCTGGTTTTGTTCACAATTTCAATAACATCAATACAATACAATAAATATGAATATGAAGATATAATAATATGAATATAATACAATAAATATGAATACGATGAGCTTATCAGTGTTAAGGTTATAAACATTGGCAGATAACAGTTGGATGCTACCCGCTATTAAATAAGTACCATTTATATTTATAAATCATTTAATCTAGCACAGAAATGTGGAACTTAATGCAACAAAAATCAAAAATCGTGCAATTTAAGCCAAAAAAATGCAATATAAATTTTAATATGTGCAATATAAAATTTAAATATGTTCTACTGATCCTGAAACGGATAGATATTCCGATCCGTGGTTTTTACACATAAGGGAATAAAATGTGCAATAACATGAAAATCCAGTCTCTAGTTATCACATATCAGATCCAAATTGATCATGATGTGTAAAGATTTCTCATTCAATAGTATAGTACTAATAATAATAATCAGTCTGCCTTTTAATCAGACCACTCCAAACATTTTTATAATCATCATTAAAATAATTATAATGACTAAACTGCTTATATCTTTTTTTTTTATATGGAGTCCTCTTGCTAAAACTAATCTTAGGATTTGACCCCTAGCAATATTCTTAAAATCATAACTCATGCTTTATTGTTTGAATTTTACTAATTTAAATTATGTTTAGTTCCTATCGTTTAAATAGTTTCTATTGGTTTTATTTTAAACTATTTAGCCTAATGTGTAATTGAATTTACGTATGTTTAATATTTATTAACATTGAAGGAAGAAAAGAAAGAAACTGATAAGAAGGACAAGGATAAAGACAAAGACAAAGATGAATCGAAGAGTAGTAAAGTGAAGGACATGACATGCATGCAGGCAGTGGCTGCTCTTTCTGTAGCAGTGATTGCTATGGGCGAAGAGACAGGATCTGAAATGGCCACCAGGATATTCGCACAATTGGTAGGTATCACTTTCAGTTAGGGTTGCTTGATTTTTTAAAATATTTTCATAGGTATTAGTAAATATAATACGACATATTATAAGTATTTGAAAAATAAATTATCATGCTATGTTTACTGTTACCGATCATTAGGGAAGGTATGGTGAACCTGCCGTACGTAGAGCTGTACCTTTAGCCATAGCTTTGTCTTCGATATCAAACCCTCAGGTAAATTGTTTTTTATTTACATTTTATTTTATTTAATGTATAAATATAATTATTTTCTAAAAATAATATTTCATTATTAAAATAAAACTTTATGTATTTTTATTCCAGTTAGCTGTTATCGATGTTCTTAATAAATATTCACACGACCTCGACGAAGAAGTTGCCCACAATGCTATTTTCTCTATGGGTCTTGTTGGTGCAGGCACTAACAATGCTAGGTATTTTAGTATTATTTTAATTTTTAAAATTAATGTTGGTCGCTTTAATTGTAAATTCCCAGTGCTATTTTTGTCCATTTAACACCAATTAAGCTTAAGCTTGTATGGATTCCTACCACTTCCCTCCCAAACTTATTTGGTCAGTCATGAAAAAAAAAAACTTATGGCTATTCATGTTCATATTTTTTATAGTATTGATCTTGTAAGCTGTTGCTTATTATCACTTTGCTAAATGGTCATTTATGTGTTATATTACAGGTTGGCTACCATGCTACGTCAGTTGGCCCAGTACCACGCTAAAAATACCGGTCACTTGTTTATGGTGCGCATTGCTCAAGGATTGACGCATCTTGGTAAAGGCACTCTTTCACTTTGCCCGTTTCACACTGATAGGCAGGTCATGAACTACTCAGCAGTTGCTGGTCTTCTTATCACCCTCGTTTCCTTCCTGGACACAAAGACAAGTAAGTATTATATTATACGTTCTTTGTGTGATTACTTTATTTGGATATGCTCAAAGTTAACTGGAATTTTACTTCTAAAAGTATTTAAGATAGTTTTAGCTATTTATTTTTCTCTCTTTTTTTAGTCTCCTGAGTCTACAAAGAGGATTTTAAAGTTCCTATTATTGTCTGTTGCACTGTATTCTCTTGTAAATATGAACTCTTTCTGATATTTATAAAGGATTATTTACTATGGAGAATGCAATGAATTTATAGTAAAATTCTTTTGAATAATGTAGTCATTCAAAGTATAATTTATTATAAAGAAAGGAGATGGTCCGGGGTTGCGGTCATAAAAAGATGACCGCAACCCTGGACCATCTCCTTCCTTTATAATGCAACGGTCAAGCATTAAATATTCAATATAATTTATTATCTTGCCATAACAACAGTAATTCAAAACAAATGAAAGGATTTGATAAGGTACCATACTATATTGACCCCTCTCACAGCTATAAACTAGTATTTTTTAAGAACATGAGTGTATTGGCTGGATTTTGTTAAAGCTCCACACATTCATTTTTTACAGATTTTCTGTCAAGACAAAAGGTCTCAAACACCTCAAATTAAGATTATTTTCTTCAAAAACCTGCTTCAAAATATGCTTTCCTGTTCCCATGGTGTGGAGGGAACCTACTAATCACACTGACAACTGCTACTTTTGTATGACCCCTCCTCTTCATCATGGAATGTCTCTAAAAAAGAAATCTGAAGTGAAGTATCCTGACATTCCTTCTGCTAGACGGCCAATACCACACGGGGACGAATTTCCTGTTCCAAATCCCTCTGAATATTATGACTTGAATGAGGACAAGGATAACAAAGAGGAAAATCCTCTAGGAGGAACCCCATCAGTCAGAATATGATTCTGATTTTTCTTTCAAACAGGAATGAAAACCCCACTTGCCTTACTTAAGCTGAACTCAGTGACTTGATTCAGGACCTGGGTCTGCCCAAAGAGAAAGCTGAACTTATGGGTTCAAGATTGAAGCAATGGAACTTCTTACAACCTGGTGTACAGATTACAATGTACAGAAATCGTCAGAAAGAATTGATCCCCTTTTTAAAAAAAATTGAGAACCTTGTTACCTGTTGTGATGTCCCAGGTCTGATGACAGCATTAAATCGCAATCACAACCCGTCTGAATGGAGGCTGTTCATAGATTCATCAAAGCTATCTCTCAAGGCAGTTCTGTTGCACAATGGTAATTTACTTCCAACTATCCCTATTGGCCTTGCTGTCTACGTGAAGGAAACTTACCAAAATATGGAAACCCTTCTGAAATCCATCAAATACTAGGACTACCAATGGCAAATCTGTGAAGGTGGTGGCAATTCTTCTAGACATGCAACAGGGAAAAACTAAGTACTGTTGTTTCTTATGTTAGTGGGATAGAGCATCTCATTACATCAGAAAGAATGGTCTCAAAAACAGCTTTTCACATCATATGCAGATGTGATTGATTTACAAGGCTGAGACTGGTGGTATTTGGGGAGGAACAGATGGATCTCCCCAGAAGATATGAGTCGGTCAATCCAATCAGCCTACTTAGATACGCGGAAGCGACAGGATTAACGTTTTAAACAAAACGACTAACTGAAATTGGCGCACAATGGACCCAGTAGGGGGTCGACGTGCTTATGGCCAACATAATAAAAAAAAAATGGTCTCAAATAGAAGTCCTGATCCCTGGACGAAATAATGTCTCTACAACCCTCTTTTGTGTCCTGAAAAAATCATTTTGCCCCCACTACATATAAAGTTAGAGCTCATGAAAAATTTTGTCAAAGGAATGGAATGGATCAATCAGAAAAGGCATTCAATTATTAGAGAGGAAAATGTCTTTGCTTAAGTTAATCTAAGGTTAAAGAGGGTGTATTTGTTGGCCCAGAAATCCATGAGCTTCTTAATGACAGGGATTTTTTAAATATTCTTCAGGGTAAAGAAAGAGCAGTATGGGAAGCATTTACGGCTTTAGTTAATGGTTTCTTGGTTAACAAAAGAGAGGACATTTATACTGTCTTAATCCAAATTCTCTTCGAGAAGTATAGAGATCTCGGTTGTAACATGATTTCACTCAAGATTCACTTTCTTCACTCTCATTTGGACTTCCTTCCCCAACATTGTGAATCTGTAAGTGACGAACATGGTTAGCGATTTCACCAAGATATATCCTCGATGTTATGAAGATATCAAGGTCGGTGGAACACTTTAATGCTCGCAGACTACTGTTGGAACGTTTTGAGGGATTTGCCAGAACATCAGTACAATCGTCAATCAGAGAAGAAATATTCTAAATAAACTGTACAGCAGCGCTATTCTTGCTGAGAAAAGTTGTAATTTAATGTTTTGTGGGTTGTAAAAGGATCTCACAAATAATAAAGCACTTTCATAGCCTAAAAAATGATTGTTTAACTTCCAGTAACTTAATTTTTTGTATTCGATGCGGCGTATAAGTATCTGTAGAATGGTAGTTAATATAAGGATTCTGACAGAAAATTCGAGTTTCTCACACCAAAATTAGTCAAGAGTTTTCATCGAAGATAAACATAAAAAAAATTTTTTTGTAGGCAGTGTAATTAACCAGTTGTAAATTACTAATCAATACAGTAATTTTCAGATTGGCCCCACTCTGAAACCCTAAGTTTTAATTATATTTATTTTATTAATATAAATATTGATTATCATTTTAATTGTTTTAGTAATGCTTGGAAAATCCCACTATTTGCTCTACACACTTGCGACTGCCATGTACCCAAGGTGGTTGGTTACGCTTGATGAGCATCTGGAACCACTCCCTGTCTCCGTCAGAGTTGGACAGGTAACTATCATAGTTCAATTTCTTGTAATATACTACCTGGATTGTCTGAATACTTATATTGTCGGTAGAATTTCAGATTGATTAATTGAAGAACATTAAGTTAAAATTCAATATATCCAATTATGAAAAAATATCAACTGGGCATCTCTTATAAATAAGCTGTATTTGTGTTGAACATATTGATTTGTGACACCAATCTGACTAAAAAGTTTTAAAATAAACTGAATAATTTTTAGATGTAGAATTATAATTTTCAGTTTTCTTTGTTTAGATTAAAAAAAAAGAAGTTATACTTATTAAGTTCTATATATTAGTTGGTTTTTTAAAGAGCTCTAGTACTTTTACAACACTTGACTTCCTCTTGATTTATGTAGTCTGAAAGAATACTCTGCCTAAGTTTGCTACAGGATTGTTTTTCAGAGATATTTAGACAGACCTTATAAAATGAATTGTGTAATTGCAAACAATATTTTTTCTATCACAAGCTATTATCTAAATTGTTTATTTTAAGAATATTTTGCTTAATAAAATTTTTTTTTTTATCTGAAATGGGTCTGGTTCAATCATTTTGGATAGAGATCCTCTGTAAATTGTTCTGCCCTCTGTAATTTGTTTTTGCAGTCACTTTCACTGAGAACCCGAGTAAATATATAACTTTTGAAATCATAAAAGTATCCTCGGTAAGATTGGTTAAGTTCACCTAAGAGATTAAAAATGTGTTGCCATTATTGTGTATATTTTTAGCCACTACATACATAGATGTTGAAGTATAAAAACTATCAATAATCTATTGGAGTAGTTGAGTTTTTTAATTTATCTTCTGCTTTATTTGTTGAATAATTTCATCGGTATGTATATTAATCAAAATCGCTTGTATTAGGCTGTGAATGTGATTGGTAAAGCTGGAACTCCAAAGACGATAGCTGGTGTCCATACTCACACTACTCCTGTGCTGCTCGCTGTTGGTGAACGTGCTGAACTGGCCACCGAGGATTATACTCCTCTCACACCTGTTATGGAAGGATTTGTCATTCTCAGAAAGAAACAACCAGCATGAAGATATATATTTAATTTTTTTATTATTTCTGCTTTATAATTATTAAATTAATTAAATTAATTATACACGTTGTTTGTACAAAATAGCTGTTTCCTTTATATTTTTCTTCTTCCCTATTAATTTCCTTAAATACTTACAGAATTGAATTATATCCATTTTATTAGTAACTATAATATATGTACGTTTGTAAAAGTTATCAGGCGAGATCAACAAAAATAAATCTCTTTTGCATTAGAATGCAAAGTCTTTTCAACTTGTATAAATTTGGTACAATAATTAACGTTAATTTTTTTTCAACTTTTTTTTTTCTTAGAAATCAATTCCAATAATGATATACATATACAATTACAATAATAACACTATGTACAGATAAAAAGATCAACACTACACTTTTCTACTAAGACCTACCAGTTTCTAAACAAAAAAAAAAATCTTAAACAAAATTTTACTGCATTAGAACTAACAACTATATGCAATCAATTCAAAGAAAATAATAATAAATCAACATAATTATAAAGAAACGACACGTGTTTATTAAAAAATAAAAGTGCTTTACAAAACAATAAATTTTCATAAAATAGAGAAATTGTTATGATATTTAAATAATCACTAAAAATGCAGGGATCAATTTTATTTGGTAACAACAAAGCATATTATTCCGATCTTTCCATTACTAAACTGCTTTACAAATATGAACATTTTCTCTTTAACAAAAATGTTTATGATCATTTCCAGATCATTAAAAATAAGTATACTGTAAGTCCCTAATTTTTTTTTTTTTCATTGGATAGGAATTTAAAATATAAATAATTAATATATATATATATGTATATATGTATAAAATATAATGTTCAACTTATTACATAAAATATTTAACTTGCTTTCATAGAGGCACATATAAAAAAATTCATTTGAGGAAAAGAACCGGTTCTTTTCCATAATATTTAAAACAAATTAAGCCTAATAATAAAAATAACAGTCTCTAAATAACCGCTAATCAGCATGGCCATTGACTATTTTCGACCGAGCATATTTCCTGGTGGCAGATTTGACCTTATTCGAATCTTCGTCATCACTAGCTCCACTCCAATCAGATCCGCTGTCGGACTGAAACAATTTTAGTTCCCAAATTATCACAATGGAAATAAAATAATAACAAATAATTAAAATAAAGGAGAAGGATCTTTTCAATTCAATTGAATTAAAACAACATTGACTACAGACTAGTAATCGAACAACATACCTAAGGAACATAACAAAAGTCATTAAAAGATTAATGTTAAATAAAAATAAAAAAATAGTTAATGGTTTGCTGTACAATGAACAGTGGAATAATTATCTGGCAGTACAGAGTTATGAATGGCCAAATATCCTTTATATAGGGAAAGCACTGCAGCACATTTATTATTCCAATATTTCTTTTCTACCGAACAGGAACCAGGGTAACAAAAGAAGTCAGTAATTTTTTTATTTTAGTTTCATAAGGATACAAAAAAACTTATCAGTGCAGTTTCTAGAACTGTGTCATAAATATGATCTCTATGGGACATATATAGGGAATTGTGCTTGGAGTAGTTAATACAATTTTTTTTTTAAATTATTATAGCTCAATAATATTTAAAGTTTGGAGATCAAATTAAATAACTTAATGAAATGTTTTATTTTTTGCTTCAAATTTTTGTCCCTGTTGTTTAAAAAAGTTAAGAAATTTTAAACAACAAATTTTAAACAATTAGCTCAGGTAAAGATTGGTTTTAACACTTAATTTAAGAAAAATGATATCGAAGTATTTGTTTCCGTGACTAATATTACCGGATTGGTTATTCTCATAGCCTTAACAATGTATTATTTTTCTGATACAACCATATTCATAACAACTGATTGGCCATTATGAATAGTTTTTTAGAGGGAGGTTTATTTCACTCTAGTGAAATGCTAATGGTTTAATTTTATTATTTCTTTCAAATGTAGGTGTGTAATGTATAGAAGAAAAATTTCAGCCGTGAAGAAGTTTCTTATCTATAATTTTTTTTCACTTACAAGTGTTAAATTTAAAATACATGTAATTATCCCATCCCATTGACTATGAAGTTACAAATGATTAATAACGCTTGAACAGTGTGTTTATTCCACTTCCACAAAGTTATTCATGATTAGAATCTGTCATAGATTTCTTGACCAGCACTTATCAGTGACGAAAGAGTTTAACAATTAAAGTGTCAACTGACTTACTGACCAATGGTATCTGTCTACCGTCGGAGCGTCTTAAGAGTGATAAGTGCATTTCACAGTTTTATATGAAGCTGCATTTGTGATGGCCAGAATACCCCACCTATAGAACTGATTGCAGAAGAAAGGAAGGAGGCGATTGCTTGGCTATGGATGCTTTCAAACCTATCAGAAGAGGTTTAAGCTAGACAGTACAGCAATGTGCACAGTGTACAAACCTATAGAAGAGAGCGCAGAACATATGTTCTTCTTCTGGGTCCGCTATCAAGAAGAAGGGGAAGAATTTTGAGATACCTGCGGATCAGAACCAAAGGCTGATAATATTGTTGAACTGATGCTGCTTCCTCAAGAGTGCAGGCCTAAGTGACAAAGCTTGGCAGTGCAAATCATAAAGAGACTGAGAAGTGAAGGGAAGGAAAGGCTAAACAGGATGTAGCCGGAGGAAATGGGGCGGCACACAGCCACTCCCCCTCCATGAAGTAATAATAATAAGCCCAACAGTAGTCCGATGGATTGGCAAACAGTTGTACGGACCTATTCGTGTCTTTTGAAGATTTTCACCAACCATCATAAAAAAAAAAAAAAAAACAGACCATTGTGCAAGACTTGGTTATTCGGACTCAGGGGATCTTACAACATGTATCTCCGTTGAAAACTCAAGATTCAAAAATTTTCACATTCGCATTACTTTCCCTTACTATACAGGGTGCCCCAGTTCTTAATGTCCAAACTCTGTAGAGTGATTCTATATGAAATTTCCAGCAAAAAAGTTTGTTTGATGCATGGGCCGATTCCAAACGGAAAAAGAGTTAAGACCAGTTTTGAGTGGTCACATTTCTTTATTGAATCAGAAGGGATTGCTCAAAAACTGTTCAAGATAACAATATTTTAATAAGTACACCATTGTAAAGTAGACAAATTTTTTTAAAAACTGTTTAAATTTATTAAGGTCAGTGATAAAAGGAACTTTCAGGAGGTATAGTATTTAGACCTCCCTTTGAGGACTTTTTTCCCTTCTATCATTGTTAGTAAATTTAATCACTATTTTCTCAAAAAAATGAACCCCTTTTTCGTTCAGACCATCACAATATAAACCTCATTTTGATGCTCTACTGACAGGACAAATATTCATGAAATTGGCAGCTCTGGAATTGTAGACAAGTTTCATTTTACCTATAATAGCTATCACTCTGAATTCACATGGAAATCTTCTACTATGACTAGCATGTTTAGGATCTGGCTCCAAGATTATTTCGGCTAATTTACTGATCGTATCAAAACAACAGTTCATCATTTGGCAGTTCGTGATTCCAGAGAATAGCTTATGTTGGATTTTAGTAAATCTTATCAAATTAAAATATAAATACCCCATACAAATACTAACAACTTTTTAGAGATTAAATAACAATAACCGTTGATTATAAATTAGTGGTGGTACTTTGTTGAACTGACAGTTTAGTCAACATTAACAATTTAGAATCCATATCAATTTTATTATCATACAGCACTCTTATCACAAATAATAAATAAAAAAGTTCAATTAAAAAATCAATGAAAATAGTTATTATCATACCAGATTATGTGAAAAGCAGAGAAGGCCATGGTTCCTGTTAAGGGAGATGTTACCCTCCGCATGCTCGCTGCAATAAGAGTTTATACATAGTGTACAGCGTTGAACTTTTGTAGCGCTACAAACACTACACTGATGCCAAGGACAGACCCAACCACCTGCCAGATTAAAAGTTTCAATTAAACAATAAATCAAATCAAAGTTATTATTATTTTTATTGTAATTTCCAAAAAAGATAAGAACCTTTTGAAATGTCTTATCCAAGTCGCATTTACAGGGAGTGAAACAAAAAGCCAAGGTTACATATTAACTAACATGTAAAAAAGTCCAAAACTTATGTTATAAATTAATGTGGAAAGTGAACCTACCGGCAGGGTGCTTGGTGAGCCCAAGGCAGGAGAGATGATATGCCTTAGGACAAGTGGCGTCGTCGCAGAGCAGAAGCTCACCTCCGTTACCACAGGTGAAGCAGGTGTCCTCAGTGTGTTTGTTGGCTTTATTGGATTTCCTTTTTTTCTTCTTCACAACACTTTTCTTATCTTCTGTTCCCCCATCTCGATTCTAAAACAGAGACGATTTAAAAAAAAAAATCTAATATGCTATTATAGTAATAGTCTAAAAGCATTAGAAACGTGCAACTATAATATTGTTTAACATGAAACTTAGTGTATAAACCAAATATTAGAATCAAATACAATAATTATAGAGTTATTTGTTAATTTTGCATGTTTTGATCATAACAATGAAGGAAATCATTAGGATTACTGAAGATTAAAGAAAAACTCTATGACTAATTTGAAAATGTGAATGATAATGAGTAGCCTGTTGGAACCAAATTGAGTTTGCAAATACTTTAAAACAAAATGGTGGTTTTGGCCTCTGCCATGACCGGCTAAAAGATTATCAGGTTTATAGAGCTCATATTAGCAAAGAATAAACCAAAAGTTAATAAGAAAAAATAACAAACCAAGTAAAATCTGAAAAATTGATTTAAGAACTGTTCTGATGTACTCAATTTATTTTAGCACAATACATTCAGCTTTCACAGCCCATATCTTCCCTTATGTATTATAAACAAGTTTAGTGTCAGAAAGATAATTTTACTTTTTTTTCTTCTGTATATTTCATGTATTTATGTAAATGTTGTTTTATAAAATAGAAATTGAAGGAACATTTTTTTTTTGTAGTGTAAGTGCATCTATATATACATATATATATATATATATATATATATATATATATTTATTTATTTTTTTTTTATGAGTACAAATAACTCAAAACTAAATTAATGTTCATTGTAAATCTGATCATTAAGTATTGCTTAGCAAAAAATGAAAAAGCAATTTTTTTTTAAAATTTTATATTAATTCATTTATCATTCCACCTATCTCAAAGCTACATTAAAAGACAATGGGAAATTTCCTGTAACAATGCATCCTTTCATAATAGTGTGCAGCCACCAGCCATAAATCAAGGATTGATTTAACCAAACTTTTAATATTAATTGTACTATCATGAACTATTGCAGTTAAATTTCAATAAAAACCAGATAACATTAAGCAATAAAATTTAATAAGCAACCGCCAATACAATTATTCTTTAGAATACAATTAAAAAATTGCAGGAGGGAGGTAAAAGTTGTTTTTTAAAAATTTTATAGAACAATGAAGAATCAACATACCTTTGGTTTGTTATTGTTGGGTTTTGAAAGGTTCTTGGCACCTATATAGCCAGCACAGTTCGAAGCACCGCATTTGCATTCTACCTTTGTATTACCAATAGTTTCCAAGTTATAGTTGAAAACTAATTCAGTTCCTGCTTTTACATCCTCCAGTGCAAACAGACCGACCCGAGTATCCCCGTTAACAGTCCACTTTTGGGTTTCACAGTTTGGATCACAGGAGTGGTTCATAAACCTAAAGATAAAACAAGCTATAATAAGTGACATATATACAAAAGAATAATACAAAAATACTATCATTACAGATAATTATAAATAAATAAATATGTAAATAAATATGAATAATTATAGAAAAACATTTGGATTATAACCTTGCAACATTTCCCTTTGGTCCGGCATCTAACATGCGATCTTTGTCAATGGTGAGGAAATAAAAGTTCTCATCTTTGTTCTGTTGCATGGTTGCCAGTCTTTTACGGTACTCTTCTTCATCAATCATTTCACCAACATATTCAATGATGAAGCCACCTTAGATAGAAAATAAGAATTATAAATAAAAAAAAAACAAAAACAGTTTCTCATTATATTAATACTGACTAGTTTTAAAAGAACAATAAGTGGTTCAAATCAAATACATAACATTTCCATGAAAAAAAAAAAAAATGGCCAGATTGGACTTTAAATGTAAATAATAAGCTTCCTTGTTGATTTAAAGGTTCCAGTTTTTTCTACATTAAAGAACAATGTTCCCTATTAACAACTGTATTAATAAAGTTCCCAGAGAAAATTTTAGAATGTCTATCATTGTTGTTTCTATAGTGCTCACGTGATCAGTATGTTTCCTACCTTTTTATTAACAGTTTTGCTAAGAGTAAGTTGAACATTTATCGTAACTTTATGGTTAAATAAAGATTTTAGAATTTTTCTGAGGTATGTCTATTACTGGTACAAATCCCCTGCCCCTTACTAGAACAATTGAATTTCTGGGTGTCCATCACCAGTACAAAAAATTGTTCCTTTTTAAATGGAGATTATATCTGCATAACTGAATATTTTTTTAATTTTAAAGTATTAAATAGAAAAAGGAGACTCTAGAGATTCTAAATGTCCAACGGAGAAGTTTATAACTATAATAATTAAGGTGGCATAAGCCAAAAATTTCCTTAGCAATGTCCATCACTGGTGAGCTAACCCTAAATTGCTATAAAATAAACCAGCATAAAACTAGTAAGACTGAATTAGTAAAACCTCAATCGAACAGTTCAAAGAAGCATGTATAGTAAATAGAAAAAGTGTTAATACGATCAATTTTAAAGAATTCGTTTTTAATGAAATCGCTAACAACTTGATAGTAAAGAATATTAATGTACCATGCTCCTCTTCCACCACTTATCAAATCAAATCATTTTGTAATTAGTCCATTATGTTATATTTAGTTTATCATTATCATTATATAGCATACCTTTTAAATACATTTAATTTAATTTAATATCCAACTTTGACTTCAAAATACAATCTAATTTCGCACATTAATATGTGTATATGTACATAACTTCGGTGATTTTAACTATGGTTTTATTTAATTTCTTATTTTTATTTTCCTTGTTTTATATAAATTATTATTTTATCTGTTTATATCCTTTCGGGAGACTCTTATCATTGTTAGGAAGAAGTTTTTGCAGACATGAAAAAGGTTAACATCCATGAAAAATTGGAAAAAAAATATCAGCATACACTTAATAGTTTTGTTACACATATATATATATATTTTTTTTTTTTAGGACCTCTCCTACCATACTATATTTTGCAACATTAACGTGGTAAAGTGCTTCATATATAATAAGTTACTTATTTACATTTCTAAAATGTATAATTTTTTTCTTTTTAAATATCTCACAAACATAAATTATTAACTTAAAAAAAATAAGTTTCAGTATAAGAAGTGTCATTAATATTCTTTTTTTTAACGAGGAACCTAGTTGACTGGCAATGAAATTAAATTAATCAAATTCTGGATAATTGTACTTTTGATTTATTTATTTATTTACTATCATTAAAAAAATGATCGGAAATATCAAAGGAACTAATTATTTTCAGACAGGTAATAATAAACCACAAACATAAAAAATAAATAAATAAAAAAGCACCAACTTACCCTTAGGTATAGGATCTAATGTTTTAAGGCCCCAACCTCGAGTTTCTGTCTTGTAGGGGACAAGGTTGGGGTAGTTTTTCTTCTCAAAGTTTTGGTTACAGCAGTTCTCACCAGCAGGGCAGACCTGGGGGTTGCATTCAACCATCAGCAACCTGCAACATTGTTGATTAGAATTATTACCTCTGCCACTTTCTTCAAAACTAAAATATGAAGCTAAAATTTTAAATTTATTTTTCTAATCAACACCTTGCCATTGAATAGGATCAAGAGACATGTTTGAATATATTAGAGACTTATTGATTAATTCTAAATATAAAATTTAATTTTTTTATGAAATTAGATAGTTGTTGATTATACTAGATAAATATATATATATATATATATATATATATATATATATATATATATATATATCAATAGAAGAGAAGTTGGTTAGATTTCCAATCAATGAAAGTACAAAGTAAAAATAGATAAATTATATTTTATTTCCTTTAATTCTAAGTTTCTAGCCTTGATCAGGGCTGCTCACTCAAAGGGTAATAATAAACTTTTTTTTTTCATCCTTCCCCTTTGTCAAGCTTCTCCTGTCCCAGGCACCAGGAAGCGAACTCATAATTATTTTATCAATTCATCTTCCATCAGGTTGCTGGGCAATGCAGTGCTACGCACAAGCATTAACCTGCTCTCAGGTAATAATAAACTATGGTTATCAATCAACACTTAAACATAAAATATATCTGGCACAAGAAGAATGGGTGCACCATATTTAATCTATAGATATCCGTTCTAAAAATTTATTGAAGAGAAGTTGGTTTGGGTTTTCAGTCAATGAAAGTACAAAGTAAAAATAAATAAATTATAACTTTTTTCTTCTCTTTTCAGTCCTAGTTGGATTATATAAGGATCAAGAAAAATACATAACAAGTTATTATGTCAAAAAAGAAACATGGAAAATTTCAGTTGAAGCCTCTCTATATTAATGGCTTCCTTATTTTTAGATTTTTTAAAGAGATAACATTTGACCAGAAGTTACAGTTAAATTGGCTATCTACAGATAACCTAAAGTAAGTTTACATCCGAAGGTGTCATTCTAATCAGACTATAAAAGCTTCATAACTACCATGTCTATTTATATTTTACCACATTATATTTATTTCATCTTAGAAATAAATAAATATAAGATCCACCAAGATGAATATGCCTTACCTATTGATGCAATCTGACTCGGGCCCACAAGGATTAGGCTTGGACGGGTCACAATCGCAAGTAGTAGCAACATTCTCCTTCGAATCTTGCACTTTGTTAACATTTCCATAGAATCTATTTGACTGGATCTTCACATACTTGGGAGGTTTCTAAACAAAAATTGATGATATGTTATGTACTTAGTTTTACTCAGTAATATATTTTGTTTAATATATTTAATAATATTTGCCGATGCTATCATTTTAATTAAATATATATCTCACCATGGAAGGCCTTGAAGTGGCTTCTCTGTTGGCTCTCTCTTCTGTCCATTTAAGGAAGGCTTCGGAAGCCTCTTGTACACCACGCGTAAACAGCTCATCCACTCTTGATTTACTAACTATTTTGCACCCGTCCTGAAATTTACATGTAATTTTAGGTCATATATTACACTGTAATGTTTATATGTTTAAAGATGAAATTCATAAACTTACGCCTTCATGATAAAGGAATACTCTCCCCCGATTGACCCAATAATAGTCATGAGTGCCGAAAAATTCTACAGCAAATTCACCACTGGTATGAGCTAACTGGTTAATATTTTCTGGAACTTCTTGGGGATAAAGAATCTTGGCTGGCCACCATCTGTAATAATAGATTTCTTATATAATATCATAATAAATAAGATGTATCATGTCAATTCTAAGTTTAATTTAAGTAATATTACAACTCTAATAAATAACTATGAAAATAATGATCTTTTCCAATTTTTTGATTCTACTGTAATGAGAAGTTCGAATTAAACATCAGATAGTAACTTTTACAGAAAGATCAATATTTTTATTTATAATTTATCTATGTATATACCCATCAATCCTATGTTCACATAAGGAATAAGTTCAATGAAATCTATAAAGAAAGTTGACATAAAGTAAAAATAAATTAAAAAAAAAAGTATGATAATTGCAACAAGATATCGTCACTAAATTGCAAAAAGCCACAAGTTCATTTTTGATATAGCTTAACTTTGAAGTATGTTTTGGGGAATTTCTTTATCTATATAGAAACACCGGAAGTGCACAACGTTCCGATTTCATTGAGGGAAAATTCATCAAAGCACATAGATAATAATTCAATTTTACGAAATGTTACTTAGTGACTTCTTAAAACTAACCCAAGATATATACCACCCACACTACAACTAAATATAAAAATATTAGGTCTCTATAAAATTAGAACTAAACTGAAATGTTAAATAATATACCTGTAAGTTCCTAACTTGACCCAAACGATTTCTCCAAATAGAGGATATCGCCCAGTTTCACAGTCCTCACAAATGAACGCGCCTTCGGGAGGGCTAATCTTGAGACATTCTGCATGAAAGCTGTTGGGGCATAGGTCGCAGCAAATCAGCGATCCTCCTGCAATTGGTTGCGCTTTACAAAAAATCATATTTAGAAATGAATTATTAGAAGTCCAAAACATCAAAATTATAAATAAAAACAATACAATAAAGTATAACATACATACAATTAATATTATAAATTGAGATTTTTTAAAATATTATATTATTCATTCAAATCAATTTTATTTTGTTTTTTAAAAATTAAAACAGTTATGTTAATTCCAAAAGAAAATGATTAATAGAGTTAAATTAATTTAAAAAAAAGGAAATAGACACTGTGTTCTGATTTTTTGTTTATAATTAAATATAAAATAAAACTATGAGAAAAATTGATAAAAAATTGATTTTTGAAGTTCTATAATATCAAGAATATTAATTGAGTAATAAGTTTATTTGCAAGAAGAAAATAACAAATTGAAGGAAATTGTCTAATAACATTATTAGTCAAATAAAATATTAGAAGCCTAATAACATTGTCCTTTCATTTCATTCGAATTGTATCAAAAAGAAGTTACATAAAAATATTAAGAGAGGAAAACTAATAATTATTATTATTCTCTGGCATACATGAACAATAGTATTAGGCATATATAATTATTTTTAATATCAAAATATCAATAAAATGACAACTAAATCATCAAGTATGTTTAAGAATGAGAGATAAAAATATCTTCACCAAAAATGTACATAGCATTGAAACATGTGCTTTCATTCAGTATCTGATGATACTTAAATCATTTTATTTATTTAATCATTACTATACATAAATAACTTTTTTGACTGACACATCTCTCACTTTACCACCTTTGTTTAAAATGAAATAAGGAAGTTTGCATCATTAAAAGTTGATTAATTCAGATAAAATAGTTTTGCTCACTTTGAAGAATTGAATATTGTAATCACTAGTTAATATTACAGTAGGGCATAAATTACTTTAATGCCATCTATTAATAATACCTTTAATGTCAAAATATGTATTTTGAAAAGACAATAAAAATGAAAATTATTATAATAAAAAAAAAAATGTAACACTTTCAGGCAAGAAAAACAGTATGCTCTGTGATGTGCTTTGCAAATCAAATGAGGTCTATCAATTAATTTTGGTAGTTTTAAAGAAATGACAATTTTCAAGATGTATACATAAATTTAAATAAGAAACTACTGTAATATATTAGTGCATGGTGTGGTATTTATGTCCAGTTACAATTCTCAGTTTAAAAAACACAGCAATAACTGGGAGTCTACTTAAAAGTAAAATGGGTTGATTAAGAAGTATTATTTATTAAATTGGTTAAGTTAATCACCAAAACAGGTACTTATATGAAAACAATATGCCTAATATAACACAGAATTATATTTAAATTAATTATATTCACTAATATTAAATATGATTTTCTCTAGCCAAGATGAGAATTTTTTAGCTAATATAAACAGCACTGAATATTGAATGCACGTTTTTTCGTATGTTAAAGAAATAAAATAGATTTGAAAACAAATAAAGATTCATGTAAAATAATACCAACCGATAGCACAAATAAAACACCACGATGCATTGACATGATGAAGTCCTTTCCTGTGGGGCACATAGTGCTTGGGACAAATTAGTTGAGATATGCTCAATATTTCAGAGCCAGCAGGAATACAGTAATTACCTGAAATAAGAAAATCCATTAAATAGAAAATATTTATAAACAATATACGCATACCTTTCAAATTAAACAATGAGATCCAACATCAGATTACACCAGACTATCGTAGTGGTAAGTTAAAAATACTATAACAGTCGTGAATGAGTTTCATAATAATTTTTGAGGGCCAAAACTCAGAAAATAACACAAAACTCATTATTACAATATATCAACACAAAACCTCATATATCCCATACAGCAATCAATAAATAACAAATTAAAATTTTCTAACCGAGGTACCATCACGGCTAAAAAACATGGTAATATCATATCAATAGAATACAAAACCAAGTTAAGACGATACATCACTCCGAAACTCTTCTACATGTCAGTATATAGTCAGCTGTTTTGGACCAATGCAATATCATTGATCCAATGACAAAGTATCTGCAATATTTGCTATTTTTTAATTTGAGTAATCTTATATGTGATATTAGTTTTGTAAAAAGCACCCCCTATAACATAACAGTGGACCTTTCTATCTAAAAAATCTGAAAAGTTAGAAATATTCAATTCGTAATTATAAAAGACATTTACAATGCAATTATTTGAAAAATTCGAACAATGAATAAAAACATAATAGATAAATTCAGATTATTTATTTAAGACTTTAAAGATGGAACTCTCTTGCTCCTTTTTTTTTTTTTTTTTTTTTTTTTTTTAGAATTTATTAACGAGTTTTCAGTAGTAACTATAGATAAATCTAAGAAGTTGCTAAATATAAGAATAGCTAATAAATTAGTAGCTTGCTTCCGCTAATAGCTAATATAGCTACAAGAATTGTCCTTGGGTAAACAGCTAACAGCTAATTTTTAACTGATTATCTATTGCTGTTATAGTTAATTTAACTACACCTTGTAGCTGTTAGTTACAGATATTTTTTGCTTAACCTTGGAAGTAATGTTGACTAATAAATGAATTTTGGTCCTTAGTATAACATAAGTTAAGAATGATTAAACAAGCTAAAACATTTTATGAGAAACGGAAAGGTGTATAAATTAATTGTAAATGTGATCTACTAATTTCGAAACCAACATAAGAAATTTGTAGGCTTACCATAATGATATGTAGAAGGACACTTGACACAGCGCACAAGCCTGTCATTAGTGAACCTGGCACAGACACTCGAGGGATTGTCTGATATGCAAGTGTGGCATACATGCTGTGGACAGTGGAAAATGAGACGACCCTTCGCAGTCTCTGAAATCTGGGACTGCGGCCACTCTTTGGCACATTTCAGATGATATACTTTGCCACAATAACCTTAAATGAATAAAAATAATTAAATATTGTGACAAACAAATTTGAAGTTTAAATTAAATTCAATTCTGACTTATTACTAAAGGTTTTAATGGTTGTTTCTTCACTTATAATTCTCAACAGAGAATTTTAGCTGAGAAATTATAAAAACAATGAATTTAAATATATAGTGGAATCTCTTTATTAGGGATCTTGAATTCTTATTAGAAATAAATACTCCATATATTATGAATGTCATGAACATGGTCCCTAAACGAAAATCATAAAAAAATGTTTAATTTAATATTATAATATAAATTCCATGTATACCTTCCAAAAACAATGAATTTTTAACTTGAAATTCAGATTAACTTAATATTTCTAGTTGTGCTACATGATTCTTAAATAAATATCATTAGATGTAAAATAAGTATGGTTGCCATGGGGTGTTTGCAGTTCGGACGGCCATGTTGATATTTACAAGTCAAGATTGCTATATAATCTTTGTGAGACACTCTATAAAGGTTACCATTTTTTCCGGGTTGATTTTGACCGAAATTGTTCACTGAAACTTTTATTTTATAAAAATATCTTAACCTCCACGCCTTTATATCATGGAGTATTGATATATAACTCACATATATGTGTAACAAATACCTAAATGGCAGGTATAAAACAAGAAAAGGAATAAAAATACGTAAATTATGATAAAAAATAGATACTCACCACATCTCAATCTATCACCCTCATCCTTAGCACAAATGAAGCAAGGGCCAACTTTACCTTCGGTACATGTATTACACATCCAACCCTTGTTTTTGGCTATAAAACATTAACAATATTAAAATATAATTTAACTCAAGACAAAGACAAAAATAAATATATTTCTTAAATTACTTTTATCAGAATCTGTGTCGCTACTCTTGGCTGAGTTTTCACTATCATCTTTAGATTCTTTTCCTGGCCCCTTCGATTTGCCTGCTTTCGAATATCTCTTCACATTGTCTTTGTCTTCTTTTTTTGATGGTTTCGATACCTTGTTTGAAATTTCTTCACCTGAAGAACTCTCTTTTTCTTCTTGAGAAGAACTCTTTTCCTCTTGAGAAGAACTTCTTTCTTTTTGAGAACTCTTTTCTTCTTGAGATGAACTCTTTTCCTCTTGAGAAGAACTCTTTTCTTCTTGAGAATTCTTTTCCTCTTGAGAAGAATTGTTTTCTTCTTGAGAACTCTTTTCCTCTTGAGAAGAACTCCTTTCTTTTTGAGAAGAATTTTTTTCTTCTTGGCTAATAATTTCCTTTTCATCTTGTTCCATCATGCTGTCAGAACTCTCCATTGGACTAGAAACAGTAGGTGTTTCTGTTGTTACTTCCGTAGCATTTTTAAGCAAACCTATGTCACTAGGGGTCTGTGTGGAGTATAGTGAATTGTCACTATCCATTGGCACAGATGTACCTTTATTGTCAGCATTAATTAAAATTGGCTCATTCTGATCGTTGTCAGTAATATCAGCAAAGTCAATTATTGGCATGTCTAATATTGGTGTGGATGGTTTTTCAATATGTTCTTTAATTTCTCCACAGTTCACTGATGGAATGTTATCTTTAATTATGGTTTCGTTATTGGCATCAGATGAAGAATCTTGAGCCTCATTAGCTGGCGACTCTTCTATCATCAACCTATCATCTGCTGAAGAATCATCAACAACTAACATGTTATTATTGGAAGACTCAGATTCAAATGAATCCCCTCGAAGAGTTCCTAACAACTTTAAATTGTCTTTTCTTGCGATTTCAATGGCTTCTGCTTTTGGAACATCAGAAGAATCTTTAGACGAACTGTCACACGAAGACACTGAATTTATGGTCACTTCATCGTTACTTTCTAAAGATGACTTATTATCTAAAGAATCGTCTACTTTTGCATTGAATTCAGAATTGCGCAATTCTTCTTCAATAGATTCATTAGTTTCCGCTATGTCGACTTTGCTATCATTACTGTTGCTACAACTAACGTCTTGTCCTCCTTTCTCTTTATTGTTGATGCATTCTTCATCATTTAAATCTAATCCCAAATTAAGGTCAAGAGATTCTTGATCAGGTTCGTTAACTGAATTATCAGACAAATCAGTATTACCTTTGTCATTTAAAGTTGGTTCTAAATCAATATTTTCTATATCTGTTAATTCTGAATTGATATCAGGCTTCTTAACAGAATTTTCGTCATTCATTTTGGTATTGCCTTCATCTATGTCGGTTTTATCACAACTGTCATTACCACCAGTTAACTTATCACATGGAACATTTTTCTGTAACTGCTCTTCTAACTCAGCAATACATGAATTAGCAACACTTTCCACAGTGCTCACAGAATTATTATCAATAACAGGTTTAATGTCTTCTACTTCACCATTCTCCATTACCGGTTTGACACTGTCACCTCCAAGAATAGGTTTGACATCAGTGTCATGACTAATAACAGGTTTGGTGTCTTCGTTATTATTTTCTACAGGTTTCACGTCTGAAGAATCAATTGAGTTGTTAATTGGTGGTGGAAGAGACTTGCGGGGCCGACCTCTCTTCTTCTTTAAAATTATTTCTTCTTTTTTTATATCTTCTTCTTTAATATGCGGTTGGTCACCACTGCAAAATAATTGATCAAAATGAGCATTAAAATAATTATTTAAATACTCCCATCCATAAACTAATGAAATAACAACAACCTCAGTTTAGCAACACATCCTATATGAAACTGCTGGCCACAAGGTCCACGGCATTTCAAAACATCACCGCCTTTGAAGCATACCTGGCAGACTTTTTCACCCTTTATGCCACTGAACAATGAAATACCTGTATACAAAAAAAAAAAAAAAAAAAAAATGTTAAGATAAATAAAAAAAAGTAAAACATGTTTATTTAACAATATTTTATTTATTTTATCAATTGACTGATGGAACAGATTTGGATGGTTTGAATTACGAAAAAATCTGATTCTGTAACATGAAACTCTATAGCACAATTATAAAATTGATATCTTAAATGATTCCAGTTAATATAAAAAACTGGTCACATGATACCTGGATGTTTTGTTACCAACTATATTCTTGAGCGAAAGAAAGTCGTTAAAACTGTAAGTAGAACTTGTTTAATTTATTTTTATTATATACTGACAATGACCAATCCTCAGTAATATATGTTATCTTGATATACATAGTAGTCAAACACCCATAATTTATTATAAATAGATTGTTTCCTTGATGTTTCGGTACAGAGTAAAAGAAAAGCTGAACTCTTTTTGAATTATTTTTCTCAGTTCATTCCACGTATCGTACATTATAGATTTTGTTTTAGAAAACTAATTTATTAAAACTGGTCAGGGATGTGAACAATTTATTATAATCTAACTATTAAATTGAGGACTTGACTTCATGAAAACTTGGAACACTTCACAGAGAAGTGGCATGACCTAATGTGCTGTGATGGTGACATGATGAATGTGATGGATGGTGGTAAGCTTTAATTAATTTTTCAAAACCTAATCTAGATTTATCAAAATCAGATCACTATTTTTACTTTCTTACCTATACTAGGTAAGGAAAGTATAGCGATCGGGTCAAATTTCCGACGGATCTATACGTTTCAGAGCCCCCTGAGTCTGAAAAACACATTTTCAGCCATTGTTCTGTCTGTCCCTAATGAAATTCTATTTAAAAAAATATATAAAAATCGTTCATTTCGGATAACTTCTAATGAAGGTACAGCTATTCAATTCTGAATGAGCGGTGAATGAGAGAAAAAAAAGAAAAGTAAGTGAAAGTAAGAAAATCTGTTGCCCACATCACACAAGTTTTCTCTTGACTTTTGAAGACATTATTGTTTGAAAAAATTGGGCTAAGGTAAAAAAGTTTTTGAATAACAACATTAGAGTGTATTGTTTTTTTTTACGCTAATCTTCCACAAGCTGGTTTACATTTTTTTAGTTTATCTAAGAAATCGTACTTAAATCTTTTCTTTGATAAATTTTCAGGATAATAAATCTAATTAATTTTTTTTTTGTTTCTTAATGGGCATATTTAAAGATATAAAAACTTTTCTGAAATAGATAGGAAAGTCATGTGAGTGGACAATCCAGATTTTTTTTTTTTATCATGTAGCTGCAACAAATTTTTTCTATGGCTAAGTGAACCCTGATCCAGACCTAACCTTTCCGAAAATATTATTTGGAAATGCACTAATGCCATTATAGTTTGTGGTACAGAACCCTTTTCATCAAATTATTAACATCCTCCTGAAACTTAGTGGATAGCTTGATCTCATCGTAACCTACATCTATTTTATTTATGAAAACTCTTGGAATTGGGGCGTTTTCAATCTGGAGGTCGGTAAACTTTGTCCATTTAATTAGGTACTAAAAATGTGTATATATCCATTTTCTTTTCATTTGGATCGTAAGATAATTTGATCACAAAATCGAGAAAAAAAAGTTGGCCTACAAAAATATTGGGACATTTGGCCTATACAACCTTGTTATTTTGTAATAATGGGAGTGTAGATCACACGAAACAGAAACATATTTTTGAAGGCCACATTTTATCTCCAGTTAGGGCTTAAATTATCTTACAATTCAAAAGGAAAGCAAATATATATTAACGAGTTCTTAGTACCTAATTAAATAAACTAAGTTTGGCAATCTCCAGATTGAAAACTCCCTAATTCTGAGAATATTTATAAATAAAATATATGTTAAGTTATGATGAGATAAAGCTATTATTAAGAAGTTTCAGGTGGATGTTAATAGTTTGATAAAAAGGGGTCTGTAACACAGATTATTATGGTGCAAAGTCAAATGACACCAACAATATCAATAAGTCCTTAATTCCATGATTTTATTTTTATACTCATATCAACAAAAAACAATTTTTTAAAAATTTTGCAACAAAAATATGATAAAATGGTTACCTCGTTTGAAGACAGTTTTGACAGAAGGTAAAATGAGGGGAGGTGGGGAATCACTGCGAGAACTTGTTTCAGACTTAGAGTCTGCGCCACTGTCACTGCAACCACGTTCTGCACCGTCCCTCGACCTAGCTCTGTAAAGTTTAAAATTATTAATTATCAAGATTTAACACAATAATAAAATTTAATTTTTAAAAACTAGATAAACGAAAATATATTACTTAAATGTTGATTGCTTTTCTTTAACTTCTTTCCACATCTTTTCAATAAATTTATCAATATCTTCTTCTGAAAGTTCAGGGTTTTCATCAGAAACACGATCAAAATTTTTCTCATAGAAAACTTCAAAAGCTGGATCTCGAAGTTTTTTCATTTTTTTCATATCAAAGTTGAATGTCTTTTTCTTAGTTCTGTTTTCCCTCAGCCTCAAATCATTTGAACATTTCTTAACATACTTCCTTTTCAAAGGTGTAAAATCAAAATCATCTTCACTACTCTTTTTCCTTCTTCCAGGGGGTCTTCCTCGCTTCTTACCCGTCGGTGGGCCACTTTTTGGTTCACTTTTGATTTTAGCAATAGACTAAAAATTAAAAAATTAATACCATTAATAATTAAATGTCAATAATTATGTTATTAAATGAAATTTATAAAATAATCCGTAGCATTAAATTTCGAAGATAAGGTATTCAAAATTAATAAGTGGAATTTGAAAGCAGAAACGAACTTAAAAATTGAGACAAATAAATCACAATTATAATTTTTTTTTTTTTTAAATAACATACAATCTCAGTTTCCAAATCTCAAATCAAAAACTTAAAATATCACAAAACGACCTTTGAAGTAAAAATTTAAGTTTTAGAAAAAAATTGAATATAGTATCTGACAAAAAAAAATTCTTTGAACACATTAATTAAGAAATCATTTAATTAATTGTAAAATATATAGAAAAAAAAAATGAAGTTTTGTTTTCCAAATGTAACTTTTTTTAAGTTAAGCATTTTATAAATAAATATATAAACAATAAATATATTACATTGCCCATATAAATTTCTCATTGTTTCTAAAAATATTATGAGACACAATATTCATAACATTTAATTAATGTTTAATTGTGGATTGAAGATCGACTGTAGTGAATAATTGAAGAGATGGATGGTTGGGGAGAACAGTCAAAATAAATAATTATGTATATATATTTTTATTTTAAAATAAATATAATTATTTACTTTTTACTATTTTTTATTTTGACTGATTATGCCAACCACCCTTCTCTTCAATTATTTATTTTTTTTATAACGGTGATAGAGTAAAAGAATTACCTCTCCCTCAACATTTTTCATTGACTCCCGTGAATTTACTGGTTTAACGGCTGATGCTGATCCAGTTTCCACTTTTGCTGTGAGCTGCGACTGAGGAGTCGTAGAGGGTGAAAATGCAGTTTCAGATTTGGGCATTTCTTTGATAGGAGTAACTGGCTCCTTCTTAATAGCCACCTCGGCAGCTGGAATATCACTGGAAGGAGGTACAGCTTGTGTGGTTGCTGAAACTGATTCTAAGGCCTCATCTATAGATTCATATTTAATTTTCTTCTCTGCAATGGGCGTAACTGGAAGTTCAGATTTTCTTTTGCGGCCTCTTTTTTTTAGTTCCGGTTTGACGAGATTTTCTCCCCCACTAGGCAGTTGTGCCTCCGGAGGAGGAGAGGGATAAAGGTTCATGAAGTACATTACCCGCTCATGCCTGAAATTAACAACTTATTATAATAGGTACTTTATATATCTTATTAAATGTTAATTAAGAGTATATACATACAGGGTGTTTCAGGGTCAAGTGGCCAAACTGCAAAAATGAACTAAGAACCTCAAAACAAGAAAAAAATTACCACTGAAGGTATGTCCGCGAACGCTTTGTTTAGCAGATATTCACAACTAAAGATTTTTGTTATCATGAATTATTTACATTATATGAAATAAATAAAACCTATTTATTAACCTTTATTAATTAAATGAAAACATTAACATTCATATTAAATGTTCATAATTGGTAATTGGTTGACTGTCGTGGATAATGAAGAGAAGAATAGTTGGGGTGGTCAGTCAAAAAGGAAGGCAAAAATAAATGATAATATTTTAAAAAAAATAGTAAAAATAAATATTATCATTTATTTTTGCCTTCCTTTTTGACTGACCACCCCAACTATTCTTCTCTTCATATTAAATGTTGTTCAAAATGATTTCCTTGAGCAATAAAGACAGGCTCAGCATCTTTCTTTAACAGCAGCAGAGGCAGTACGGCACTGGATATGTGTTGTTTCACAAGATTCAATTATTCGTAAGAAATTAAGGTCATTGACCGGACTTGCTCAATCATTTCCCAATCAATGAATGGACCATGCAGGACCAGTGGCTTGGCCTGCATGCTCCCCAGACCTGACACCACTGGATTTGTTTTGTTTGGGATGACATTAAACAAAAAGTCTATGCAAGTCCGGTCAATGACCTTAATTCCTTACGAAGAAGGATAATTGAATGTTTTATGTGAAACAATAAAACAAATCCAGTACCGTTCTGCCACTGCTGCTGTTGAAGAAAGATGGCGAGCCTGTCTTAATGCTCAAATTTAAATCATCTAGAACAACATTTTATATGAATTTTAATGTTTACATTTAATTAACAAGGTAGTCAGAACAAATAAATAGGTTTTATTTATTTCATGTAATGCAAATAATTCATAACAACGAAAATTTTAGGTGTGAATATATCCTAAATAAAGCGTTTAGACCTTCAAAGGAATTTTTTTTTCTTGTTTTGAGGTCCTTAGTCCATTTTTTCAGTTTAGCAACTTAAATCCAAAACACCCTGGATATACATATATTTAGTAGAAGTTTAAGTGAAAATACTGCTTATTCAATAACAAAAAAATTAAAAGACAAGAAAAATTTGAGTCCCTCACCCAGCATATTTCATTATTGGGTATAAAAAATTAGTTATTACTATACACTGTAATCTCAGATTTCTGAACTATACATACTACAAGAGTGTGTTCGGATTAAGGGGAATGTTCAGGAAAACTATTTGAAATAAATAGTATAAAAATTAAGTTATAATTATGAATTAACATAGAAGTATCACATAAAAAACAATGAACTTGTATAATAATTTTAGTTATTTAACTTAGATGTAGAAGAATTTACTGAAACGGTATATTGTTGATCAATGATTGGTATAAATGGGGAGGCAATCAAATTTTATTTTAAAAAAATAAAACCGTCAAGTTTAAAAGCAGAATTTTTAATATTGGTCCCAATATTATGATAACCAACTTATGACATATTAATGACCAAATAGATTAATAAAATTTATCATGGAACTAATTTTAGTTTGTCTATAAATATAATAAAATAATTACATGGATATATTTTCCTTGGTGATGCTTTCCTACAAAATAATCATCCCACATTGATGTCCATTGACTAATATACATTATGTGACAGCTTTGGTAGAATAAAAACTGTGGTATATATGTTTTTTAACAAATAAAATTTAATTTATACACATACACAGGTTTTTTTTTTTGTTTTTAAAATTTGACAAATCCTGCAAGACGACAAAATTTTGTCTATAGTGTTAGTTAAATGTAACAATATGGACCTGATTGGAAGCTGTTTTTAATTTATTAAAATCTGTTTTTAAGGTTTCATAAATAAGATCGATATTGTTCGATAGAATTTATAATCCACAAAAAATCCATAAGGTAGCAGAAAATCTAAGACTGCAATATGGTTAACAGCAAATGTAAAGGGACATATAAGGCATAAAAACTTCTAGCAAAAATTTTGCATTATTTCCTAATTAAAAATCCCTCCTTATTTTATCTTTACTGTTCTTAAGACAAGTTGTTGATACACTATAAGCCCGCTGAGGCCATAGTCCACTAAGACCAACATCTAACACTTCAACTGAACTGCCTTGACTTTTAAACTTGTCACAATTATTTTCTTTATTGACACTCTCCCTCCTCCTTGTTGCATTTCAGGTGATTACTTAATCATGCAATGTATAATAATAATAACAACAAATGTGTATGTAAATATCCTTGTGATCCATTTAAATTACGTTATTTTATTATTAACAGTTTAGTTATTTATTTTGACATCTTAGTTTATCAACTGTCTCTCTTTTCCCTTGTTAATTTATTTTATTTCAAAAGGTCAAAAAGTAATGATTATTATCATCTTTATAAATTCTAAACCATGGTTTCATATCTGATATTCATATCTCTGTAGCAAACAATGTGGTTTCCTATATCAAGAATAACATAAATAAAATAAAGTAATGGTATGTTTTATTCACATAGCCAATTCCCCACAAACTTTCGATGCAAAAATAAATTTTTACACATCCCTTGTAATTTCTATTTATTTAACAAAACTACATTATAAATTATCGCAATGAATGATTAGGCATAGGCAATAAATTACATGTAAGCAATAACATATGTATTATTTAGTTTAAAAAAAAAAATGTACCACTACAACCCTCAGGTTTTCCCCTCTTTATAGAGGTTGGGTGTATCTTAGGAGAATCTCTTGACCCACAGCTGATGTAACAGAATCAATAATTATCTGTCACAACCAGGCTAGAACCCGCGCTCCAGAGTATAAAAGCACATCGCATTACTCATGGAACTACTCCCCCATCCCTTATTAAGTTATTATACCTAGCATATATATCAAGCAAAAGATCAAAGATATTTACAGAGTGTTTAACAAAACATTTTTTATGCAATTCCCTGACTTTGCCAGGCATCAAATCGATTTTTTTAAAATTATTATTATTTTAAAGAAAAAACTTGAGGAGAGGCAATGATTTTAGACTCTTCCAGCTAATCAGGAAAACAAAATAGTAATTCAACAAAAAGTTAAAACAAAAAATACATATAATTAACATTGCAATATTAAAAAATGTTCTGAATTCCTAATTTTTTTTTTTTTATATAAGTTGTATATTTGTACTTTCATCATTGTTCATTAGTGTACTTCTAATAAAAAATATCTAATCTATATATATTAAGGAATATGACTGTCTGTCTGTTTGTACTTTATTCATTACTAAACCATTCATCCGATCGATATGAAACTTTGGGAAGTTGTTGCGTATACTCCCCTGAAGGTTTCTGGTATAGTACTTCTGTCTTATGATAATTTTATATGTGTAAAAATAATAAAAATGTATATGTTTTTTAGTTCAAAGCCGCTATTCTCCGAAAGTTCTTCACCAATTTGCTTTGAAATTTTTTTTATAGAATATAATAGAAAATCATCTTTATTCTGGGACTAGGTCCCTTAAGAATAACAATATTGTTTAAACCAATTGACAATAAATCCAGATGACCTATTATAATAATTTTGAGACAGCATTGCAATCGAATTCAGGAGTGTTTTTTAATAGCGGTCAAAAACGTGTCGTTATAAACTATAGCACCATAACGGTCGTAACAATTTTAATGAAACTTGGCTAAAGTCTTCCCCTTGAAATCCTTTTGTACATAACATAATTTTCCAAAAACAAGCTACAAAAAATAACCATATTTATTTTAAAACTTTCTGAATTCCCTAAAAATAAAAATAAAATCATCAAAATTGGAAAATTCGTTGCAGAATTATATAGTTTTAAACATTCACTACTTTCTCTTCAGCAAAGGCCATTTCCCTTTTCTTTTTTTTCTTTTTTTGTTTTCGATTAATCGAAAATTTTGTAATTATTGCAGTAATAGATATTATCATTTAAAAGTGATATGATTCTCCTTATGTAGATCAATACTATTACACACTCTTTGTATTCAGTATTTATTTTCCCCCTAATGTATTCTGGAAGTAGTAGGATATATCTTCAATATTTGATATGCTATTATTTAAAAATATTTAACCCTTGAGTAATAATTACCACCATTTGTGTTCCTTTTAGAAATCAGTTTTTCAATGATTTTAGTTAAGTTTATTTTTTAATAAATTATTTCCTTAAACTTGGAATAAGGCTATGACGTTTACCGCAGGGTTCGTTTCATGAGTAAGTTATTTTTCCACTACAATTTTTACAACTCTATATTTAATGAAGTTGCTATTAAGAAGAAGCAAGTAATCAAATATCTTAGGAAGGATATGCAAAATCTTTTGAGGGAGGTGGAAGGTAGCTCTAATGCGAAATGAACGCTATGGTAAATGGTATAGAGCAATTTCAATGCATTGTCATGGTAGATATTTGAAAATCTTTAACATTGAAACAGTATCATAAAATATTTTGAACCTCATGTGTTGTTTTTATATCCAACTGATGGTGCATTTTTAATAAATATGTATAGCCTCACCTTATATATTACAATAGTAGGTATATTAAACCATGGGCATATTTAAATGTAACGTTAAGCCAAAATTTCAAGGCGATGGGTGAAGAACTTTCCGAGATTTAAGAGTTTGAACAAACGAACATTTGCATTTTGATTTGTCATAAAAAAATAATTAACACAACGTTGAACATTAAACAATACATTAAATATAAAAAAAATTAAAGATGAAAATATATGAGTGGCTTGATATCAAAGACGGGTCTCTGTCATTTTCAGAAAGTGGAGATAAAGTCAATTTTAGTTTTATAAGTTCAACTCAGACTGTATCTGATGATTAAGAATGACAGAGTATTCACTCTGATGATTAAGAATGTTCAAGTTGAATCACAAAAAAAATCATTAGAATTAGTTTAAACTGAAGCTATTTTACAGACAAATTTGTTTCTCAACTTTTTAAAAATGACAGATGTCCTTTGGTATTAACCCACTCATATGTGCTTTTTATTTTGCCTTTTTCCAGACTGAGCCACAGCAGGGCGTGGCTGGGTAAAGCTAGTTTTAAATAAAAATGTATTTTAATTGTAAATTTATAAAACGAAAATGTTATCTTAATGAATGAATAATAATATCAATATAATTCTTGAAGTAGGATTTCAATTTGCTAATTATTTTATCCTTTCAGTCTCCGGAACTTGAACGGAAATCCCTCTAGAGCGGACAAAATTCAATTTCCCGCATGTGTCTGCTACAGAGAAGTTAAATTTAAATTTAAGATCATTTCAAAGAGAAATGACAACATAATATTCATGATGATCAGTAACATGAAACCTCAGTTTAAAAGTAACCACGATTGCTAAGCATAAAATCTGTTTAAACAAGTTTCGAAACAACATCCCACACCTTCAGATAATTATAAATTACAGTCAATTGACAATTTGGAATATTGAATTGAACTCATGTGTCAACCAAATTTTAATAGCTCGAGAATTCAATAAGTATAGTCACTACACTATATAATAGTATTATCATGTTACTGTAACTACAATAAGTGTAATTACTTGGACAAATGTAATATATCTATTTATACACAACATACAAGGAGATGAGTGATTGACTTTACACAACCAACTTCAATTTATGTTAGTGCAGTAATCTTCATCACAAGATAATTATTTTGCTTTGCTTTAATTATCGTAAAAAAAGTTTTCTAAAACTAGTTAGTTTATCATATCTCAAATACTAGATAGACAATAAATTTCAAAATCACATGACATGTGTAATAATTTATTTGCCATATGTACTTGAAATTAATAAAAACAAAAAATGCTTTTATAGTTATTCCTAGTATATTATTTTATAAATTCTATTATATTTTTAGGTAATGCCTGAAATCAATTAAAATGATAACTCACCTAGGGGATTCCATCAAACTTTCTGCTTCACTGACTGCTGCTTGCCACGCTTTTCTTACAGATGGTAACACAGTAAAAGAACGGTAGAGTCTCGGATCCTTCTTTTTAACCTGTCAACAATGAACATGTTTGACTACTAATTAAGATATAAGTAAGTACAAAATAATAAATGATTTTGAGCAACTTGTTTTAGTCTAGAAAAAGAAAAAGCAGATTATAATACCTGTCATTAAGAAAATGACTGGCTATAATTTTTTTGAACAGAGGATTTAAAAATTAATTTTTTTAATGTGATCAGGACTTGGTTGGTAAACCTATATTGATAAGGGAAATTGAGATCAAGCCATCATCAATAATTAAATATTAATACAATAGAAAATTTCATCTGTTTTCCCCCCTAAGAGTCGTCAAAATATGATATGAATTGATGGATTCAGATAAATTAAACCTATCTTTGGGTCATTTTCCAAATAAGAGTATTTTTACACAGCTGATTAATAATTTTCCACTAAATACTATAAGATGCTCTGAAATATTAAGAACCCTTTGAGGCAACACTTCTTTACTAAATTCTAGTTCAAATATCCAAGTAAAAATTATTTGTAGCACTTTTTTTAGGCAATTTTAAATCTGTGTTCAGAATTTCTTCATGAGTGTTACTTTTTTATATCGCACTAATATATTTAAATGATGCTCAAGGGAAGATTTTATTGCTTGGATCGTATTAAAATCATGATTCTTTTTATTTTCTTACTCTTCTACCATACTAATTGTTTTCACCTATTGAGAATTAAGATTAATTTTCTACATCATGTGTGTTACACATTACTAGTTTAGAAAAAACAACAGCAAAACTCAAGACATAACGTTCAATAGATTAGTATCTGTGTGAGTTAGTGAATATATACACATTAATTAATATGTTTCTTTCTTACATTTATTGAGGAAAGTTGACACAACTAAAACATCAACAATTGGCCACTTGTGTGTCATCATAATCAACAAGACAATTATGATTATACATAACGTGACAAATTTTCAAGTTCTGAGTAGTATCAATCTTAGTCCAAGCTAGCATATGACCCATGACATATAATAATATGACTCCATATCAATAAACAATAACAACTTTATTAAGGCAACATTGGACAAACCAGCTTGCACATTTTTATTTATTCTGAGTAAGGATACTTCCGAATTGAAAATCAAATTATATGAATGTTCCAAATATTACATTTAAAGGAAATTATTAAATAACACTCATGACAATGAATTAAGAGATTCCACCATGTAGTTATATTTTTTAAACTTTTCTTTTACTATAATTACATGTGGCCTAGAAAACACTAGTTAACTGGGTACAAAATTGTTTCTCTTCGCCAGCTTAACAGAATTAGGAATTCCCATAAATCTTTTTCCCACCAGGCAACACTCTGAAATAACATTCATGACAGATTTTTTAAGGCACTAATAAAACTTGGTAAACCAACATTGTAACAATAATTTTTACGGTAATTTTAAATTACTCTATCTGGAAAATTGTTCTAAAAGCACTTAAAAGAAGTTATTAACCATATTCCATATATGGCCACTGCCATGTTAAGGACAGGAGAAAAAACTATTCTTCAACAAAATTTATATATTTTTTACTGTTGAGATTAAGCAACACAAACTAGTAACCTAGTGTCAGTTTATTATAATTACTTTCATTTTATTTGTGGGATTTAAAAACACCTCCAAAGTAAATTAAAATTAAACTGAAATCTATGGACTGCAATGTTCCATAAATTTCTAAAACGAGCCCTTTGTTTTGTATAATGAGGGCATATGCAATACTTGAATATTAATAATTTCATTCAAAGATATTTAACCTTCTAATATGTAAACCATCTCGGATTAGGTCTGGCGCATGTATCTTCACAGATACCATTTATACTCAAGATAGTAGTTCAAAACCTTTAGAGTATAATTTTTTTTTAATACTCAATTACTCAATCATAGAATAGGAGAAAACTCAGTATAGTTATTTAGCAGAGACATACTAAGGATGACATTCTAGAAGTTAATTTCTAAGGTTAATTATATATTACAAACTAAGGGAAAAAAATTATAAAATAAATGAGGCAAAACGTCAACCTAAATTATGTAAGTAGTAATTACACTTTTTTTCGATTAATCCTAAATATATTTTTCATAAAACAAACAATTAAATGAATATCATAAGAAAAAGGTTTAATGATTTATGTTTATACAGGGTAAGAACATTTTGTAAATGATTATGAAAGAAAAACAATGATAATAACATATAAAGATCAAGAGTTAGTTTGAACAAGTTTATTTAAAGATCTACTAGCCCGATCAAAATATTTTTGTTTAACTATGATTATTTATTTTATCAATTACTTACAACTGCAGTACAAGTTTCTTCAGCCAAAGATAAAAAAGAATCAAGACCATGAAACGGTAGGATGTGTGATGCCATTATCCAACTTCTTCTTCCTTTATCTCCAAAAAATCTTACATGTATGCATTCCTTAGGCTGCCGATTTTTACCTAAAACTAAACCATTTCGAAGAGTTAAAATTTGTTAATTAAAACATATTATTTCTTCAACATTCTTACTTGATGAATATTGCCAGATTTTCAGTAATACTGGTAAAAAAATATGCACATATTTCTTACCAGTTTGACTGCGATAATTCAGATATCATTTTTTGAAAAGCTATTGATTATGAGAGTAGTAAACATAATACAAATAAAAAACCTGTTTTTTTTTGCTTCTTAGTCCGTGGTACAGACCTCTTTTTATCAAATTAATAACATCCACCTGAAAATTCGTAAATAGTTTCATCCCATCGTAACCTACAACTATTTTATTTACGAAAGCTCATGGAATTGGAGGGTAACTCATGAATAACAATTTGCTTTCTACTTGTATCATAAGATAATTTGATAAAAAAATCGAGAAAAAAAGTGGCCTTATAAAATTTTGAGCTGTTTGGAGTGACCTACACCCACAAATTTTGAAAATAACGAGTTTTTAAAGGGCAAACGGGGTAATATTTTTGTAGGCCATCATCGATTTTGTGATCAAATTATCTTACGATCCAAATAGAATGCAAATGGGTAATTACAAGTTTTTAGTACCTAATTAAATAAATTGGCAAAATTGAACCCCCTCTAGATTGAAAACTCCTCAATTCCAAGAGTTTTCGTAAATAAAATAGTTGTAGGTTACGATGAGATGAAACTATTTACGAAGTTTCAGGCAGATGTTAATAATGCGATAAAAAGGGGTCAATACCACAGACTGTTTCGGACTTGATATATATTGTATGGAATGCATGTATCTTGATGTATTTATATATGATATATATGGAATAAGATTTCAAGTTTATTACAAGATCAAACAGGAGCTGACAAAACATTTTCCATGTTTCAGGCTTGTTAATTCTCATAAATAGGAGAGATCATATTAAATCCTTCCATAGCAATTGGTTCTTAGTCATGTATCACTATTATTATTTGGGAACTAAATACCACTGTTAAATTAAGTATAATATGTGCGTATACATATCTTTTAATAAATTCATAACTATAAAGAAATGTATTACAACTAGTGAATATGCTGATTGATGGAAAAAAATAATGTCATGGAGAGATAAAGGTATGGGTTATCTGATAACTCCATAAAAAGTTTAATTTAAAAGTTAATTTACGATATCCTTATTCAAACTCCTTGGTAAATGTTATGTATCCGGTAAGTCTTGTGTTAATAGTCCATGAATTAATTAATTTTAAATGTACAGTGTTTGTTTTGAAACCATTTATATTAACCAATGTTTTGAAGGGATATTGTACACATGGAGTATATAAGTCCCTAGTAACCCCTCCTTGCCATTATAATTTATAATTATATGATTGAAAAAATAAATAAAATTTATCATACTTAAAGCAGCTACTTGTATTAAAATAGGTAATATAAACATAGAAAAATATCAAAACAGCTACAAAGAATCCATTTCTAACACTTACATTAGTTACTGTTGTTATTAGATACACATCAACTATATTAATTTTCATACAATTGAGAAACTTGAGATCACTATAATAGTGGGCTTTAAATGTGAATACATTTTTTTTTTAAAACATCATCCCCTACTTAAAAAACATTTTTACAGTTAAATTTTTGGATCAGAAACAGTTTTCTACCACTAGGAGAATATTGACAGAAGACAATGAAAACTTTTAAACTTTAAATAAATAAATTTTAAGAAAGAACAAATAAGCATTACTGATCTATTTCCTATAGTTTTAGTACATAGTACAATCCTTACTTATCAATCTGAGTATGTATAGCTCCGAGGTTGAAATAATGAGATTTCATGAAGATTCATGATTACTACATACAGTTTTTGAAATTATACTTTTGAAAACATTGAAAAGAAGATTTAAGTAGTTATTTTGAAAAGTGTAAGTCCATTTTTCAAAAATCAAGATTTTATATAAGTTTATATTATTCTTTAATTTAGGTAAAAATTCTCTTGATCACTTCATCAAGTTATTGTACTTCACTGAATATATAACAAACAAATATAGACAATAAGATACTTTACTTTAGCTAAAAACGATAAATAAAAAAAAACTTACTTTTTACTTTCTTGAAGCAAAGTTCAACAGGGTCTTTTGTGATTGCACATGGCCAGTATGGAAAACCACCTACGCAGGCCCAAGCCAAATCTCCTACATTCCAATCACCGTCATTGATAAATTCTTCTGAGTCTGAATACTGTTCATCTTTAGGGATTATCAGTTGGTCAGGTAGAGGTAATGTTTCAGTAGAAGTTGGAACTGGAGCTTCTATGTCATTTATATTACTAACTGGATGACTAGTTTTGACATTAAAATCACCTAAGTTGTGGCTTAATCTGTTTTCTTGTTTTAATAATGTTACAGCCTTAGGTTTCCGACCTCTTTTCCCAGGAGTACCCACAGGAGGACTCTTAATTGGGGTTTTTTGAACAGCATACGGTGAGGCTTTAAAATAGTGCATCTGATTGTCAACATCTATTCTTAAATACTGACTTACTTTCTTGTCGGTGGACAAAAAGTCTCCAGATAATCTAGGTTTGTGAGATCTACCATACCTACTCTTTCCGTCATTGGTTGGAGTAGTCTTTTTACTATAGGTCTTTAATGGAGATGATTTTTTCCATTCTGTTTTATCTTGATTGTTAATCATTAATTTGTGGATATTAAAATCCGTCCCACCTAATACAGCTTCTTCCATGTTTTAAATGTTAAAAATCAATCACAGCATCTATAAGAAAAATAACAATTAACTACTTATGAGCAATACAACATAAGAAAAACATAATTAACATGTTATATTAAATTCTAACAACAATATATTACCATCTATTAAAATATTTAAAGGATTAGAAAAAAAGAAACAACAAATCATAGAGCTAGTGTAAGATTTTGTTTATTTACATTTACTCAGTGTTTTCCCTCTCATTTTATTTAATCTAAACAATTTTTGTTTTTCACTGTTATTTAAAAAACTCATCAAACTTTAAAATGTTAGTACAATACAATAAATATTTACTAATGTTTCCTAGCCTATAAGCTCTGGAGTACACTGAAAATTTCAACATTGATGTTTAAATCAAAGTTTTTCAAAGAAACTATTATTGTTAAATAAAACTTTAATGGGAATCGTCAACAAAACAATTAATATTGAATCATAATTAAGGGCTAATACGTTGAAAAAAACATAAATTAAGTGTATGATATACTATCAGGTCCGTTAGTGGGTTAGACAGAAGGCGAGTATTATTCAAAACGCAGACGCCGCGAAAAACGTAAATATATGAAATAATGACCAATCTAAAAAAACATAATTAAATAAGAAGAAAATGATTGATGGTTACCTTTGTTCCAGTGATCAACGACTTAACTCTTTCGAAGCTTGTTATGACCGTCCATAGGCACTTACCCAAACCACCGCGCTAGTAACTAAAAATTCCCGCTTACACACAAAAAACTGATTTATTCACAAAATTAAAATAAAAAATAAAAAAGAATTAAAGGAAAACGTCAAAAGGAAAGTAAATTAAAAAAAAAAACTGATCAGATTTCTAACAGAGTCAACCGAACTAGAACTGCATAGAAACCTTTAAACACCTAACCTGTGCCTATAATGAAACAAGGTACCCATGTTCTAAAATTTTCAAAATAAATGATTTTTTTGAAAACACGATTCTAATTTATTACTTTCAGCGAAATATAGCCGTCGGAGGAAATTCAAATTGAACGTAATTATACGAAAAATTAATTAAGTGAAGTTTAGGAACAGGAAAAAATTATTTATTATACAAATATTTATTTTACATATAAGAGAAGTACCACAAAAATAGTACAAAATGATACTACTTTCCATTGTTCTTTAAAGTAAAATTGGTTTTGATTAAATTTGAAAATTTATTTTAATGAAATAATTCAATAAACAAATTAAAAGCCTTTAAAAATATGTCTAGGAATTAAAAAGCAAGTAATTACTTTATTGTCAAATGAAAAGCATCTCAAGACTATTGTGTTTTGCTTTGTATACTTTTGTATTGTTATAATTAATTTTCCAAAAGAAATAAAAATAATAAAACTATTATTTTAGCTTCTAGTTTATTTAAATATTAAGCACTGAAAACTATTAGGTAAAAACAAGGTTTTGAAATAACTGATTAAATAAATTAATGATAAAATGTACATCAAGTTTACAAATAATTTGTATGAATCTTTACAAATAATATCTTTAAGGGAAATGAATGAGAAGCTCTGTAAACATTCTTAGAATCTACAATACAAATAGTAATAAAGGATGATGACTAAATTGAATAATAAAACATTAATGACAATATTCAATTCTCAGCACAGTGGCTCGGCTTAAGTTATGTAAATAAACATAAATTACAAAATAAACAATCAACTGCTTATGAATTATAAAAAAAAAATCTCCTAAATACTATGAATGAAAACATTATTCACTAGTTAATTGGAGTTAAATAACAATGTAATGATACTTCTTGGCAGTCACAGCTCCTGTTAATAGAAAAAAGTTGAAAATAACTACCAAAAGTTTAATTCTAAGAAAAAAATCAATACAAAACTTTTCCCTATAAAATAATAAAACAAAAAATGATAATGATAATGTTATTGTTTATATTTCATTCGGAAAATGAATTATATTACCAAAAGTATGAAGACAATTACCACATCAGTAATTTATCATTTTAACTAAAAGGAAATAAATGAAAAAAGCAGAAATGCAGAACATGGATGTAGAGTAATTCTCTGCAGATTCATTAACTATTTAAAGATAAAAAGTTTTTTTTTTTTAAATTCATCATAAAATTGTAAACAACTTTAAATTTTAGTAATGAATTTTTTTCTTTAAGAAATCCTACATATCTAAAACATAAATTTACAACTAATGCATGTATTTCACAGATCCTTAGTATATTTCTTTCTTTTTTTAAATAATATGATACTGTTGTCTAGTTTAGTTCAATAATTATATTATCAATTTGGGAAAGGAGTGATAAATTCTAAGGGCAATTAGACAAAAACATATTCTGATTAGTATCCTGGCAATGCCAGAGTAGATAGTATTACCTGATTCCCACTATATTTTACTCAAATTTCAAAGCAACAGTAAAGTATGAAACATAAATAATTTAATATTTACAGATTTTTGCTTAACTATTTGAAGAACAAAAAGACAAAAGAATTTTAATTCCACATTACCAATTCAATAGTTCATATTATTTGATGAGGTGCGGATTGTTATTGTGGTAATAAAGCTAAGAAGAATATATTTTGCAACAAATTTTAAATTCAATATGTATTCATTTCTTAAGTTAACCTGAACATTATTAAATAATAAGAATAAAAAATATAAGAATATATAATAATCAGAAGATATAATAGTGAGGAAATATGCCTTATTATTGATACACAGATATTGCCTCTAACTCATCGCAATTTTAGAGTTCTTAAAGTTTTAAAAATTATTATTCTATTTAAAAAAAAATATTTAAAAAAACAAACTAAAATATGAGAAAATATTTCTAATAAAGGGGTTATGTTTGAGGTAATTTAAAGATTTAAAAAGATATCCAAACAGATAAGTAAAAGGTTTCCATACTTATTAATTGGATGTATTAATAATGATTTGTTGAAATAACTAAGTTTTTAAACACAGCAGAAAACATCGGGAAGGTTATAGATGGGTTATCACCAGTTAGAAAACCTTACGACAGATAACTCAAAAAAGAAAACATTTTACTATGGTCCTCCCAGTTATTAGCTATGATAATTATAATAATTATTACAGTATGAATAAAAATACTGCAACACAAGTTTGTTGTTATCGGATAATTAGTAGGACTCAATACTTAATGAAAAACAAATAAAAACAAAAATAGTCTGAAATGTCAAAGATTTTCATATTCTATCAATACAATTTTTGATTCAGATGATCTACAGTCATTAACCATTGTTGTTCTTAAATTTGTAAAATAGAAAAGAACATTCAGCCTAATTAAAGGAAAAATTGAAATATCTAAATTAACAACTAATGTTTATATCACAAACACTTCTGTTGATTTAATTAGACATTAGGACATCAATAATATTATATATAATCAACTCTATAGTTATAGATGTCTCTATTATTCTTGACTCATCTATTATCATTCATCTATTATAATCAACTTTGATTTAAGTATAGTATTTAATTAAAAAAAATTAATTTATATTAAATTGTGATTATCCTTATTAAGGTATGTACATCGCTCTTTAAAAAAAAATACATAATTATGAAGTATAAAACATAAAATAAATATTAAAAAGATCCTGACTTTAAATTGAACAAATTATGTATATTATGTATATTTTTCTTATTTCAGTTATACTTTTCCATGTCACTAACATGAAATAGAACTGCATTATTATTTAAATTTTTTGTGTGAAATGATTTCCTCTTTTTACCTAGTAGGAGCTCTTCGGATTATTAGCTTGAACAATAGTAGCCTATCAGTGTTCTGCACTGATTATTTTCATTACAAACATCCGAAATACATATTAATAAAAAATATGTTCATAATAATACAACCTGATAAAAAAGGAGTAATGTTTGTATTTAATTTGTTAAATATTGTTACTTTCATTTACCAATTTTCGAAATATATAATCTGTGCCGGTCTTAGAGTGGGGCGACCGGGGCAACGATCTTCAGGGGTGCTCGCCGCTTGTTAGAAATAAAAAAAAATATTATAAAATGTATTAAAATAATTAATTTTAGCCAGTAAATAAAGCGACTGTATTGATTGAATTGAAACAACTGAAAGCAAATGGAGAAATGTTGGATGAAATAAAATTCAAATATTACATAATATAAAAAAGCTTAAGAAATAAATTTTATTTTTTTAGAGGGGAGAGGAAGATGACGCTATTGCCCTTGGGCGCCGAATGACTAAGGCTGGCATTGATTATAATAAAGGAAGGTATTGCGATCTTTTAAAATTTCTACTCCGAGATTTCAATGGAAATACACGTGTTGAGTGAGGTCTCCCGAGTCTCAATAACCAAGTCTCGCAAATGCTCTATATGTGTTTTATTGTTTGTTGGGATTTTAAGGCGTAAAACTTTGACATCATCAACGCCTATAGTCCTCTATTCGTGTAATTGTATACCTGAAAGTATAGCTGAAGAAAACATTAAAAAAGTTGTACTAAAACGAAATTACGGAAGGAGAATATATCTGTGCCCCAGGGGGAAAGGACACCATGTCCGTTTGTTTTATTAAATAGTTTAGTAACTAGGATACTAATTTTCACAGCTCAAAGTTATGGAAAATTGGCTACCCTAACAAATACAAAAATGTGACATGGCGTCCTTTACCACAGAAGTATAGAGTTAGTAACTAAGAACAAATTTTAATTGTTTAAAGTTATGAAAAATCGGCTCCTCTGAACAAATACAGAAATGGACTTGGTATTCTTTACCTTCGGGGTACATATATGTATATATCAGGGATGTTAAACAGTTTTTGTAATATCCAACATGCTTTTTAAAATTGTTAAAAAAATCGAAGGGATGGAATAGTCAAAATGAAAATACCCATAAGAGATACTACGGCTACAATCAGCAATTGTAATATAATTAGATTCCTATAAAGTATAAAAATAAATAATACATTACAAATAATGTTAGATATGTAAGGTACATGTCATATTTTGTAATTTGTATGGTAAACTTTGCATTATTCAAACATGGCATTATATGTTATCTATTGCATGATGATCTATTATAGTAAAACCTAGATGCAAAAAACTATACAAAAAAAAATTTTAATTATTTAAAACTAAACTCTTAAATTCATGATTTGTTTCTTGTGTTTTTGCAATTTATTCAATATAGTTTAATAGGTGTTACTTTTTTAAAAAGCTGGATCGATAATAACCGGAAAATGCTCATAAAAAAAAAAATCAAGTGAATGAAAAATATTGGCAGTCACTCCAAGTTCAACATTCTCGCGGATACATCCTAATAACTTCCGAATCAGCAGGTTTGGACAAAATCTAAAAAACAAATTCGAGTTTGAACCTTTATTAACAACAGGAGCTATTTAGTTTTCGGATGATTTGAGAAATGGGATTAAAATTACTTACAATTATTTGAAGTGTCGTGATATATTTTTAAAAATCTATATTTTGGCTGTCTTAGGATTCACAAGCAGGGCTTGATTCTTTCCAGAACATACTATTTACAATAAGTAGAAAATACCCAGGTAAACTAGCCCCAACTAAAAAAAAAATATATTTAGTTATTCTCCCAACGTCCAGCGGAACAATACGCTCGTCCCACTGTGCGGTGTGGGTAAAGTTCACTTTTGTATCTGTCAATATTTATTTTCATGATTTCGTCCCATGGAATCTTGACATTCTCACTCTAGAGAATGATGACAAGGATATAATGCATTGATACAAACCTTAAATTTACGAATAGAATCCAATTTCTGGCAGATAAATGTTTAAGAAGTTATAGTTAACAAGCGCTCTCTCCATTTTCAGATCCTTCAAACATTATAAATGTTATTCACTACAACTATAACAGTTATTAAAAAAATAGGATCTGTAGCAGTACTGTATGGTAAATGAGGTTCGCATGTATTTTTTTAAAATCGAATCATAACCTTAAGTTATAAAAAACTAAAGTTTACTAAAAAACCAAATATGTTTTTGCTATCCTTCTATATTATTTTTCACATCTCAAAGTCACCCGTCCCTCAAATACTGGCACTCAGGACAAATGCGAAGTTGATTGAGGCTTATGTAAGTGATTAAAACTGTTAAGGGACTTTTTTTTAAACTTTGAGTTTACAATGGTTTCATGTTTTTTGGCACGAAGAACTTAGGCACCTGTATAAATACACCCAAATTTATATTTCTTGATCCGGTAACGAATTCATCAAATAATTAGAACGAGGATACCTCAAAACTGTCCTAATGAAACGAAGCCTGTCAGTTAGTGTTTGTGACATCAGTTTTATCCCGAGGCTTGCCAGCTCTCATTCTTGCTACAACAGTGTAATAGTCAGAGCCGTACTGGTTCGTATGTAGTTTTGTGAATTTATTGAGTATTACGAAGGAATTATAAAATTTTATTTATTAACTAGAAAGTTTTTCTATAACATCGGGTCTTTCTAGTTAATACCGTTCATGAGAAATCGTTTATTGATTTAATGCCGTTTACTCATGATGGTTCGCTATCCTTCCGATTTCCGCTTTCTAGGTAAGTGAAATGTTTATAACGCATTTCCTTTAAACATTCCATTAACAAATCAATATTTCTTTTTTATCATTACTGATTTATTTCTTGAATTATTCATTAAGCTCTCTCCTCCAAAATGGTAAAACATAACTATGTTTTATAGAAAAAAATATTGAAACATTATCTGTTTAAGTATTATTGTTCGTGTAATTACATTTAATAAGACTTTAAGAGTCACACCATTTCATATAGCTAGTTAGTTTCTTTCTTTTTTTTTTTCAATGTAATTAACTTTATAAATATGAAAAAGAAAGCCCCTCTCCAAAATTAAATCCTGGATCCTCTAGTGTCTGCGTGGAATTTTTATCAACCAATTCCAATGTTTAATAAGGTTTTGTTTCATGCGATTTAAAGTATTAAGCATGGATGGGAAAGATTTATACATGCGAAATCGCCAACAGTGAAAAGAGTATGAAAGGCTGGAGGGTGTCGCCCGTAATCCTCGATGAAAGGAAACGCCGGGTACACCGCAGGGTTCTCATCCAAATCCAGTAATGTGTTATCTTTGAAGGTTTTAAGCCACCGCTTGGTATTATATTGAAATTGAGCTATGTATTACTAAACATAGTATTGGAAATTCCTTTTTATTAGGAACAGAAGCAGATGTAAGTTAGGCATCTTTAAAAACTTATTTGGGTCGTTCAAGTATTTTAATTCTTGTAAAGTATAAGTCAGTTATAATAGGTGGCCACTCCAGTTGAAACGATTGAAGGATGGATTGGATTGCTAGTAGTGAAGACGATTTCAAGGGCCCCACTGACGATCACTCCACGTCGATTACTAAAAGTAGTGATTTACGCCATTTGGTATCACCCTTTTGGTGATAGAAACTGTTAGTCCTACAAGTGTCTTTAGTTTTGACAGTTCTATATTTTCTTCAATTTTATCACAGAAAATGTATAAGAAAATCACGTGAAAATGGAGATGATCACATGAGAGGCGAATGAATAATAAAATCCAAGGATATATTTTATTTTTGAATATAAATGAAAATTTAAATAATAGAAATATTTAAGTCGTGATAAAATAGTTACGTACTTATTTATAGGTCTCAACTTAGCCAGCTAGTCGACTTTTCTTATTTTCTTAATAGATCTTATTTTTCATATTTTATTCATTCATGTAGCTAATTTGTTATCAATTTTACTTTTTTTTTTTACCTCAAATTATTGGGTAGAGGGCAAACGATATCCTCATCCCCTCAACATTTTTACAGGAGGGAGGGGGCGACCGCCCCCTTCTTTTCCC